TGTTGAGCTTACGTGTAGTAACTTTTGATAATTATCAACTTGTATAAAAAGTAGAACAAGCTTTGTACATGAATGAAATGGTCTAACAAACATTTCTTGATAATGTCGAAAACTAGTTAATTACCGTTTATTTCTACAAACTAAAGGCATTTATTATTTTAAAAAGCGTTTAAATTTAAGATGCATCAATAAGAATATGGTGATATGGTGGTGATAGTGGTTAATTAGAATATTTTAGCGCATATAGGAATCATGAATAATTTTGTTTAAGCTGTATATATTGAGTACTTTTTCAAGTTTACCATTATTTATATAATATAAAAAAATAAAAATAAAAAAAAATAGAAAAAAAAAAAAAGCGTTAAGTTCTTGGTTAAAGAAAATAGATATTTAGCGTTTCATAAACAATAATTTTTATTTTTGAATAGTATTTCTTTATTTAAAAGTATGAGCAATTTTAAAAAATTAAATAATTATGCTCTTTATAATACTTGTTAGGCCTTTTACTAACGATTTTTGCAAATTATTCTGTATATTTATATATATTTCTAAGTGTTGTATATTTAGATAAAAAGGTTATTAAAGGTCACATGACTGGCAATCTGGCCGAGTTGGTCTAAGGCGTAGGATTAAGGTTCCTATCTCTTCGGAGGCGAGGGTTCGAATCCCTCGGTTGTCAAATTCTTTTTGTTTAAATTTTATTTTTATTTTTAAATTTATTCTTATTCTTATTTTTTTTTAAAGGGTCTAAAAGAGTTAAGAGAAAAAAGAAGAGATTTATGCGTAAATATATATAAAGTTATTATTTTACATTGTAAAAAAAAAAAAAAAAAAATCCAGCAAAAAATAAGTGACAGCTTAGAATAGGAATAAAAGCGAGACAGTTTAAAATGAATAAGCGAAGTGGCTATTTCAAAAGAATAACACGTCATTTTTTTAAACTTTTATAATAATTATATTTTAAAAAAAATAAAACTACTAACAATTTATTTAAACGGTTTCTATGCGGTTTTTTATTTTAGTATTTTATTATAATTAAGAGAAAGAAAAAAATTAAAATAAAATAAAATAATTTATTAAAATTCAACGGTCTTTTATAATATAAAATATATATATATATATATAGTTGTTTATTAAATTATATAAATAAAGGGGAATGAAAAAGAAAACTAAAGAGTGAGGCTGGTTAGAAATGAATGACAATGATTTGTTAAAGATTAAAAAAAAAAAAAAAAAAAAAAAAAAGATTTCCAAACAAATGGATATTCAAGTTTTTTTTTTAAGTGAAGATGAAAAAAAAAAAAAAAAAAAAAAGAAGTAGAATGGTGATGGTGGGGGGAGGGAAATCTGTATGAGGAAAATTCAATAATAAAATAAAAAAAAAAAATATTTTTTTAGATAAGCACTTTAAGGTTATATTTTTTTTTTTTTTTTTTTTTTTATATATATAAGCGATAGGGTGACTTTTGTTGTTGTTGTTGACCGTTAAGAAAAAAAAAAAAAAAAAACAAAAAAAAGCCCGTTGATATCTTTGCATCATCATGATGGAAAAATAAAAATAAAAAAAAAAAATAAAAAAAATTATTTCAAAATTAATGGGCTTTGACAAAAATAAGATTCAAATAAAAATAGAAGAATAAAAAAAATTATAAATTTATAAATATATACGAAAAAAAAAAACCCCCCTCAGTATTAATCATTACATTAACATCAAGGGGTGATTTTCTTTTCATTTTAAAACTTGAATATAAAATATGCTTAAAAGATAGTACATATATATATAAAATATAAATAAAAAAAAAAAAAGTATTGAATTCTAGCTTCAATGATATCCCATTTCGGAAATCCCGGAAGAGAGATAAGTTCAGGTGATGATGATATAGTTACAGTACTTACATTATAAGGGGGTAAAAAAAAAAAACCAGAGAGAGGCATTTTGGTATTCAAACTCAGTATTATTTACAGTCAAATAAATGTGATTCTTTATTTTATTTTAATTTTTATTTTTTTTTTTTAAAAGAAATACTTTTTTTTTGTTTAAATTAATTGTTTTTTACTTTTATTTTATACTATATTTTTTCTTTAATTAATTTTTTTTTAACCTTAAAAAAAAGTGAATTTAATTCAATGGGGTTAAGATGTCAAAATTTATGTAACATACTCATAGATTACTTTAGGCACTATGGCCGAGCGGTTAAGGCGAAAGATTAGAAATCTTTTGGGATTTCCCGCGCAGGTTCGAGTCCTGCTGGTGTCGTTAAAGATTTTATTTTTTTGTTTGTTTGTTCGGGTGGTTGTTGTTGTAATTTTTGAATTAATTAAATTTTTGTTTTTGTTTTTTTTATATTTTTAGGTTGTTGTAATTTTTATATTTATATATATATTTTAAAGTAGGCTTTTTTTATTTTTTTTTTTTCTATTTAGTAAAGAAAGAAAAAAATAAAATAAAAATAAAGAAAAAATAAGCGGTTGTAGCTCTCTGCTTTGGTTCTTTGTAGTATTAGTATTAGTATTATAATACTAATACTTGAAAATAAATGGGTGGGAAAATAGAAAAGCTTCACGTGACAAATTAGTCAGGATTGTGTTAAAATTTAGTAAGAATTTAATCAATCTTAGTAATGTTTGTGTTGATGATTATCAAAGAATTCCCAAGATGGTAATTTTTTATGATCGAATTAGGACGAGGAGGAGATAAAAATCAAAATTTCTGGCAGATTTATAAGAAATCGACCATTTTGTTAGGGGCATTTCCCATTTCCCTCCCACGTATTTTCAACAGTGTTAGTAGTATTTATATAAAGATAAGTGAAAGTTGCTTAGAAGGATATTGAAGATATGCTTCTTTTTAAAGTCATTTTTATAAAGAAAATAAAATAAAAAATAAAAATATGACGAAACTTTTTTTTTTTTTTTTTTCAGTTTCCCCGCTTCATTATCTTTAAGATGGAAATTTTCTTTTCTTCTATTTTTTTTTAATTATGATGATGATGATGAAGAAGAAGAAGAAGTGAATTATTCTATTATTTTGTTGTTGAAATCATTGATTATTATTATTATTATTATTATTATTATTATTATTATTATTCTATGCGAGATAACAAATAGTTTTTTTTTTTTTGTTAAAATAATGAAACCACAATAACTAAACAATTGCGCGCTTTTATTTTTGATTTTATTCTGTCATATTTTATTTTATTTTATTTTATTTAATTTGATTGTTTGATTGATTGATTGTTTAATTGTTTAATTGTTTAATTGTTTAATTGTTTAATTGTTTGATTGATTTGTTCTTTTCTTCCACGCATTTTAAAAAAAAAAAAAAATTATTTATTTATTTATTTATTTATTTATACAAATCTATTTGTACATTTTCTTTCTATATTGAATTTTTATTTTTATTTTTCTTTTCTTTTGTTTTTGTTTTTTTTTAAAAAAAAAAAAAAAAAAAAACAATTAAAATTTTCGTGGCGCCATTCTTAATCAAAGTCTTTGGTTTACTACTACCTCTTGAAATGTTTTATATATAAATATAAAGATACCTATTAGTTTGTAATTCTTTTAGTATTTTAGTATATAAATATTTAAATATATATAAATTTTTTTTTTTTTTTTTTCCTTTTCAAAGACTATTCAAATGTCCATCTTAAGAATAAGAAGAAGAAGAAGAAGAAGAAGAAAAAAAAAAAAAATAAATACTACTAATAAATACTACTAATCATCTCTCTCTCTCTTTCTCTCCAGAATTTAAATTTAAATTTAAAAAAATAAAAAATATATATATAAAAAGAAAAAAAAATTTTTTTTTTTTTGTTTAAATAGAAAAAGTTAGTAGAGCCTATCAATGGTCTCCAAATATTTGTTATCTTTTTTTTTTTTTTTAAACAAATGTACATTATTTTTTTTTTCTCTCTCTCCCCCCTTGATTTATTCTTCTATTTTTTTTTTTTTTTTTTTTTTTTTTTTTTTTCTTTTTTTTTTTAAAATCCATCTAATATATTATGCTAACATTACTTATTAAAAAAAAAAAAAAAAAAAAAAAATGACTTTATAATTATTTAAAAAAACTTCAAAAACTTCAAAAACTTCAAAAACTTCAAAAACTTCAAAAACTTCAAAATTTTATTTCTTTCTCTCCACAGTCCAACTCTCCACTGTTCATTCAACTGTTTTTTTTTTTTATTTTTTATTTTTTATTTTTTATTATTTATTATTTTCTTTCTCTCCACATCAAAATCTTGGCACACACGGCTCACCCGTCCCAGTTTTTCACCCGTAAAATGGGATTTTTTTTTTTTCCCTTCTTAGAAAAAGCATAATATAAAAAAAAAAAAAAAAAAAGTATTTAATAAATAAAAAAAGAAAAATTTCAAATTTCAAATTAAAAAAAAAAAAAAAAAAACATAAAAAAAAAAGTTTTATTTATTTATTTTATTTAATTTAATTTATTTATTTATTTATTTTATTTAATTTATTTATTTTATTTATTTATTTTATTTATTTATTTATTTATTTTATTTATTTTATTTTATTTATTTTATTTTCCTCCATATTTTTGTTTCCCCTTCGCTACTAACTAAGATTTTTGCCGAATGACCCGTTAAAAGGGCTGATTTTTAAAATATAAAATATATTAATAAATAAATAATTTTAAATAAATAATTTTAAATAAAAAATTAAAAATTAAAAATTAAAAATTAAAAATTAAAAATTAAAAATTAAAAATTAAAAATGTAGCAAATAATAACAACTTCTTCTTGGCACATGATGAGCAAATGATCGACTTGCCCCATAAAGAAAAGAAAAGAAAAAAAAAATTACAAAAAAGATAAGCCCAAATAGGAGATAAACTGTGTATATATTGTATATTGTATTTTTTATTATTATAAACTAATAGAAGAAGAAGAAGAAGAAGAAAAAAAAAAAAAAAAAAGAAAGAAAACACTAAAAAAACTAAATAAAAACAAAAGTCAATAAAAAAAAATCAATCAATAATGCCCTTACTCTTCTGCCTTTTTGGTATCAAGATCACTAGAACTTTTACCAGTAGCAGCACCAGCACCAGCAGCACCACCACCAGGAGGTGTATTGATTCCAGGTGTAATGGCACCTTGGTCAATAGGTGTCATACCTGCAATACCAGGTGTATCCAGACCCTTCTCCTCAAGGTCATCATCCTGCTCACCAATCTCAGTAAAATCAATACCCAAGTTCTCCTTATCTTCATCTAAACGAACATGTAAAAATGGAATTCGGTTCATGACCATCAAAATAGTTGTAGAAATGCCAAAAGACCAGGCCAAAATTGATACTGAACCTGACAACTGATAACCCAGTTGCTTCCAGTGGTGATTAATCCAACCACCTTTAATCTCAGTACCATCTAATGCGGCCACATAGTCAGCAGCAAATAAACCAGTCATAAAACTACCCAAAAATCCACCAACTCCATGAAGGGCAAACACATCAAGACCATCATCAATACGGAACAAGTGTTTAAGAGAAGTAGCATAATTACAACCAATGGCAGTGACCATTCCAATAGGCACAGCAAAATAAACTGGAACAAAGCCAGCAGCAGGAGTAATGCCTACAAGACCGGCAACAGCACCGGAGCACATACCAATAGTAGTCCACTTACGCTCAAAGCGGAAGTAATCAACAAGAAGCCAAGTAATGGCACCACAGGCAGCAGCCAAATTAGTATTAAAAAGAGCATAAGCAGAGCGAATAGATGCATTACCAGTGGAACCACCATTAAATCCAAACCATCCAAACCACAAAAATACAGTTCCGAAAACTGCAGATGTGACCGAGTGGGGCTTAAAAGTGGGGAGCTTATTTGAATCAGTGGAGGGGTCTCTACGTTTGCCACATACAAAAGCATAAGCCAATGCACCGGCACCAGAAGCCATGTGGACAGGACCGCCACCAGCATAATCAAGAGAACCAAGAACAACAAGCCAACCTTTAGGACCCCAAGTCCAGCATGCAACTGGAGAGTAAACAATGGTCATCCAGATGAAAAGATATACCATCATGGGACCCAAACGAGCACGTTCATGAGCACCACCTACCATAATCATACCGGTAACACAAGCAAACATACCTTGGTAGAAGCAAAAGAGGATATCAGGAAGAGCTGTGACAACAGAGGGAGCACCTAGAACGTCCATAAGACAAAAGTTATTCATTTTGCCGAGGAAAGCACCACCATGGTGAGAAAAGGTAAGAGAATAACCCCAAAAGAACCATTCAAAGCCAATGAGGCCAGCTGCCATGATTGACATCCATAGTAATGAGACAGCATTCTTTTTACGTGAAAGACCTGAGTAAAGAAGACCAACACCTGGAATCATGATCCATACAAGGGCACTTGAGACCATGATCCAGGCCATATCTGCACGATCAAATTGTTGGTTGAGATCGACGGTGAGAGAGTCTCCGCCGGTGCCGGTTCCTGTAAGACCGGCGGTTGTTGAGGCATCTGCGTCACTCATTATAGATATATATATATATATATGTATATAAATGTGATGAGTGAATATTATTAAAAAGGTTGATTAAATAAGTTATAGAAGAAGAAGAAGAATAGTATAAAGATGATGGAGGAAGTATTAAAATATATAATAGAAAATATAAAATATAAAAAAATAAAATTGAGGAAATTTGAAGACCTTTTATATTTTTTTTTTTTTTTTTTTTTCCCCTTCTTACTCAATTGTGAAAAAAAAACAAAAAAAATAAAATATAATTTGAAGTTATACTTTTTCTTTTTTCTTTTTTTTTTTTTTTTTTTTTTTTTTTTTTTTTTAGGAGAAGAAATTCTAGTGGGGGAATAGGGAAGAGCCATAACTATATTTTTATTTTTATTTTTATTTTCAAGTGTGTCATAGGGAAGAAGAAAAAAATGTCTATGGTTTTGTTTGTTTGTTTGTTTGTTGGTCGTTGGTTGTTGTTGGTTGTTGATTGACACACACTGATTACCCAAATAGGCAATTGCGCTCAGCTTATCGATAGACGGCCGATACGCCTATCAGTGACGGACCGGCCATGCAATTGTCCTAAATGGGTATTGTGTTTTTGTGAGTTGGCTGGTTGGTGGTGACTTTTTTTTTTTTTAAGGGCCACAAAAAAATAAAATAAAATAAAATAAAACTAAGAGCAATTGAGGCATCTTTTTTTTTTTATTTTATTTATTTTTTATTTATTTTTTATTTATTATTCTGTCTGTCTGTTTGGCTGGCTAGCAAAAAGCCGCGATAGACTTTATTTTATTTTATTTTTTATTTTATTTTATTTTGATTGTTTAAAAGACTTTTTTTTTTTTTTTTTTTTTTTTTTTTTAACTTTTATTTAAGATTGTTTGAATCAGTTTTTTTTTTTTTTAAGGGATACAAAATAGAAAATAGAAATATTTCAATCATCAAAAAACAAAAAGAAAATTTATTTATTTAGTTATTTCTATTTATTTAGTTATTTCTACTTTAATTTATTTATTTAATTTATTTAATTTATTTAATTTATTTAATTTATTTAATTTATTTAATTTATTTAATTTATTTAATTTTATTCAACCGTTCCTTTTTACTCTCACCGTTATGTGTGAAATCATTATTTATACCACCTCAGATACACACACAAAAAAAAAAAATTCTTGCCTTATTTTTTTTTTTTTTTTTTTTTTTTTTTTACCCACTCCATAACCAGCCTTATAAAAACTTGCATTAAAAAAAAAAAAAAAAAAAAAAATTTCTTCAGTTGTTGTTGTTGCTCTTAGATTTTATTTTTATTTTAAATAATTTAAATTAATTAAATTAATAATATTTTAATAATTTAATATTTTAATAATAATTTAATTATTTTAACTTTTTTTTTAATTATTTCAATCAGTTTAACTATTTTAACTATTTTAACTATTTTAACTATTTTAACTATTTTAACTATTTTAACTATTTTAACTATTTTAACTATTTTAACCATCATTTCTCACCCCTTCCCCCCTTCCCCATCAAACTACCGAAGGAACTTCCTGTACAATGTAGAACAACAAATAAGCCTTCTTTTCAAGAACTTGCGATATCCCAATCGTCGTCACCATCGCATCATCAAAGTGGAACCACCTACCACTACTTGTCTTCATCATACAAGTATAATGCCCAGTGTTAAGCGAGCCCTGATGACAAACAACCCCAAACAACTCATAAAGTAATTGTCCTTTTTCTCCCCTTTCTCTCTTTTGGCCTTTCTCGGCTTCCTCCTCTTCCTCCTCCTCCTCCTTCTCCTCCTCATCAACATTTCTACCAACTGTATATTTAGCCATATCCAATACAAGAGGAAACTTCACATGCGTATCAATCTTGGCGGACGCCCCAGTATGCGAAAACCTCTTCAACTGAATCGCAAGAACTGCAGGAACTCGTCTCAATCGTAACGTCTTTTCAATCTGTCGCCGTGCTCCACCACAAGCTGCACCACTACACGTAAATGTAGCATCTAACCGTTCCCCACTCGTAAACCGATCAAGACATTCCTCCAATGTTGTACAACATGATGATCCTCCAACTTCCCCAGGTGTCCCAGCCCTCGAACTATTGCTACCCTCCGGTGTTTTCCCCTTAACCCCGACTCCAACTCCAACTCCTACTCCTACTCCTCCACCAGTTCCTCCACCAATTCCTCCACCAATTCCTCCATTAGTTCCTACTCCAATACCTCCTCCAATACCTCCTCCAATACCCCCTCCCCCCACTTCAGCACGACTCTTGGCAACAACAGCCGCTCCAACATCTAATGACAAGTCCATAATCGGATCAACAACCGTACTTGATACAGTCCCACATTCCTGACACACTATCCGACTCTCCAACTCTCCACAAAATGTCCGATGTGCAACACACCCACACTTTTGAATTTGTACATCTTCAACTTTCCGCATCACTTCTGGAACATCAACCCCCCTAGGTAACCCAATCTCTCGTAATGCAGCTCGTGTGCCCTGCGCAAATACCAAAGAATCATAATGTGACGCATGTAATTCATTTAAAACAACTTGCAGAAACTCGTGCGCATCTTGTTGAGTGTTCCCCCCCAAAGATCGCTTAATCTGCCAAGCCGTCGTCAAAAGTTCCGTCGGCCCAAACCCTGCAACAGATGACGACGTGAAAAACTCAGTGAAAACCTCGTCCAGCGAGCACGACAAACAGTTCATCGACACGTTCGGATCAATCACCGCCTTGTTGGGAACAATCCCGCTCCCTCCTCCTTTGCTCCCAACACCCTCCTCACTCATCGTATCCCCACTACCACCACTAGATGAAGACCCAGATCCTGACCCACTACTATTCCCATTCTCTCCACTACCATTGCCATTGCCATTGCCATCTCCCTTATCATCTCCTCCTCCTGATCCTCCTCCTGATCCTGATCCTGATCCTGATCCTGATCCATTAGCACCCTTCACATGGCTTCCACACCGTAACCCCCGCTCGTGGCCCCCTGACAAGTAAAAGTTGCGCACAAGTGGATTGTGTACAAGCGCCTGAAATATCACAGACATAAAACATGTAGACCCCATATTGTAGAACCCCCGTAATGCTGACGTCGCCTGATAGGCTGGCAATAATGCCTTATTCTGAACAATCGAGTACCCGGGCCCCAACTCTCTCAAGTACCGAACCGCCCGACGCTTCTCTCGTTGCTTGCTAATCAACCCGCCTTCTTTCCCCTCTTCCTCTTCATCAACTTCACCTTCACCATCCTCATCCTCTTCTTCTTCTTCTTCTTCTTCTTCTTCATCTTCCTCTTCATCCTCTTCATCATCATCAACAATAGCTGACCCCCCATCTTCTTCCTTAGCCAACACCTTACCCGTCCGGAGCCCAGCACCTCGAGCTAATGACAATGGGCCGTGTCGTAATACAGACCCCCCAGGAAGCCTCCGTATCCCTCGCTCCAAGTGTTGTCGGATCTTCTCCACCCGAACAGCCTCAAACGTCGCATCAAAAACATAGTCCCCGCACCCGCCACAAAATAACATACTCTCGCCACCTGCAACAAGATCAACCGCAAGAGCATGCATCGACCGCCCAGCATGCTCCCGCCAATGTGTTCCACACCCAATAAATGCACACTCCAAACAACAAAGTATCGCAGACCCCCCAGCTCCACATTCCCTACACTTGAGCCCTAGTGCCCGCCGTCCAATCCGTGCCTCCTCCGTATCATCTACCGATCCTGTATTACTTGACGATGCTGCTGCTGCTGCTGCTGCTGCTGCTTTAGCTTGTGCTGCTGCTGCTGCTTTGGCCTGTGCTGCTGCCGCCGCTTTGGCTTGCGCTGTTCCTTTCTTAACTTTAGTCTTCTTCATCGGCACAGTACCACCTCCTTCCCCACCTGCCTTTCGTTTAGACCCGTTGGCCCGTCCTGAAACATTCGCAGCCCCAACAATAGCTCCTACACTTCCACTGGCCCCAGTCACTGCCCCCCTAGCTGAGGCATGCGCCCGCGCAAGACATAACCGTACCGCTAGCTCGTATGCCCGCAAGATCTGCGGCCGCTTAGTAGATTCGTGAAGAGCCGCACGCGTGTGCTTGCACCCGTACGTCGCATACCCAGTCGCCAATGGCGCTCCCACACCGGTGATTTGACTCGCCGGCGTCCGCGTTGCAATCTGGGCCTTTGTGGGTGCCATTCTATGTGTGATGTTTTGTTCTCTTTTTTAATTATCTATCGCAAAAATATAATAACAATAAAAATAATGATAATAAGAATAAGAATAAGAATAATAATAATGGATGTGCTGTAATTAAACAAAAACTTGTTGGTGCTCTCGAATTTTTCACCGCCAATTGTAATTACACAACATTATTGCAACAAATTATTCATTATTCATTAGACATTAGACATTTAATTTTTTTGATTTTTTTATACAACCAGAATTTATTAAAAAAATTACATTTATATATAGAGATTTATAGCCAACAAATGAATCCAAGAGATTTTTTTTTTTTCCATTATTTTATTTATATCCTTTAATTTTTTTTTTTTTAAAAAATTTTTTATTCCAAATTTATTTTTTTTTTCCAAACTAATTTTTAAAATATATAGGGTGATGATGATGACGTTTAAAGAGGAAAAGATTATTGTAGCGACATTAAGAGGGTATGATAATAAACACTTCGCTCAAGGCTTGGTGCTGTAGTTGGTAAGAGGAGGAGTGGTGGTGAGAATTGTGGAAGGAGCCCTAGCACCAGTATCATTGTTATCAACACCAAGTCTCCATCTAGGCTGGAAAAGACCATCGGCAAACTGAGGAAGATTGTCTGAAATGGTTGAGGTGTTGAGATTCTTGCCGGCAACCGAAGGAGCAATGCACACAATAAGGAAAATAAGAAGAATACCAAAGTAAAGAGTAGCATACTTCTTAACCATTCTCTTACGAAGCTTGGTCTGCTTAAGAGAGAAAATGGGAGGTCGGATCTGGCGAGAAGGTCTCAGCCAAAAGAGAAGCATCGAGTGCCATCTGTCAATCATGGGGAAAATAAGCATGGGCAACTGCAAAAAGAGCAAGCAGTGTCCGAGAATGAAATCAGCAGCAAAGTAAACAGACTCGGAAATCTTGCAAACAAACTCACGGAAAGGTTGAGTCATAGTCATCCAACCAAGCTTAGCTCCATACCATTTACCAGACCACCAAGCACGGTTGGAATTGTCATTCTTAAACTCACGGGTAAGCATAGTAGCAATCATAACCTTAAGGATAAGACGCTGGCAAGCAATGCAAGTAATCATACCCAAAAGAGCAGGAGTCCAAACAAAACTCTGAAGAAGCCACATAATAACAAAGAAGACAACGTAGATAATGACAGAGATACCGTGAGCAATACCAGCCATAACCGCAGAGGTGTTATTGCAGCACATGCCAAGAAGAGGACCAGCACAGCACGAGATAAAGACAAGAACCATGAGAGCACCAGCGTTAATGACAATAGGAGCAAGAGTGCAAATAACAATACGCAATACAGAGTTGACAGGCTTGGCATCAGTGATACCATTCTGGGCATTGATAAATGTGTAAGGGACAAAAGCGGCACCAGCAGTAACAGCAGGAATCAAAAACTCAGTAAAGAACAAGTTAAAGAAGGGGGTTCTAGGAACATCACCAGCAGCCTTTTCAGAAGGATCACCAGTCACACGTCGCTTGAAACCAGTAATTCTGCTTCTAGTCAATCTAACATAACCAATCCAAGAATTGCGGTGCCACTTATTGTTACCACGGGAAAGCCAGCGAATGTAGTCTCTATAGTCGATAAAGAAATCGGTCCAAGAAAACTGGTGAGGATTGTAAAGGAAGGGAGAGATACACATAGCAGAAAGTGTAATGTAGAACCAAAGAAGAGCAGGTTGCCACATTGAAATAGTAGCAAACAACAACATAAAGAACGCTCTACCACCTAAATAAATAGAATCACCAGCAAATCTCGAATACAAAACGGAAAAGGGGATACGAGCAGTAGCAAGACCTCTACCAGTGGAGATATAACGGGCACCACCAAAGGCCAAATCCATAAGCAAAGAGTGAGCATAAATCTGACACACAAACACTTCAAAGAAGGGCGAGAGAGAGGCAAAGTGACGAGCAAAACGAACCATAGCGCGCCACAAACCACGCTCAATCAATTCCTGGACAACAAGAGGGATAAAGGCAATGAAAAAGACAATAAAGATGGAAAGAATACATCTCTTGACCCAGTCAAGAGTAGGCTGGAGATTGTAGCAGCCAGTGGGGACATGAGGATCAGAAATAGGCTTATTGCGGTCGTAAATACAGATGATGGACTGATTAGCAAGAGCACCAATATTGAGCAGAGTAAGCATAAAGAACTGGACAGAAACAATAATAAACAAGTTATTAATGTGGAAACCAGGGTGAGCGTAAAAGAAGGAAAGGAAACGATCCAGGGGGAGCTGAGTACCAAGGTAATAGTATTCACGAGACAAAATCTGTTCACCCATACCAGTACCAATCTTTGTTGTAAAGTTAAGAATGGAGCCAAAACCTAAATCACGACCTTTACCACATTGGTAGTATTCACAGTGTTTAATGCGTCCACCACGGCAAAGGGCAGTCATACCAGCATAAATATCTTCGTTCAAGTGCAGACCCTTTTGAGCCTTGGAAACACCACCACGAGTCGTCATGAAAATACCATTCAGGAAATCCGGGTGACCATAATGCAGCTTACCACCAATCTGAGCAAGAGTACGCGAAAAGAGGGTACCGAATGTTTGTTCCTTACCGGCAGCAACATCACCAAGAATACCAATGTTTTCAGAGAAAATGTATTCACGGGCACCAAGAATAGCAACGGGGTAAGTGGCCTTGTGAGATTCACCAGATGTAGACGAGGGGAGACGAGGAGTGTAAGGGTTGGTAGGCTCAACATTAAGCTCTTCAAACTCAGCCAAAACAGAACGAATCTTAAGACATTCTTCCAAATAGTTATCCTGATTGGCATCAACAAGCTGAATGTATTCACCACGGTAAAAGATAAGAGCATGATTCTGGTTATCAGACTTACCATCACCAAGAATAGGGTTACCAGAAAGCTGAACACGGAACTTGGGACGGCGGCGACCATTCTCCATAATCTCACAGTGACCATCAATAAGAGCAGAGAAGAGACGGGGTTCTTCACCTTCATTCTCAGGGGGTTCCTCATCAAGGTAAGCAATTTGAAGATCAGGGTAAGCGCGGAGCAAAAACTCAGTGTTTTCCATTTCCTCAGGCTTGAACTTGGTGAGACGTTGCATAGAAACAACAAACTTGAACTTTCTGCGGGCCATACGCTCAAGCTCACGCTCAAGCTTTTCAGTGTTACCACCAAACATTTGGACGACCTCAGGGTTTTCAACACGGTAAAGAAGCTTAATGGCACGAGAGTAGTTCATAAAGCCAGAAACAGTACGGTACAGAGTTTGGGAACGGAGAGAGGCCCAAATACGGGTACGAAGAGTGTACTCGGGAGCAGCAGACTTGAAACCAATGCAGTAAAAGGGCAAGTCATCAATCTTACTCTTGATGGAATCCTTTTCTTCGCCATCTTTATCCAAACCGTCTGTAGAGCCATTACCACCATAAGAAGAAGTTTCTTCAGCCAAAATCTTAGTATCCTTGACAAAGCAGTCCCATTCAATAGGATAAAGCTGTTTGAGATATTCCAAGAGGGTAACACGAGAGAACTGGTCATCTTCACGGATAATCTCACGAAGAGAAAGCAAAATCTTTTCAGAGTAGTGAGGAACGAAAACAGTAAAGGTGGGCATATTGTCAACAGGAAGAGGTTCAGGAATAGGAGTAGAAAGAGACTGGGCAAAGAAAGAAATACGTCTCTCAGCTTCAGAGTTCTTGGGGAAAAACTCAGAATCAATTTGGTTATCGTCTTGGGAAACGAAAAAGGTAGGGGCACGGAGAGTGCGCTTGCCTTCAACCTCAGAGGGGACTTGGTGATACAAAAGCTTTTGAACGTGATCAATGGCCAGCAAGTGCTCACGGTACATGGAAATGACAATGGCGTTCCAAATCTGGGAAATCAAAACCTTAGGCTTGTACTTGATTTCCATATCAGTAGTGGCAAGAATCTTAGAGTAGATACGCTTGGGGAGACGAGAAAAGATATTTCTCCAAGGAGTCAAGATAGAAATACCAAGGTAAAAGGAACGGCCAACAGAGAAAATGGTGTTGCAAATAATGTACCAAAGATAGGTATCGAGGAAGAAAAGAACCAAATCCATAACGTACATAAAGGCCAAAGTGATACGAGCTTGCTGACGGCAAAGAACATCACCCCACCAAACTTCACCAGTACATCTAGTCATAACCATGGTGGACAAATCACGGGCAGGATCTCTAAGAGAAAGAATCAAAAAGAAGTAAGATTCAACCATCTTAGCGGTGAAGACACAAATCCAAAGACCAAAAGACATCCACATATCATTACCCTTAAGACGGGCAAAGGAGGCGGTAAAAGTCTGAGAAGCAACATATTGACGGACATTTTTCGACTTGAGGTAACTTCCAAAAAGGCCACCAAGGGGCATGATGGAAAAAAAGAGGAAAGTAATGACGGCAATGAAGAACTGAAGAATGGAAACACAGTAAGCAGAATAACTCTTAGTGTGGATACCAATATAACCAAAAATGTAAATAGCCGGGGCAAGGTTGATACAGAGAATAATAATCAAAAACATAAGACGGCGAGTCAAATGCTGAGCGCCGGCCCACTTTCTAGGAACAAAGGCCCATTCAGAAATAGTAGCAAGAATTTGGATAAGAGTACAGACAATACCAGCGATACCAGATGCACACCATCTAGAGTGGGCAAGGGGCTGTGTATTTTGAAGTTGAATGTAATTCTTAGTGTAAAGGGTGGGGGAGTTGTAAGCCATGTAAAACCAATACATAGTGATGTGAATGACCCAAATACGGTTAAAGTTGACAGCCAAATGAAACCAAGAACGGGTTTCACGGTAAGTCTTGAAGAAGACCTTTTTCCAGATAACCTCACCGAGTTTACCATAGCGTTGAGAATTTGGAACATCAACGAGACGGGTACCATCTTCCAAGACAATGCGCTCAATGCCCTCAGGGTACCAAAAGAGTTGGTTGATATCATCGTAACCAACAATCTTATTGTGGTCTTTTTCACGCTTGACAAACTTGCCGTCAAGGATTTCGTAACTTTGGTCACGGATATAGTGGTAAAGAGGGGTGATAATACGGTTAAGGTAGTCACCTTCCTCAATGGGCTCGGTGCGCTGCTGGCACTCAGGGGACAAGAAGTAGTCATCTGCACACTTGAAAATGAAACAAAGACACTCTGGGGTGAAACGGACCTGGTTGGCCTCACCCCAGATACAGAGGTAAAGGGCAATTTGGCGGGCACGTTCGTGTTGCGACATGACATTCATGCGGTTTCTCCATCTAAACTCAGCAGCCTCGAGAGAGTTGTCACCTTCGAGAATCTCCAAAGCGGCTTGTGTATTGTCAACATCAGTGGCTTCCTCAACCTCCTTCTTCTTAGACTTTTTAGTTTTCTTCTTGGCCTTTTTGTTTGTCTTGCCAATCGACATATTTCTAAAGCCGACTTCATCGTCAAGATCAAGCTGGGCAGCAAAGTACCACTTCTTGTAGTTGGCATTGTCACCACCAATGTAGTCAGCGTGGAGAGAAAGAAGGGCTTGGTTAGGAGTCATTCTGGAGGATCTAGAGTCGAGGAGCGTCATAAAGTGATCGTACATGTTACGCATAGAGTCTCTTTGGAAGCCAAACTTGTTGGCAAGGTCAATGAAAATGTCTTCAATTTCTTCCTTGGAGAGGGGGATTTGATTCTCCGAGGTCCAAGCCGGATAGGGTTCTCTAGAACGCTGGCCAGCAGGGAGAGCATTGGGATACTCGAGGCCATAGACAGGGGTAGAAGCACCAGAGGATCTAGCGCCGTTATAGGATACCTGAGAGGAAGCAGCGGTGCGGTAGGCTTGACGAGAACCTGCGTCGGGGCCATAAGCAGAGTTGCTGTCCTGGAGAGACTCCATACCAGACTGGGGGAGGTAATTGTTGCGGGGGTCCATATTGCCGCCATATCCCATTTCGGATGTGCTGCGAGCCGGGGTTCCGGAAAAGTCCGAGTAGGTTTCGGAGCCTTCGTCGGATTCAAGACGCTTTGAGGGGACACCGGGCTGCTGGTAGCCGCCGTAGCGGGTTTGACCTTGGCCCTGGCCTTGTTGCATTTGCTGCTGCATCTGCTGGTGCTGTTGGGAGGAAGTAGCATAAGGATCGACTGGGCCGGCGGCATAGGCGTCGTCAGCGTAACCATTGTCATCTACATACTGTTGTTGATGGGGGTTTTGTTGGTAGTAGTAGTCCTCATCTCTGTAGTATCCGCCTGCGGCAGCCTGTTGATCCTGGTCGTCATAATACTGCTGGCCATGAGTTTGTTGGGAGTAGCCAGTGTTTGAATATTGAGAGTCCTGATCCTGGTAACCAGCTTGAGAGTGTTGCTGTTGTTGTTGTTGTTGAGCATTTGGGTTATTGTAGTCATAATAAGCGTCCTGCTGGCCACTTGCGTAGTGGTCGTCGTCATAGGACGGCTGCTCGTAGTTTTTAGACATCTATTTGATGATTGGTTAGAATTATTTCAAAAGAGAGAAATGAAATAAATAAATAAAAAAAAAAAAAGGGGGGGAGAGAAAAAGAAGTTGAAAATGAAAAAATAAAATAATTGAGAATGGAGGCTGCGCAATCCTAAAAATATAAATTTCTAGGAGAGACAAAAAAAAATTCCTTGTATCAAAAGAAAAAAAAAAAAAAGACATTTTGTTGGAATTTTAAATATATTTTTATTTTATTTTTGGGTGGAAAAAGCTGGTTGGTTTGAGTGTTGCTTAATAATGTAACTGAGTAGTATTTTCAAATGGACAAAACCACGTAACGATAATTCTGGTTGAAAAAAAAAGACATGCACCAGGCAATAACAACAGCACACCAAAAATAAAAATAAAAAAAAGGGCCCAGCCGTTCATAAAACGCCCAGTACACATCAAAATAAAAAAAAAATATTATATATATATAACACCTCCTTGGTTGAAAGAAAAAAAAAAGTAGACTGAGAAGAGATAAACAAGATACTTACATTGTCTTAACGGGCAGTGAAAGGATTAGAGAAAGACCTGCTTAATAGAGGTTTTTGTGGTGTGGGAAGAGAAGGTTGTAAAAGGACTTGTTGAAAACCAAATCAGGGTATCCAAAAATAAAGAGAAAAAAAAAAACTTTAGATGTTGTTGAAGGTTGAATTATAAACTTTGATAGAATTTATGTTGGGAAAGACAATAAACGAATGTAACAAAGAGACTTATTAATTAATCATTCAATATGGGAATGAAAAAAAAAAGATTAAAAGAAAATATTTGCCAAAGAATTGATACAGCTAGAAAGATTATTAGATTAAGAAGATCTTAAGAGTGTATATATAAACAAGACGATGGCAATGTGGTTGTGTTTAAGAAAGTGATAAAAAGAGAAAGAAGGAAATGAAGTTGGTTTCTTGGTGATATATAAGAGTGTTAGAGATCGCCACTAGCGGTCTATAATTAATTAATTGATGAAGATGAAGATGAAGATGAAGATGAAGATGAAGATGAAGATGAAGGTAGATGATAATGGATGGTTGAATTAAGTGGTGATTAGATGGGTCTTCTTTTTTTTCTCTTTATCAGAGTAATTTAAAGAGGGAAAATCTTGATATTCTAAGAAAAAAAAAAAAAAGGAAAAGAAGAAGAAGAAAAAGAAGAAGAAGAGAAGAAGAAAAAGTTTCTAAAAAAAAAAGTTTCTAAAAAAAAAAAAGAGAGAAATTCAGGACTTTTAAAGGGATGGATTAAAGTTGGGAAAATAGTTTCGGTTTATTTATATTTTTTTATTTTATTTTTTGATAGATAAAAATAATTCCTGTTAAATAATATATATAGAGAGAGAAAAGGATTCCTAAATTATTACATTTTATATCTAAATATTGTAACAAATACTTTATTATGTACAAAAATAAACAACAACAACCCTTTGGTAGGGGAAAATAAAATAAAAAATAAAAAATAAAAAATAAAATAAAATAAAATAAAATAAAATCTGGCGGCGGCCTCCTTCAAGAGGGACTTTTTTTTTTTTTTTGAATGAGCGTGTGCTTTTCAAATAATAATAAAATACTTCAATAAAAGTACCAAACAAAAGACGTGCTCCATACAAATTCTTCTTTGAACTGATGGTGGGTTTATATTAAACAAATAGTTATATATATATATATATATATATAAATGATTGACAGGGCAAAGGGTTTCTTTCATTCAAAAATTTTTTTTAAGGTTTCTTTTTTTCTTTTTTTTTTTCATCAATAAACAAACAAACAAACAAACAACGGAGCAATGGAAATAAAGATTTTTAATTTTATAGCATTAAATAATTCTAAGACAAGTAAAAGTTGATTTAGTATTTTGTATAAAAAGCTTTCGGATATTTAAACATCCTTTGAATAAAGAACTCGTATTAAAAGAAAAAAAGAAGCCAAAAGTCTCTTGGTGTGTACAAAAGAAAAATGTCGGGACGAAGGCTTTTAGTTGTTGTTGCCACTCCTGCTGCTACTATTACTATTACTATTACTATTACTATTACTATTACTATTACTATTACTACTACTATTGATGCTGTTGCTGCTTTTTGTGCTGCAAGCCTTGAAGCAGCAGCACAAAAAGCAGCAACAACAACAACACAGGCTCAGCCCACCATAAAGATACCTCTTTTGTCACCAAAAACGCATGCCAGACATGTGTTTGGGTGGATGTGCACGCGTTAATGAAAAAAATAAAAATAAAAATAAAAATAGGGCAAGAAGGCCCCGAAGAATCAGCCTTTCAAGTAGTTCTTCAATTGATAACTATATATATATATATATATAAGACACTTGATATTAATTGATTCTGGACTTGATTTTTTTGTTTATTTTATTTCTTAATATCTAAATATTGAATCTTTCTATCTAGAAGGAAAAAAAAAATAGCAACAGATTGTAAAAAGCAAGCATCACGAATACATCAGACCAGAAGCTGGGTAGATAGGCAGCCATATGGTGACAATATTTTGGAGCAATATTTCCTGTGGAGCCGCCCGCTTTTTGAAGGAGGTAAGAAAAAATAAAATAAAATAAAATAAAAAATAAAAAGGCCAGGCTGTTCTTTTTTTTTTTTTTTTTTGATGTGCGCAGCCTGTGGTTTGCTCCAAAAAAAAAAATAAAATAAAATAAAATATCATCCTAGCAAACAATTAATTTATCAAATCCATTCCTCGGCTAGTTGACAAGGCTTTCTTAAAAACATACCGACAAATAGATCAAGAAATGAAGCAGCCATCGTGAAAGTTAAAGGCTGCACACAAACTAGACTAGACAGGACTAGACCTGATTTCAAAGCTGTCAATATATGGTACAATTTGTCCCTGATGTTATCTGAAAGGTTCATTCCTATCATCCTTTTTTTTTTCTTTTTTTTTTTTTTTTTTTTTTTTTTTAAAAGAATATTTTTCTTCATATATACATAATAAGTATAGTATTATATTCTGTATATCAGTTTTTTTTTTCTCTCTTTTTTTCCAATAAACGGTCATTTCTACAAAAAATAAATTAGTACAATTTCTAATATCTAATAATAATAATAATAATAATAATGCTTTAGATCAACATTAATCGGCCCGTTCGTTTAAAATAAGCTTATATCTTGGGCTTATTTTTACCTTAATCTTTGACCAATGCTCAAAACTTTATGCCCTTTTCTAAATTAATCCTGGTTTTTATTTATATTAATCTATTCTTATCGCTCTTCTTCTTTTTTTTTTTCTTCAACATCATCATTGAATCAGTTTTTTTTTTTTTTTTAAAAAAAACCATCCTGATTTGGCCAAAAAGTAAATAATAAATTGAAAACCAGCCAGTCTCTTTTCCTCGTTTTCTCCTTTTTTTTTTTTTTTTTTTTTTTTTTTTTGTTCATCTATTTCTCTCTTTCTCTCTTTCTTTCTATTTTTTCATTGAAACCCTTAGACTAGCTGCTGCACTTTTTAAGATCCACTGGCCATGTGCTTGTCCCACATGGGGTAGTGGTTGATAGTGGTGGGAGATGATGTGTTACTTTAACTATCAGAATAACTAGTTGACTCTTCTTATCCAATTCTTTGTTTGTTATCTTCTTGCTTTTCATCCAATTGGCTTTAATCAATTGTTTCCAGACTTTGGAGGTTTTTCAATTTTAAACTAACCTTGTTGTTGTTATTCCTCTTCTTCTTTTTTCCCCTCCCCCCCAATCTTTACATTACACTTTATTTTATTCCCTTTGGTTGGAAATTTTCAAATCTATTCACCACTTTTTAAAAAAAAAATAAATATAAATATAATAATACACACTTTAATATTATTATTTTTGACAAAAAAAAATTTTTTTCAATTTTTCAATTTTTCAATTTTTCAATTTTTCAATTTTTCAATTTTTCAATTTTTCAATTTTTCAATTTTTCAATTTTTTTTTTCCCCCTTAAATATTATTTGTGTCTACACACGTATCTACGCGTTTATTATATTTTTTTTTCACAAAAATATATATTATTTACCAACTTTCCTTAAACGCGTGTTTCTTCATGTCCATATTTGATCTATCATCAATCATAACGTAGGTACATTCTTATTGAAAATTTCGCGTTTTGTAAAAGCCCCATAATAATTTTAATTGCAGTTCCCAAGAAATGCAAGCCCAGAAAAAAATAAAAAAAAAAAAAACGCACGGCCAAAAAAATCATTTATATACTGTTGTTATATATACAATACATTCGTTTATATACCGGTATTTGTTGTTTAGTACCAATAATAACAAATATGCTTATCTCAGTGCATATTAATCAATTTTTAAAAAAAAAAAAAAAAAAAAAAAAAATAGATATTCTTAGTAACACATTTTAATCTATTAGTGATAATACTACTGTAATTTTTAATACTTAACTAAAACCACTACATCACAATTAAATAAGGGTCTTCATGATGATGATAATCATGATGAAAAAAAAATTAAATATATATAAATAAAATAAACAGTTGATTCTTTAATACTCAAATGATCCATCTTTCTCTCTCTCTCTCTCTCTTTTTATTTTTGTTTTTTATTTATTATTTTTGTTTATATTAAAAATAACAATTCTTGGCCTTTTATTATTGAAAGAAAGAATTGAAAGAATTGAAGGAATCTGCCGTTCATTCCATTTAAATTTAAAAAATATTTACATATAAATATAAACGTAATACCTCATTCTCTTTTTTTTTTTTTTTTTTTTTTTTTTTTTTCTTTACTTCTTTCAAATTAAATACGCACGCCCAAGCCTTTTCGCCTAGACTTGTAAAGAAAGAATATATATATAATAAGATGGATAATATTTGAAAAAAAAAAATTCCCGAGTTCCGCCCAGTATCTACATTTTGAAAGATAAAAAAAATTAAAAATAAAAACCTTTTTTTTTTTTTTTTTTTTTGAAAATACCCTCCTTAAATTGCGTCTCCCATTTTTTTTTTTTTTTCAACCCTTTATATAAATAGGGGAATAATCATAACAACAAGAAATCAACTAATAGAATTTGAAGAAAAAGATATTATGAAAAAAAAAAAATTTTTTTTAAATAAATTAATAAAAACCCCTTATTCTAATAGTATTAATAACTAATCATCACCTCCTTTTCAAAAAAAAAAAATAATAATAATAATAACAGAAAATAAAAGAAAAAAAAATCTTACTCTTCTTTTTTTATTCCTATTTATATTCTTTTTTTATTCCCAGTGGTATTCTTTTTTTTATTCCTATTTTTTTTTTTTTTTTCGTATTTATTTATGATTAATTTAGTGCATGAATATATTGTTTCTTATTGTTAAATAAAACAATAAAAAAAAAAAAAAAGAAAAAGATTCAAAACGGGTAAAGGTCACATTAAAAGATTTAAACTTGATAGCATGAATCAAGGTTGTTTGATAAAACAAAGATTTAGAATCAGATATAATAAACAACCCCGTTTTAAAAAGAACTTCTTTTTTTTTCAGACTTTTCTTTCATTCATATATAGTTTATTATTTCAATACCCTTCCAAAAACATTTCCATTTCATGTTTTAAATAAAATCTTGGTAAATCCATCTAGAAATTTTTTTTTTCATTTTTTTTGAAAATGTATATATATATATTTGTTAAAAAGAAACTTGACTAAAAAATATTTCTTCTTGTTTTAGTCTCATTTGTCTTATTATACCTGTTTTATACTAAAAACAAAAAAATTAATACCTTTAATCTGACAACTTTTAGTTTAAATATATATATATATATACCCATTTTTATTTTATTTTATTTTATTTTGAAAAGTCCAAGATTCTTGGTTCTTACCTTGGCTTTCTTAGTCAGTTAAGTCTTCTTTTTTATTTTTTTTTATTTTTTTAAATGTCATAATCATGGTCTTTAATTTTAATGCTAATAATACAAAAAGCTTTCAACGATAAAAAAAAAAAAAAAAAAAATTTTTTTTTAAACGGTTATTATCCTGTTAAATTCTTTGCTATTTTTTTTTTCTTTTCATATTATTCTTAACTCTACTTTTTAACTTTGTTTAAAATGTAAAAAAAATAAAATAAAATAAAAAAACAAATTGTCCTTTCTCTAAAGTTTTTTTTTTTTTTTTTTTTTTAAAGTTCTTTGCCACTACGTTCCATTGTTTTTTTTTGTTTTTTTTTGCATTCCAATAAGCATTAAAAATAAATATATATTTTTTTTAAATTTTTTTTAGATGAAAAAAAAAAAAAAGGTCCAGTCATTTTGCTGAAAAAGAAGAAGAAGAGAAAAGAAAATGTCATTTTTTGAAATTCTCTTCTTAATATTTCTTGTTACATTTACATTTACATTTACAATTACAATTATAATTAAAATTAAAATTTCTGTTATAACTTGTGAACCTTTTATTTATTCATTTATTTATTTAATTTATGGTTGTTATTTTGTTTACCCATATCTCTTTAGAAATATAAAACAAACAAACTAACAAACACCTTTTTTTTTTTTCTTTATGGATAAGCGAGAAAACTCTACCACGGTTTCAAACTGGCTTCATTGTTTGAAAAGTTAGATTTGTTTTTAAAAAATTGTCTTTGTTTTGTCTACTAGATGAAAAAAAAAAACAAAAAAATTTTTTTGTTTGTAAATAAACATAGAATTAATAATCTTTTTTTTTTTTTTTTTTAAAATCCAGTAGTTAACTTTAAAGAAAAAAAGTTAGTTTTACTTTGCTATTAAAATAACCATTTCTACTATATATATATATATATGTATATATATATAAAATTTCTTTTGATTTTTCCATCTTGACATGTTTTTAGAGTAGTTGTTTGTTTAAAATATTAAACTTCCTGAATAATAATGAATATTAGACCTATTCTCTTTCTCACTCACCCTCCCCCCCACGAACTGTATCCAATTGTTGTATTTTAATATACACTCCAAGTATTTTGTTGAAGTATACATTGTTTATTTTTTTTTTAAGAATGTAAGTACCTGATATATATTGTATATATCGTATATATATATCATTGATATCTTTAATAGGAAATCAAAAAAAAAAAAAAAAAAAAACCAAACAGTTTCCATAGATAAAATTTCTTAAGAAAGGCTGTTTATATAATTATTTTTATTTTCTTTTATTATTTTTTGTTCAGCCGGATTGCTTCCCAGTCAATTGAATAAATAAATAAAAAAAAAAAAAATCCTCTCATTGTAATTATTATTATATATATTCAAGAATGATTATAAAAAAAAATAAAATTTTTTTTTTTCCCTTCAATAACTAGGCTTGTTGAAAAAAAAAAAAAAAAAAAAAAAAAAAAAATATTCAAGATTCTGGGCATGTCTAGTTTTGATAATGAGATTTCTATTTTTAAAAAAAATAAATAAAAAAATAAATAAAATACAGATAAAGATTAAATGCCAAGTTCTAAACTTTTCCAATTTTCCAATTTTCCAATTTTCCAATTTTCCAATTTTCCAATTTTGTTTATTTTTTTTTTATTTTTGTTTATTTATTTACTTAAAAGTCCTTTTTTTAATTTCTTAAAATTTTTTTTTCTCTTAACTTGTTGTGATTTTAATTTCTTTAAAAAAAAAAAAAAAAAAAAAAATAAAAAATAAAATCTTCTTAACTCAACTTAACTTAACTTCCCTTAATTAAGACTTTATAAAAAGTCTTTTTAGAAACGCGTGATGGGTTTTTATTTATTTTATTTTTTTAATACGTACTATATATAAATATAAATATAAATATAAATATAAATATAAATATATAACGTAGTACAGATAACGTAGTAACAGATACCCAAATAACGTATACCAAAAAAAGTTACTTTCTTCCCTCCCTTCATCCCCGTTTTTCTCCTTTTTTTATTTTATTTTATTTTATTTTATTTTGGGAAAGCTCGGAAGGTACGTTTTAGGCAGCAGTATTTCTTCATCAAGACAAAAGCAACCGACCAGAAAAAAAGAAAACGGCCATTAACTTCTTTCTCTCACTCCTCACTATTCATCCCTCCCCCCCCCCTGAGTTTAGAAAAGTTTGGGAAATTTATTTATTTTTTAAAAAACTACTACTACAAGTATAATTATTAAAAATTATTAAAAATTATTAAAAATTATTAAAAAAAAAAAAAAAAAAAAAGAAAACGCGTGGGATTTTTTTTTATTTATTATTATTATTATTATTATTATTATTATTATTATTATTATTATTATTATTATTATTTTTTTTTTTTTCAGAAGAAATTATTAAAAAAAAATTGAAATAATAATAATAATAATAATAATAATAAAAACTGAAGTTTGAAATAGATTAAAACAATATAAAAAGAAGAAGAAAAGAAAGAAAAATTTAATGAATTTTTATTTTTTTTTCAAATGGCATGACAGTCAGCTTCCGGATCGGGTCGGCGAGTGAACTCCATATGAAAAGATGAAAAAGATGAAAAAGAAGAAGAAAATGTGTGTGTGTTTTTAAAAAAGGTTAAAAGATAATTGAAAATTTATAAAGACTTTTCTATATATATATATATATATAAATCAATATTTAAATATAAATCAATATATAAATCAATATTTAACCAAATTAAATTCCCTCAATTACAACCCAACGCGTAACGGGTATTGAAAAATTATATATATATAAAAGACTTACGACGACGACGACAAACAACAACAACAACAACAATTACGAAGTCAATGATGATGATGATGATGATGATGTAAATTATGATGATGACGAAGACAATCCAATTTAAATTTTTTTTTTTTTTTTTTTTTTTTATGATGATGATGATGATAATAATAATAATAATAATAAAAAAAAAAAAAAAAAAAGCAGGAGATTAGAAGAGAAAAAGGGGAGGGGAAATAGTTGTTTGAATGTGTTTATATATAAAAAAAATTTAGTTGTGTAGAAGAAAACCAAAAAAAAAAAAAAAAAAAAAGACCTTCAAAAAGTAGTAGCGTGGCTAAGCACTAAAAAAAAAAAAAAAAAAAAAAAAAAATCTCCTTGTTGTATTAAAAAAAAAAAAAAAAAAAAGTATTTAATTTTTTTGCAAACCTCCGTTTTTTTTTTTTTTTTTTTTTTTAAACACGCGCGTTTTCATTCTTTCTTCTCTTTTTTTTTTTTTTTAAAAAAAATCTTCAAGTCACTCGCTTCTTCTTCTTCTTTTTCCTTTTCTTTTACTTTCTTTAAATCATTTTCCCATTCTTCTTCTTCTTCTTCTTCTTCTTCTTCTTCTTCTTCTTCATTCATTCACATAATCAATGAAGTTCTCGATATCCTCCGTATTGGCCACTGCCACGGCCCTCCTCTCATCGGCCTCTGTTGTTTCTGCTGCTGCAACATCCACAGCTTCTGCTTCTTCCTCTTCCTCCTCTTCTTCTTCTTCCGTCCCTGAAATCGTCATCAAGGGTAACAAGTTCTTCTACTCAAATAACGGAACTCAGTTCTTCTTTAAAGGTATCGCCTACCAACAAGAACTCGCAAATGCTACCTCAGATACAACCTTCACAGACCCCCTGGCTGATGGCACCGCTTGTGCTCGTGACTTGCCCTACCTCCTAGAGCTCAAAACTAACGTCCTGCGCGTCTACGCTGTCAACACTTCCCTCAATCATGACGACTGCATTAACCTCTTTGCTGAAAATGGTATCTACATCATTGCCGATCTCTCCGAACCTGGCCTCTCCATCAACCGTGACTCACCATCTTGGACTATTGATCTTTACTCCCGTTACACCTCCGTTATTGACCAGCTCCAAGGTTATTCAAACGTCCTCGGCTTCTTTGCCGGCAATGAAGTCACAAACAATAATACAAATACTGATGCTTCTCCCTTTGTCAAGGCTGCAATCCGTGACACTAAGGCTTACATCAAGTCCCAAGGTTACCGCTCTATCCCTGTCGGCTACTCCACTAATGATGATGCCGACACCCGTGGCTACCTTGCAGACTACTTCAACTGTGGTTCCGAAGATGAAATTGCTGACTTTTACGGTATTAACATGTATGAATGGTGCGGTAGCACTGTTAACTTTGAAACTTCTGGTTATGCTGACCGTACATTGGAATTTGAAAACTATACTGTTCCTGTTTTCTTTTCCGAATATGGTTGCAATGTCCCCCAGCCTCGTCAGTTTAATGATATTCCATCTCTCTACTCTACAAACATGACTGATACCTGGTCCGGTGGTATTGTTTACATGTACTTTGAGGAATCCAACAATTATGGTCTTGTTTCTATTGTTAACTCAAAGGTTTCTACCCTTTCTGACTTTAACGCCCTTTCTACTAAAATCAATGCCGTTTCCCCCTCTGCTTCTAACTCAGCCTCTTTTACCCCTACAAACACTGCTCAGCGTGACTGCCCTGCTTCCACTCTTGCCGACTGGAAAGCTGCATCTGACCTCCCCCCCACCCCTAACCAAACTGTTTGCGATTGCATGGCCAACTCTCTTGAATGCGTCGTTGTTGACAGCGTTGACGAGACTGACTATGCCGATCTCTTCTCTTACGTTTGCAACCAGATTGATTGTGGTGGTATCACTTCTAATGGTACCACTGGTGACTATGGCTCTTACTCCTTCTGCTCTGCTAAGGAAAAGCTTTCTTTTGTTCTTAACTTGTACTATATCTCTCAAAAGAAGAGTGCTTCTGCTTGCGATTTCTCTGCAAAGGCCACCACTGCTTCTACCCAGTCTGCCGGTTCTGTCTGTGCTTCTATTGTCTCTGCTGCCGGCTCTTCTGGTCTTAACTCTATTTCTGTCACTGTTACTGCCACTGGTTCTTCCTCTGGTTCTTCTGCCACTGGTTCTTCTTCTTCTTCCAAGTCTGGCTCTTCTTCTTCTTCTTCTGCTTCTGCTTCTGCCACTTCAAAGTCTCCTGCTCCTGCTAACCTTCCTGCTACTGTCAATGTCTTTGGTGTCCAGACTGCAGCTGCTCTTTTTGCCGCTTTCTCCATTGGCCTTGCTCTTGTTCTGTAAATGGGAAAGAGTGAATATGAAAAAAAAAAGAGTTTTTTTTTATAATTCAATTTTTTTAAAAGATTAAAAAAAAAAAATATAAAAAAACTTCCCCTTCCCCGCACACTTTCAAGAAAAAAAAAAAAAAAGAAAAAAAAAGCCCATTTCAACCATTTAGACGAGACAAAAAAAAAATGAAAAGACTGTTGAAGAAGAAATGTCAAAGCACTTTGTATAACTTATTGTTTATTTTTTATTAACATTTTTGATTATAATTAATTGTATTATTAAAGAAGAAAATTTTTAAAAAGAGAGAGAGAGAGAGAGAGAAAAATTTAAATGTAGTCTATTAGTTGAAAAAATATATATATATATATATGTATATATATTTTAATTTGTTTAAAATCTATCATGATAAGCCGTTTTTTTTTTCTTTTTTTTTTTCTTTTTTTTCTTTCTTTCTTAAATTTCATTTTTTAAGATTTCCATAAATATTAAACCATAAAAATCTCTCCAAGACTTTTAGAGTCCATGGTTGCTGCTCGCTTACTTCGAATCCAACGGGCCCGCGTCGCATGGATTCCTTTAAGTGCGGTTGGTGCTGCGCTACCTGTCGCTGCAACCGAAGATGTTGATTCTGATGAAGATGTTGATTCTGATGAAGATGAAGAAGATGAAGAAGAAGACGATGAAGATTCAGGTGAACTTTCTTTAGATTTTTTCGACTTCTTTTCTTTCTTGTCTTTCTTTTCTTTCTTTTCTTTCTTTTCTTTCTTATCCTTTTTGCTTTTCTTCACTTGATCATCTTCATCATCATCTTCTTCTAGCTTTCGCTTCTTAGACTTCTTTTCTGACTTTTCTTTTTTATTATCCTTTTCAGATTTGTCCTTCTTTTCCTTCTTCTTTTCTTTCTTATCAGATTTATCCTTCTTTTCCTTCTTCTTATCCAACTTATCCAACTTATCCAACTTATCCAACTTATCCAACTTATCCTTCTTTTCTTTTTTCTTTTCCTTCTTCTCATCACTCTTCTCACTTCCTCCCTTTATAATCTTACCATTCTCATCAATCGTTCCTTGCAATAATCCACCATACACAAACTGCATCCCAAACTTGGGATTTTCCTCCACTACCATTTTCCGTTGTGTTCCAAGTGCTCGTTCTACCCTTTCTTCTTCTCCATTCAACCGCCCTAAAATCCTTTGAAATACATCTAATCCTTGAACAAACCCATCATCTCCTGCCATACCTAACCCATCATCATTCCCTCCCCTTTTATACGGATTCCGTACTCGAGCACCAAGCCCACAATTATCCCGCTTCACTGCCATCTTAATATGAGATATGTTACCATGCTGCCGTTGACCAAGTCCATTCCCCTTGTTCCAACCTAACCGGACTAAATGCTGGTGACCAAATCTTAGTGTGTCTAAGGGAGAAGGAAAAAAAAAAAAAAATTGTGTTAGAGTAAAGCAAACCAGACAAAAGTTTTATTATATATATATATATATATATATATATATTCACTCACCATTTGACCAATGTGTGTTTCTAGGGTCTTTTCCAATCTTGGTATTCTGTTTAGCACCTGCCAGTCCCATTTTTTTTTTTTTTCCCTTTGTGATTTGATTTTGAATAGTTGAAAGAAAAAAAAAAAAAAAACAAAAAAGAAGAGAGGATTGTTTGGTGAGATTTTCTTTGATAAGGCAGAATAGGAAAATAAAAAAAAAAAAATTTTTTTTTAACCAAAAAAAAAATACCAACAAAAGGCTGAAAAAAAAAAAAAAATTTTTTTTATAATTAAGAAACTCCAAAAATCAGATCAGTCACGTGACAACTGAAAGACTATTGTGATGATTCAAACAACTTTGAAAGACTATCATCATCATCATCATCATCATCATCATCATCATCATCATAATCAAAAGAGATTAAGTAATTATCTTTTTTAAACAAAGAAGAAAAAAAAAATAAAAGATTTGAAATATTTAAAAAATTGATATTATAAATTAAAATTATAAATTGAAGTTTAAAATATTTTATATTTATTTTTGAAAAAAAAAAAAAAAAAAAAAAAAAGAATAAAAGTCTTTTTCTTTTTTTCCTTTTATTTCTCACTAATGTTCAAATATATTTAAACAAACTGATTCAACAATAAGATTAACTTGTTTAGTCGTCTTTAATAAAAAAAACCACTTTGATTAGTTTAAATTAAATTAAATTAAATTAAATTAAATTTCTGTTATGTTGAAATACGTTTTTTCTCAGTTAAAGTAAATTTAACACTTAACAAATCAGATTAGAAAATTAACAATATCCTGTTTATATAAGAATCAAAAAAAAAAAAAAAAAAATAAATAAAAAAAATAATAAAATTCCTTCAAAATTTTTTTTTTTTTCTTTCTCTTTCTTTCCATTAATCACCAATTTAAATTTTCTTTTTTTCTTATCACTTAAAACTAAGCAATTGAAAAAAAAATTTAAAATAATTACAAATGCCCCGTAAATCTCGCTCATCAAAGTAGTCCTATAAACTTATAATAAATCTTTCTGTTTTTGTTTAATCATCTCTAACCCCCCCTTTTTTTTTTTTTTTTCTTTTTTTCTTTAGTCTACCTCCAATGCCATCTTTAGATCTTTCTCAAGACTCTTCTTTGGCCATTGATTCCTCCTCTTCAGATTCCTTTCTTTCTCAAGTCACCAATAATCATTCAGTTTCTCCTACCTCTCAATTTACAACTACAACTACAACTCGCCCTAAACGTCGCCAACCTCGTCGTCGTGAAAATACCCCACTTCCTAAAGCAACACCAACCAACTTTGTCGAGCTTTTCCAATCTCAAATTACATCAATTTACTCCCAAATTGACGCACAAAGACGTGCTAAACTAACTGCTGCATCTGGACATACAAGACTTGGTCTTGCTCTCAAAAGTGTCCATGGCTCACGTATCACTAAAGCTCATCGTAGAATTCTAGAGCTACGCTCTCGCGCAGCTCAAAAACGTGCCAAATTAAACACAGCTGAGACTGAACAAGTGTAGAACAAAAAAAAAAAAATGGTATCAGGATATCTTTTCAATACTAACTAGTAATTTTTTTTTTATTTAATTTAGAAATTCAGTCAATACCCGGTTTGAAGAAAAGCTTGGGCAGCAGACCATTACTTTTGATGATTTAAACAAAAGAATTCTTGAGCTTCACTCTGAAATAAAGGTATGAAGCTAAAATAAATAGTAGGACTATTCAATTCTAACAAAAAAAAAAACTTTCCCTAGAAAACTTATGAAGACACATTGACTGCTGTTAAAACTCTTTCAGATTAACCAGCAAAGTCCATTTTTATAGTCTAAAGTATAGATAGAAAAACTCAATCAATTTACCCATCTTATATATATATATATAAATACCCTTACCCGGACCCACATATACGCATACTCTGCTGTACTTTCTAGACTGAATTTTTTTTCTGCATAAAAAAAAAAAAAAAAAAAAAATTTACCGCGAATTGGAAATTTTTTTATTAAATTTTTCCAGTCACCACAAAAAAAAAGCCCTTTTTTTATTTTATTTTATTTTATTTTTTTTTTTTGGTTTCTGCACACACAAGCACTCACTTGTACATTCCACATCTCCCTAGCCATTATCCACAATGACTACCGCCACCTTGTTGCCTCTCCCCGCCGAGTGGTCTGCTCCGGAATCTTTCCAGGCCTACGCTACCATCTCCTCCCCCTCCAAGCGTGTCATTGAGCCCGTTGGCCCTGGCTTCCTCGCACATGCCCGCCGCACCCTTAGAGGCCGTACCTGGTCTGAGGATGAGAAAATCCAGGCAGAGAAGAACGTCAAGAAGGTTGTCGAGAACAAGGACGAGATTGAGCTCGAAGATGAGCCCGAAGATCCTTCCATCTTTGAGCTGGATGCCAAGGACTGGAAGAACCAGGACCACTACATGGTTCTTGGTCTTACAAAGCTGAGATACAATGCTACTGATGATCAGATCCGCATTGCCCACAGAAGAAAGGTTCTTAAGCACCACCCCGATAAAAAGGCTGCTCAGGGCCAGATCAATGAGGATAGTCTGTTCAAGTGCATTCAAAAGGCCTTTGAGGTTCTTTCTGACCCCGTCCGCCGCAGACAGTTTGACTCAGTCGATAAGGCTGCCGATGTCCTCCCCCCCAAGAAGAATGTCAAGGGCGACTTTATTGAGCTCTGGGCCCCTGTCTTTGCTGCTGAAGGCCGCTTCTCCAAGACCCAGCCTGTCCCCGTTCTCGGCACCTTGGAGTCTCCCAAAACCCAGGTTGACGCCTTTTACTCCTTCTGGTACAAGTTTGACTCATGGAGAACCTTTGAGTACCTCGATGAGGATGTCCCCGACGATTCCAGTAACAGAGACAACAAGCGTTACATTGAGAAGAAGAACAAGGCTGCCCGCCAAAAGTACAAGACTGATGATACCGTCAGACTGCGCAAGCTTGTCGACACTGCTCTCGCCCAAGATCCCCGCATCAAGATGTTCCAGGACGCCGAGAAGAAGGCTCGTGAGCAGCGCAAGTGGGAACGTGAAGCTGGTGCTCGTGCTGCCCAGCAGGCCAAGGAGGAGGCCGAGAAGAAGAAGGCTGAAGAAGAGCGTCTTGCCAAAGAATCCCAGCAGGCTGGTAAGAAGGCCAAGGAGGCTGCTAAGAATGCTAAGAAGAAACTCAAGCGTACCGTCCGTGCCGGTCCCAAGGAGGTATCTTACTTTGGCGAAGCTGACTCCAAGGTTCAAGAGTCTATTGATGCTGATGTTGATGCCATTCTTGAGAAGCTCAATGACACCCAGCTCGCCGATCTTGCCGGTAAGGTTTCCGATAACAAGGATGCTGCCGCTGTCAAGGCTGCCTACGTTGCTACTGCTGCCGAGCTCAAGCTTTCGTCTGTCAAGTACTTTAGCTCTTAGATTTATGGGAAGTTTTAATTGGTAGGAATTGTTAGAAATATATTTTTATGGAGTTGAAGAAATTTATTTGTAAGAGCATTTTTTTTTTTTTTTTTAATTTTTTTTTTTTCAAAATTGAGACATTGTTACATGAACAAAAAAAAAAAATGGCTCTCAGTAAAAAAAATAAAACAATAAAAAAGCTTTTCCTTTTTTTATTTTTTATTTTTATTTTTATTTTTTTTCCTTTTGTCACCACCACAAAAAAAAAGCCTCCTTTTGTTGTTCTGATTCATCACAAACATACCTTTGACGTTTTCCGGATCATTAAAAACGGTCCATATAAACCATGGTCAAGACGGAAAACATTGGTCAGATCTATGATACTGACGGCACAACACCTCTTAACTATATTGTGGTGATTGACGCCGGTTCGAGCGGCTCGCGTGCTCACATCTTTTCTTATCCAGACTCAAAAAGCGTGTCCTTTTCACAAGGTGTCACCAAGAGAAGTCCCGATGATGATGATGATGACGATGGCGGCAGCAAAGCCAATGATACTAAGAGTGATAACTCTAAGGAACCTGAAAATAATTCAACTGACCAAGATTCAGAAAAAGAACTTTTGGACAATCCATCTTCATCCCAAGACACCAAGGACCAAAACACACCCGTTGTTCCCTTAAAAAACATTCTTCCTAACCTTTCCAAACAAGGCCACAAATGGGTCAAGAAAACAAAACCTGGGCTCAGCTCCTTCTCTGGTAAACCCCAGGCAGTGGGCAAAAAACACCTCAAGTCCCTACTCAAATATGCAATGGGTGTGGTTCCTGAATCACAACACTACCGTACCCCTATCTTCCTGCACGCGACGGCCGGACTACGAGTGCTCAAGCCTAACGATTCAAACAGTCTGTTGGATGCCGCATGTACATACATTAAGTCTCATACGGATTTTCTGCTGCCGGACTGCCGCACGGCCGTTTCGATGATTGACGGCGAGATTGAGGGTATTTTCGGCTGGATCTCTTCCAACTACCTGCTTGGCGGGCTTCAGGATCCAGATACATTTTTGCATGGCAAAAACAAGGACCATTTTACATTTGGTTTACTGGAAATGGGTGGTGCCAGTACTCAGGTTACATTTGTTCCAAACGTGACAGAAAGCTCAGCGCATAAGCAAAACATGTACACCCTCAATCTTCCTTCGTTAGACGGTACCAAGGATTTGTCTTTCCAGATTTCCTCAACAACGTTCCTGCGGTTTGGTGTTAATGAAATTCATAGCCAAGTGCTTGATTCTATCAAAAACAAAGAGGACCCATGCACTCCCAAGGGGCTTGTAACTGTTTATGACAAGAAGACACAGAAGGTTGTTTCCATAAAAAGTGCCAAGAAGAAAATCAAGGGAAAAGATGAGAAAGATGATGATGAAACTGATACAGAACCAGAAGATGAGAGTGATGATGATGATGATGAGGATGACAAGACCCGTTTGCGGAAACGTGGGAACAAGGTGGAAATCAAAGGCTCGGGAGATTACGACAAGTGCCAGGAGATTATGACACCATTGGCCGTTGCGATGCGTTCATCGGTGACCAAACCAGAGTTTGATTTCGACACAAACCATTTTATTGGCGTATCTGAATACTGGGACACAGCACACTACGGATTTGATTTAGGCGGCCGGTTTGACCACCAGAAACTTCAGGAGCGCGTACGAGCATACTGCAACTCAGACTGGGACTCAATTGCCGCTGTTAAAAAAGAAAAAGATGGTCCATACAGTGATTTAGACACAAGTGATCTCCATGACCTGTGCTTACGTGCTTCGTGGGTTCTTGCAGTGGTCGAGCATGGACTAGGTATTCCTATAGGAGATTTGGATGCCGCTAGTGCAAATTCTACCACAATAAATGACTCAGACAATAGTGCGATTCATAATGAGGAACTCGAGAATGGGTTTGAATCACCACTGCAAAGCGCCAATGAGATTCGTGGCACCAAGTACTCATGGACGTTGGGTCGTGCCCTATTGTATGCATCTGCGGAACAGAGTGTTTCAGAAAAATCTCAATCTGCAGGAATTTTATCCAACTTGAACTTGGACTCAGGGCATTTCCTTTACGGCATGCCTGCATACCCTCGTCCAAAGTTTGATGCAAAGCGGGTAAGTGACTTTAAGGCTAGCGACCATGATGATGATGATGACGATGACGACGATAATGACTGGGAAGACTATTTGGAGAAACATAGCCATCGTCTTTGGGGGACCCTTATATTTCTTCTTATTCTTATTGTCATTGTGTACCTTTTACTGGGTAAGTTGCGTCGCCGCCAAATGTGGCAATCGTTTATTTCAAAATTCCCAGGCCACCGGTACTCATCGAATTTCTCTCAGCAGCAAAGCACCCAACCTTCCACCTTTTTGGGCCGACTTGTTTCCGGAATCAGTGCGGCTGGTGCCGTTGCTGCTGGACTTTTCACAGGCCGCGGCAGTGGCAACACTATTAGCAATCGGTATCGTCGGATGGCTCCTGACTCTGAGCCTGTGGAAGATTTGGAGTTGGGCGCAATTGATGACCCGGATACTATTGGTCTGGAGATCTCATCGTCGTCATCGTCATTGTCTTCTTCTTCTGGTGCAGTGAATACTACCACAAATGGAGGTGGTAGTGGTGATCAGGCCCAAAGTGATAACTTTAGCATTTCAAGTGATGAAGAAAGCACAAGAGAACTTGTGAAATGAAGAATGAACAAAAGTATGAAAATAGGACTACGATATATATATATATTCATTTGATTTAACATGATAAAATATGGGATTAAACAGTGTAATATAAGTAAAATAAAAAAAAAAACTTATTGTAGTAATTTAAAAAAATATATTTGCTTTACTTGCGACAGCCCGGAGTCGAACCGGGGGCTCGTCGATGGCAACGACGAATTTTACCGCTAAACCACTAACGCTTTTAAGTTTCAATATTTACATATATTCTTTTAGGATTATATATGCACAAAATTTAACAATCTATAGTAAACAGTTGCTGAAATCATTGATTCAGGGGAAAGGGCTGGATGGTGTAAAGGGTAACACGTTCGCTCGATAGCGGAAGATACTGGGTTCGATTCCCAGAATACCCCCTTTTCCTGAGGATGTGTACGGGAGTATACACCTAGACTGAAAACCATAGGCTACCCTGGTTACAGGAATGCCGACTCTTCCGTACAGTCTAAATAGCCTGCAGGTGATTGCGGGCCGTATCTCTGACGGAAGAGATTAAGAAATACATGGGCGTCCGTGAAGATAAGTGGAAATGGGTTGGGAAGGTTTTGGGACCGACAGACTGGTTCTCCCTGTTCCTCGTAAGCTGGCATCAGGGCCCATCTTCCGGGCTACCGGAGACGCACAGAACAGAAACCACCAGTACTAAAAAGGTACAAATGAAAACCGGCAAGTCACATAGTCAGACAATAAAAGGATAGCGCAGATGCTGATGTTATATAGTTCTATAACCCTTGAATAAAAACAAACAAACAAACAAACAATCATTGATTCAGGACAACTAAGCCAAAATTATAAGTGCTTTTAAATTTGGCTTTGAAAATAATAAACCATGTCAGACCCCCCCAACAACACCCAAACCACGTTTAGTGGCGGCGACCCTCCTGCCGACAATAATTATACCGACAATAATAATGAACAGACTAATATTAATGATATGCAAAAAATTATTGCTGTTGAACTGAAGGAGAAAGAAAGTTCTCATTCCAGAGGACCTCATTCTCATGAAGCTCATCACATCAAACCCTCGACAAAAATCCAAAAAAATAATGAAAAACCAGACTCCCATAAAAAAATTGAAACTATCCACAAAAAGCTTGAATCGAATGATAAGCATAATGCTTCTTCAAACCACGAAACCCCCGTTGAAACCCCTATTGTGAATGTTGGTCCAACCTTGAACCCTACCTTTGACTCTTCACCAGATGGTGGTGATGTGGAAATTGACGCAACACCATCACGTGACATGGATGTTCTCATGCCGGATGCAAATCCATTTGGTGATAATTCTGAAGCCTGGGAATACATCTTAAAACTTAAGGATGTATTTCTGGTTGAATTGTCTATTGTTAAAGAAGACTTGAGTATTACAATTGAAGATTGGGAAATAAAATTTCAAAATCTTGAACTTAAAAACAATGAGTTAGCTAAACAACTCATTGCTTTGACCGAAAAGCTTAAAGCTTCAGAAGGACAAGTGAATTCTCTTCGCTCAGAACTTGATGTTTTGAGAAACAATCAGGTTCACACAGAAGTTAAACATGTAATGTTTGAAAAACTTAAAAAGGAAGTTAAGGATAATAAGGATCATTGCGATAAAGTGAAACATAAAGCTGATGAAATAGCTAAGATGACTCTTCAAGATTTGTCTCAAGAAAAAGCAAGAAACAAAAGAATTATCGACACTGAAATCAAGGAATTCAAAGAAATGACCAACAATCTTGAGAAAAGAGTTGATAATATGGAATACAAAGTTGGAACTATTTCAACTAAGGCTGATTTAACTACCAAAGAACTTAGCTACGCAAAAAGGAAATCAAGAGTGCGGTAAGAAAAGTCGACACTTTGCCTTTTGCTTTGACCCCTAAAACTCCAAATGGAGCAACTCCAAAGTTGAAAGACATTATGAAGGCTCAAAACAACACCGTGAAACTAAAGTTGATGAAGACAAACCCACTTTTAGAGTGTGCATAAGAATTCCAGATACCATGAAAAGAGTTAATATCCCTGCGATTGGAAAGAAAATTGATGCGGTTGCACAAAAAGCCGGTGGCTCAGGAAATAGGCTATACTGTCAAAGGGCATTTATATGTTCAACTTAATGACAAAGATTTTGCTGATAAAGCTGCAGAATGGATCCCCAAAGTTGACCCTACTTATTCAGTGCTTGACACAGATTCTTGGTACAAGGCTGTACTTCAGGAAATACCTAATACGGCATCGATTGAAGACTTGAAAGAAACTCTCTACAATTTTAATGATTACCATATTGTTTTGAATACCGAACCCAAAATCATTAGCAGAAACCAATTTACCCAAAACAGCATTGGTTTCATTCAGAAATGCCTAAGACTATGCAAAGTGTGCTGATAATCTTATTATCCAGTACACAAAAGTTAAAGTTAGACCTTTTATTAGCAGAAAAAAAACTCCTGAAGAACTCCAAGCTATGCGTAATAAGATACGATTATTGAAAAATGAATCAGACAAAAGGATAATGAGGCCCATCCTGTTTCCACTGACGACTCACAAGATGAACCGATGAAAGAAACAAATATTGAAGAACTAGATGAATCCAATGAGGAAGAAAACGAAAACAATTCTATTACATCCAATGAATTATAAAGTATTCCAACTCAATTGTCATAAATCGAAATCTATTACTGAAACTATCTTAGATAAAAAGAACCTGATATCTTGTTATTACAAGAACCTTACTTTAACAACTATGGGCCCATTAAACATAAAGATTGGATCCCAATCTTTACAGAAACTGGAAAAAAAAAAAATGCAGAGCAATTACTTACATTAGGTCTAACTCTGACTTACGAGCATTAACTACTAAAATTGAAAAGTTTACAAATCGAGATATGGTTACCATTTTGGTTAAAGACATTACAATTGTCAATGTCTATAATCAACCGAAACCATCCAAGAAATACCCTGAGCCACCGGTTTTTGAGTTTCTCAAACGGGAGATCAAGGAACAATACTCAAAGATTGTCATTGCAGGTGATTATAACTTACATCACAAGGAATGGGAGTCAAGGGCAGGTCCGAATACGGAAGCAGATGAAGTTGTTGAGTGGCTACATGAAAATGATATGATGTTAATTACTCCAAGAAATCAAAAAACATACAACAATAGAACCAATATTGATTTGGTTTATGGCTCAGTGGACTTACTTCATAGAATTTCATTTAGTGGAGTGGATGAAAATACACTAAGTGATCACTCAATTGTGGAGTGGGACATCTATATGTCTCAGAGTAAAAACGGGGATGAAGTTTTTACTTCGGTGAAGAGATTGAATATTAAGAATGCAGATTGGGAAAAGTTTGACAAGGAGCTTTCTTCTGCCATTAAAGATTTTAATGTGCATAACAAAACTCTAAAATCAACTGACCAAATTGATGACCAAGCTAAAGTTCTTGAGGAGGTTGTAAAAAGAGCAATGGCAAAGTCGATGAAGGAAGTTAAGGTGATGAAAAAGTCCAAACGCTATTGGAATCAAGAATTAAGGGAGAAGTTAGAAAAAGCGCTAGAAGCTAAAAGGGAAGCCCGTCAAAGACAACCTTCTTTGGCTTTGAAACGACAAAAAAATTGAAGAGGCGAAAAAAAAAGCTAGAAAAATTTTTGACCACAGTTTGCGTGAGGCAAGTACTGAGCAATGGAATAAATATTTGTCTAGTTTAGAAGGAAATGACATTTGGAAGATTTTGAAGTATATTAATCCAAAAAGCAATGATACCATTATACCACAAATTAGAAAAGAAGATGGAACTCTCACTACTACTGTTGACGAAAAAAGACATGAAATATGGAAGGCACTTCTACCTGAAATTGATCATGGTCTTGATAGAGAGTTTGAAATTGATGACGATTCTCGATGGCCAAAATTAGAGTTTGATGAAGTTGACTCTGCATTGGCTGATACCCCAAATGATAAAGCTCCAGGAGACGATGGAATTACTGGCAAAGTTTTAAAGATGGCATGGCTAAATAAAGACTTTAAGGAAAGGTTTTTCAAGCTTCTCCAAGCTTGTGTAAAGTTTGGATACCACCCAAAAGTCTGGAGACATGGCATTATTGTTGTTATACCTAAACCTAAGAAACCTGACTATTCAAAGCCAAGAGCATACCGACCAATTTCCTTACTTAAGATTCCATCTAAAGTACTGGAAAAATTATACAAAAAGAATGACCAAGCTTACAACACACACTTACTTCCACCAGAGCAATATGGGGAAGACAAGGTTATTGTGCTACTGATGCTGTTTTGGAACTTGTCCAAAGAATTGAAACTAGTAAGGAAAAAATTTCAGCTATGCTCATTGATATTCAAGGAGCTTTTGATAATGTTAACAGAAATATATTGGCACACACAATGGAGGATATGAAACTACCCAAAGCACTTATAAACTGGACGTACCAATTTGTAAGTGAAAGAGAAGCTAGTATGCTCATGGACCGAAGAAAAGGATCAGTGCAAAAATTAGTACTGGAATTCCGCAAGGCTCACCTATTTCACCACTACTTTTTTGATATATTCCACACCAATGTATCATGCCATTAAAGAATGGGGTGGAACTCCTTTTGGCTTTATTGATGATGTGACTATTACCGTTGAAGGTAAAATTGAAGAAAATACCAAAAGCTTAAGCAACATATTAGAAAAATGTTGTAATTGGGCTAAATCAAGAATGACCAAAATTGATTTGGGTGATAAATTGGGTTTTATTCATTTTACAAAAAAATGTGAAACCTAAAGATGAGAAAGTGCAACTTACTTTACCTAATGGAGAACTTCGTGAACCCCAGAAGGAAGTTAAATTGCTTGGAATTACTTTGAACAATCTGCTTGATTTTAAATCTCATATTTTGAATAAAATCAATAAAGCAAGAAAAGCTGTTGGTGCTATTTGGCATCTTGGTGGCGTGCAAAAGGTATGCGAGGGTCTGCAGTCAGATCACTGTATATTGCTTGCGTGAGACCAATTGTCGAATATGGCTTAGAAATTTGGCATCACAAAATTTTGAAAGGAGAAATCCACAAGTTGGAAGTAATGCAGAATATGGCTTTAAGAAGAATTGTTGGTGCTTATCGCACAACTCCTATTGCGGTACTACAAAAGGAAGTTGGTATTATGCCATATAGTATTAGGCTAAAATTTATGGTGGCACGAAAAGCTATTCGTTTACACCTAAATATTAGCAAAACTAATCCTATTAATGGTCATTTGTTAACATTGATTGAGAAATCTCCAATTGCAAAGCTAACCACGCTTTACATGTTGGCGAAAGATGATAGAGACTATATGATTAAAAAGGATGAAAACGAAAATGCAAGAGGGTTGAACCTCTTACACTGAAACAACAACAAAATCAGACGATTGGAATTTTGAAGAAACAAGCAATGGAAGAATGGCAAGAAATGTATTGGAACAGCAGTAAGGATCTGTGGTATCATAATATCACAGTGGAGTCGAAATGTACTGATAATCTTTCCAAAATGGTTACGGGAGTGATCATGAAGAAAGATAGTCGAAGGATCTTGAGTAATATTACTCAGTTTCGCACAGGCCATGGAAACTTTGGCGCATGGTTTAAAAAGTTTGGAATTGAAAAGGATAGTTACAACTGCAAATGTGGAGAGCTGGAAACAGTTCATCACATTTTAGTTGAGTGTCCTTTGCTTGAAGAGGAAAGAAAAGGACTGAAACGGATATCTCCAGAGATGGACATGTCGACTCTCTTAAACAGTTTAACTGGCTTACAAGAGATTGTAAGCTTTATCTCTGCTTGGAGGGATTAAGAAATACAATTACAGCGTTGATGAAGACAAGTGGAGATAGGTTGGGAAGGTTTGGTTATTTTAACCCCCTGTTCCTCGTAAGCTGGCATCAGGACTTATTTTCGGGCTGTTGGAGATGCAATGTTGAAGCCAAAATTAAAAGTTTATTATTAAAATGAAAAAATATATAGTATGGACAAGAAGGATAGCGCAGATGCTGATGTTATATAATTCTATAACCCTTGAATAAAAACAAACAAACAAACATCATTGATTCAGGGCCCATTTTCCGGGCTACCGAAGACGCACAGAACAGAAACCACCCGTACTAAAAAGGTACAAATGAAAACCGGCAAGTCACAGATGTAAGACAATAAAAGGATAGCGCAGATGCTGATGTTATATAGTTCTATAACCCTTGAATAAAAACAAACAAACAATGAAATCATTGATTAATTCTATAACCTTTGAATAAAAACAAACAAACAAACAAGAAATCATTGATTTTGGGCTGTTGGAGATGCAATGTTGAAGCCAAAATTAAAAGTTTATTATGAAAATAAAAAGATATATATAGTATGGACAAGAAGGATAGCCCAGATGCTGATGTTATATAATTCTATAACCCTTGAATAAAAACAAACAAATAAACAGACGAAATAATTGATTTTTCAATGGAATAAAAAATTAAAATTAAAGCTCTTATAAAGGCAATTAGAAATTTAATCAATAGGTAGGGTATTTAATCTTTTGTTTTGCTAAAAAACAGGCATTATCAAGGCCTATTTTCGGGTTTTTAGATATGCAAACGTTAGGGTTAAATTAAAAGCTGAAAACGTAAAGATAGTAAAAAAACAGTTTAATGAAAAAAAAAATATGAAGGAATACCTTTTTTTTTTAATAGTTTTATGTTTATTAATCTTTTATACATTTATTTATAAATATAAAAATTAATTAATTTTATTTTTTTTTAAAAAAAAAGATATACTAAAATGAATCTCGAGGACTTAAATGTACAGCAAGACTTTAATCGAAAGGCAGCCAAGGTTTTTATGCCGCTGCGATTAAAGTCTTTGTGTATGTCGTTGCTGAATGCCATGGTCACGTGCAAAATTGGCCTTTTCCGGTATGGGCAGTGCCGGTCGAATTTTTTTTTTTTTTTTTTCCTTCTTCGTTTTTATCACAAAAAGAAATCTTTTTTTTTTAACAACAAACACCAAGCCATCCTTTTTACTCAGTTCACCAATAATCAAGAAAACCTTCAAAAAATTCCTTTTTTTTTATTTTTCATTTTTATTTCATTTGATTCTACCATATTTGCATTTTAAAATCTTTTTTTTGGGTGTCATCTGAGCTCCTTTCTAATCTTTTACTAATCTTTAAATTTGCAACTATGAACAACTTTGACTACGCATCGAACCAACTACCACATTCACATTCACATTCACATTCACATTCACATTCACATTCACATTCACATTCACATTCACATTCACATTCACATTCACATTCACAATCACAATCACAATCTCAATCTCAATCTCAATTACAATCACAAGAACAAGAACAAGAACAAGAACATGAAGATGAACAACCTGCACAGTGTCCTACAAACGGACTTGCTAATTTTAGTTTCTCCAATACCCCATCAACATCTTCGCGACTCTTTCAACAACAACTCATGAGAAACTGTCCAGTGAACTTGGGTATCCCCAGCGCAGAACCCGAAAAAACAAAACTACCCATTCTGCTTTCATCCCCACCCCTCTCTCCACGCGACACATCTTGGATGAAGCTTAGTGTAAAGCGTAGCCTCGATGACACAGAAACTACGGATGCCATGGGAGGTTGTGATTTTGATATGGACTCAGAGGAGGCTGGTCAACATATTAATAACTATGAGCATTCTGGTCGAACCTTTAAGGTAAAGTTTTTTTTATTAAATCTATCTTTATCATCATTAACTAACATATTGTTATTAGAAAATTAAAAGCATTGGCGGTAATAGTGACCAACAATCTCATTCTGACCAGCTTGAACATTTAACTCAAAACTACTCGGACCCGCCAACCCCACAACCCATTGTTGGTGGCGTTGCTGGACTTTCATTACAAAACAATATCGGTAGTCAAAACAAAATGGCCATAAATATGCTCCAGCAAAATCTGACTAATATATCTCAAGCTCAGCAGCAACAAAATGGAATGCTGCCTACAACTCATTTTCATATGAATCCTCATCATCAGCCTTCTCCGGGATTAGAATCGCATCAACAGCATCAGCAACTGAATACAAATTATTCTCTAGAATCATCTTCATCAGGAACTCAATCTCACTTTGCATTTTTTACAGATTCGTCTTCTTCATCTTCATCTTCTTTATCTAGCATGACAAGTGTTGACTTTAAGAGTCACTACGGTAAATACCATCATCCACACCATTACCATCACAATCATAATTATCATCATCATCATCATAGCATATTACATCAAGATAACAAAGTTAATCTATCACACCACGAGCATTTAGATACACAATCAGTTTTGGCATCTACAAACTTGCATTTAGGCCACGAACAGGAGCAGGAGCAGGAGCACAGCGGGCTTAAAGTGCCGCCACCGCCGCCACCACCGTTCAGCATGCATTTCAGAATGGGGTATCGGCCAACGTGTGAAAAATGTGTAAATAAAGTTCCTGGTCATTTTTCCCATTTGGATTAAACTTATTGTCACCAAGAAAAACTTGGCTGTTTTTTTTTTTTTAAAAAAAAAATAAAGTCTTATGGGATATTAATATTGCTGCCAATCAACCTAAAATTTCTTTTCATCTAGATTCCGACATTTGCATTTGGGAGGTTGTGATGGCGACACGTCGTTTTAAGCAAAGGGAGGGGGAAAAAAAGGGCAGCGAGAACAAAAGAAGGAGACTTTTAATAGACTTTAGCACATTCTTTATTACGTATCTACCATCATCTTTTTATAATTTGCATTTTTTTTTTCGTCTGTTTCTTTTTTAACTTACTCTTAGTTTTTATTGTTGACAACAATGCTGTATATACAAAACGTTAAATAACTGTATTCAAGTGAAATGTTGTAATTACTTTTTGTTTCCATTCAGATGAAATTTCTTTTTTTCCCCTGAGAGATAATTATCATCTAAAGATGTAGATTTTGTGCAAAAGAATTTTAAGTTCTTTTCGAAATGTGACTGATCATCATGATGAAGACAAGATTAAAATGTCCTAACACATAAAAAAAAAAGAAGTGATAGTTTTCGACATTTTTAGCCGCACTCACTTACAACCATTTCTTCTGTTTCTTTAAAAGCCGAATTTTCAAAAAAAAAAAAAAAAAAAAACACAAAAGGTAATAAGCTCATAAAAAATACAATTGAAAAGTAAGAAAAAAAATAGTTGTGAAAGGCCTGATTATTGTAATATGGAGGGTTCTTGTGTGTTTTTTGTTTAAAAAGAAATGGCTGTTTGATAGTTAATTTTTTTTGCGTGTAATATTTTCTTTCTTATCGGCACCCCAAAAAGAAATCTTTGTTAACCATGTATTTGTTTGGTGGTTGGTCCATATCATCTTTTTGATAATGAATCATTTATTCCTGAGGTTTCTTCGTTGTCATCGTCATCCTCTTCTATGGCAGATTCTTTGGAATTATCAACAGATGGAATGGCGATATGGTGCTGTTTAGCAAGCTCAGCCAGCTGAGTATTTTCATCAATTAGCATGTGCAAAAACTTGACAGCTACACAACAAAACCTAAGCAGTTAGAAAATCTCCCCATAAAATCATTAAAGAATGAGAAATAAAAAAAAAACATAACGATAATAAAAGAGATTACTCTTAGATTATATGTTCTGTCTTTCTGTATATATATATATATATATATATATATATATCTTCATATCAAATAATCATACTTTTTAAAAGAACAGTGGCCTCACTGCGACCTTGGCTCTTGTCAAGGTCCGGTACAATCTCTGTAATCTTATCAAATCCTTCGCGGATAGCCTGCCGTCTTTTTTGTTCTGATGCTATATGGTTGGCCTTTTTTTCGTCCGGAGTTAACAGCTCTCCGGGAGGTTTCGCGCTCCGTGGAACTGGTTGCACTGGCAAACCTGTTCGTCTTCGTGGGCGTTTAGGTGGTAACACAAATGTACCTGCTGCTGGGACGGCTGTTGAACCAGAAGATGCTAAAGGTGGTGATTGTGAATGTGACTGTGGCTGTGGCTGTGGCTGTGATTGTGAATGTGATTGTGGAAGAGAAGATGTCACAAGAGAAGGTGTATCAGATCCACTGGTTGAAATTGGTAACTGGTGAGAGTTTTGCTGGGTAGATGGTAATTGCTGGTCAGCAGAGGACCTAGGATCAGTCTTTTCGAAGCCGTTGTTTTGGCTCATTTTTGTGGTAGATGAAGGAGGGTATATGGATGGTTGTAGAGGAAGAAGAAAGTTAATATTGGTTGTGGTGGTGGTTGTGGTGGTGGTGTTTGTAGGAGAAATAATGTTATTGTTGTTGCTTGTAGTTTCCTTGGTGGTAATAAAGGGAGCATTTGTACTGCTGTTAGTACGACCATCACCACTACTACTGAGAGTTTTTTTGCCATGAGGAGCTCCAGGGTCGATCTTAGTGCCCTTTGGTTTTGTGCGACTCTTTTTCTTGCTCGGTTTCATGCCATTAGAGGCGCCGTCGTCACTTGTTTTATCTGCGTTATTGTCGATGTTTTTCATGCCATTGCTTCTTCCACCATGTGCTGCCAAGGCAGAGTTAAAAACATAGTCTTCTGCCTGGCGTTTCAAAGGTAAAGAAGAAGGCAGTTGTTGTTGTTGTTGATGATGATGATGTTGATGATTTGCTTGTTGTGATATTAATGGCGGTGGCTGCAATTCTAAATTTTCAGCTGTTGGCAGAGACGTTTGCGAAGTCTCTGCTTTCATTTTTTTTTTATTTCTTTCTCAATTGGAACGGTCTATTCGAGTAAGTTCTACTGTTTAACAGAGTAAGTAAGTAAGAAAGTAAATGAATCAATCAATCAGCTTCTTCTTCTTCTTTTTTTTGAATTAATTTGAATGATTTTTGGCTTGTGAAAGAAAGTTTGGTCAAACTTAAAGGAAATCTCGAGGACTTTTAAAAACATGAAAATCTCCCTAAAGTGATTTCTAATTGAACAAGATATAATCAAAATCAAGTTTTTGAATTATAATTATAATTAGAATTAGAATAAAGAAATAAACAGCAAACAGACTTAATGAAAGATGGGAAATGGTGGACACTTTGAAAATAAAAAAAAAAAAATTATTTACAAAATAAAAAAATCACATGCAACAACCGAACAAATCTTTTGGTCCTCGTCTGCCGACAATAATTTTTTTTTTTATAAAATCATAATATTCACACACACTATATATTTCTAATCATAATGAAAACAAAAAGCAACCTCTTAAAAAAAAACTCTTCAGTTAAGAATATTGGCAATTTTCAAGTTCTGTCGAATATCCTTTGATGTACTAATCTCCTTTAACTTCTTCATCACATCATTCTGATTCTCAGACCTACTACTCTCCCCGCAATCCCCTTTCTCACTTGGGTTGCAGGCACTGCCTCCATTCACTATAGGTGCAAAAACCGGTACTTCCAAAGACCCAAATGATACCTCTTGATCTACCTTTTTCTTACCACCACCATCACCACCATTTCTCTTGCTCAACGTCCTTCTATCATCAACCGTCCCTGCTCCTTTACCAAACTTAGTAATTAACTTGAACCGAAGTGTACTCGACCTCCTTTCATGGGCCGGCAACTTATTTTCAGGCTTATTTTCTATTGACTGCTGCTTTTCCTTTTCTTTCTCTCTCTTTTTAGCTTCTGCCTTTTCTCGCTTTTCCTTATCATCCTTGGTTCTTTGTGCAATATGATCGGGTAACAGCCGCTGGAAACTCTTAATCAACGACGGAGTCCGCTTAAACAACACCTTGACTCGCTCAAATGCTTCATTCGCAGGCACCTTTCCATTCCGGTAATCGTGCAACAAATCTAAAAATTGTGCATACACCTCTGGATCCTTGTTATAATGGTACTTGACTCGCCGAATATACTCAACAATAAAAAAAATAACCGCGGAATGCTTCCCAAAAGTCGATGAATCAGAGGAGCCCAAAATATTCTGCTGAAACGGCTCTTCTTTAAGATCAAAAAGTCTCAATTGATTTTTCTTAGATGGGTTTGTAATATCCTTGGATTTTGCTTCCAATCTACTAGTTGTTGATGGTCCTTCTCTTGTTTGACTTGTGTTGTTGTAATTAGGAGGGCTAGACAAAGACGTACAAACAAAAGGCTTATTTGGATGTGCCGTCACAGTGGTCTCAAGTAGTTTGATGGGCTCTTTTTTCTGTCTGGGATTTATATTTTGAAAAGAATCCAATCTTCTTCGCTTTGAAAATATCGACTTCTCTTCGCCAAAGTTACTTGCATTTCTTTTTCCTTTTCTGTCTGGCGTGCATTTAATCACCAATGTCGGTACCAGCTCTTCCTCTTCCTCATTGTCATCACCACCTTCTTTCGCTTTACCTTCACTTCTTTCTCTCCCTTTATTGTCACCACCTTCTTTTTCATTATCATCACCACCCAATTTCTTCTCTACACTTTTAGTGAACCTTCTCGCTACCTGATGCTTAGCTGGTGATACTGGGGGAGATATGGGCAAATCTAAAATTGTTTTCACCGTCCTCATGGAACAAGCCATAGGAATGGGTTTTAAAGTGGTTTGCTTAGCAGATTGGGGTCTAACTGCACCTACATAATACCCAGGAGGGAAAAGTGCGTTGAACCCTAGAATTAATTTGTCGTGACCCTTAAACAAGACATTGATACCCACAAAAACTTGGCCAGATGTCAGTCTATTAATAAGGATAACAAAGCCTAATGTTATTACCTATTTTTTAAAAAAAAATGGAAAAGAAGAAACTTACTTCCCAGTGTTGTAATGATCAATGAGCCGGAGAAAAGAATAGTATATTTGCTTTTCGTCACCAAACTCTTGTTCAATTTCCCGAAAATAAGGCGAGGCGTTAGTAAATACCAACGGCGGATATTCATTAAAAGATTTCAACAAACTCATTTCAAAAGCTACTTTAGATGATAATTATTGATTTCAAAAATTGCAATTTTTTTTTATTTTAAATAAATAAAAAAACCAAAGGAAATGCTTGGGTATTTATTTACACTTTGTGGAGAAGTCAAGGTGATTAGATTTTTAACAACTAGCTGATTTAACTATTCTTGAAACCTCTGAAACCTCATGATCTGTTATACCCAAATGTGCTTTTTGACAAGATTCCTATCTATAACCCAAACACAACTAACCTGACGTCTGGTTAGTTTTTACAATCAAAATAATTATACATTTTTTTAATTACATTTAACTGTACTCAGGCTTCAAGTCAGTCGACCATAACTACTATAGGAATCATGATCACGTCGCCGCCCTGATGTCGGCTCATCTCGAGAATCTCTATACTTGAGAGATCCCCGACCTTTGACAATCACTCCGTCGCTCCGTACCTCCTCTCGGTACACGCTTTTTGGGCGATGATAATCACCGCCGCTTCTGCCTCGGCGACTATCGTACGACCGCGAATCGTACCCGCGGTCCCAGTGCCGATCATCTCGGCTGTACCCCCGTGACCGCTCCCGACTTGGCGACTGGCTACTTCTGCGTCTTTCTCGTCGAGAATACTCTCTTCGCTCATCATCATCATCCTCATAATCGTAATCACGTTGCCTATTGGTGTTGTCCTTGTGCCAGTGGTCTCGTGAATTCCGATAGCTTTCATATTCGTTCCCATTGCTATCGCGACGACGGCGAACCTCATTATTATGATGGCTTTCACGACCTGACCTGCTATCCCCATGACCTCGAAAGTAGTTTTCGTCCTTTCTTGAACCATGTCGAGAGTCCTCACCGTAATCATCTCTAGAATCACTTCGCAAGTTACGCTGCGAGTATTCCCTATACTCACTTCTAGATCCACGTCTGGATTCATCTCTAGAACCCCGTCTAGAGTCATCCATCGAATCACGTCGTAATCTATTACTAGTATTTCCTTTAGAAGTATTCTTAATTGGGTCATTAGCTGTAAGAGTTTCATCAGAAATTGGTGCTGGCTTCTCTTTAGGATCTTTTGGAGTGTGTTCAGTTTCCATCTTAGCTTTGACATAATCTTCTTGTATATCATCTTCTTGAATATCCTTTTCTTCTTTTTTTCCTTCTTTGTGATCCTCCTCATTTTGAACACTCTGCTGTTTTTTCTTTTTCCGCTTAAACTCCATCTCTCCGCACCTAGTAATCACAACATTGTCATCTTCCAAAGGGCTGAAGCTGTCATTCACTGAAACCTTTTCCAATTCCTTTAAAACTTCTATTCCTTGAACAACCTTTCCAAAAACAGTGCACGGGTAAAATTTTTCAATGTGAAGATTGGATTGTAAAGTGATGAAAAACTGACTCCCATTAAGGCCATCCTTCTCTTGACTTCTGGCCATACACACAAGACCTATATCGTCAATATCTCGCCAACCAAGGTTTTCCGATTCAAAAGGCTCGCCGTAAATAGATTCTCCTATTATTTTGGTATTTTCGCTAGAATCATCGAAACTGATTTTGCCGCCTTGGACAATATACTCTGGTGCTACGATCCGGTCAAAAGTGGTTCCTTGGTAACATAGCCGCCGTCCTTTAGCATCATTTTTTTCTCCTGTACAAAGTGCACGAAAACTAAAACAATTTCACGTTAGAAGGTAAGCAATAAAGATATCGAGTGATCAAGAAGACACTCATTTTTGTCAAAATATTATTACAACACGCACTTTTCACTGGTCTTGGGTGCCTTGTCGCTAAAGAGCTCTATAAAGACTCTACCAGAAACAGCCTTACTTTCAATGTCAATAAAAACCCGCGGCAAAACCATTTTTTTGATAGAGATCGCTGTTTCACAAGTCTGTTTCAAGGGGTTTTTTTATACAAAGTTGTCAAATTTGTTATCGGGGTAATACTGAGAAAAAAAAAAGCACCCCAGTGAAAATATCAAAAAACAAAACAAAAACCCTAACCCTTTGGAAGATTTCAATTGAAGCTATTTGAAAAAAAGTAAAATTATAATTTCAATTACATACAAATGAAATCAATGTGCATACAAAACCATAGACTGAACTTACTTTTTACACGTGCAGTTTCACGTGATTTAATACAATTTTTCAAAATTGTCCTGTTAGAAAATATCTCTAATTCTTTTGCTTTCACAAGTAAAGTTCTTTCATTTGCTTTTAAAATCTACAATAATTAGAGTAAGTAAAGAATTCATTGCATTTTCAACTAATAAAATGCATTGTTTGATGATTTTTTTATATTCTTCTTTGGATTTCATGTCTGCAAAGATCGCTAACTATTGTTTCTAGCTTTCCAGAAAGCAACAAACCTTCATAATTCATTATGTCTGCACCTGTTATTAGAAAAGCCTCTGGCCCCGATAGTCTTGTCATTTCTGACGACTGCAACCATCCTGCAAATGTGATCTGCGAATTATGTCGTCTTTTTTTTGATAAAGATTGGGTCACCGGTACCGGCGGTGGTATGAGCATTAGACAAGATAATTTAGTATATCTCGCCCCATCTGGCGTTCAAAAAGAAGTATGTCCATTTTACAAATCTTTAATGAATTAATCTAACAGTTGTTTAGAGAATGAAACCTGAAAACATGTTTGTTATGGACTTAAATACCAGAGATTATCTCAAAACTCCAGATACTTATAAGCCCTCAGCATGTACCCCTCTCTTTCTTTCCATCTATAATGCTGCAGATGCTGGCGCCTGCATTCATACCCATTCCCAATCTGCTGTTATGGTCAGCTTGCTCTATGACAAGGAGTTTCGCATTTCTAATATCGAGCAGATCAAGGCTGTTCCCCGCATTACTGAAGCAGGGTACCTGGACAATACCGACGAACTTGTGATTCCCATTATTGAAAACACACTACAAGAAGAAGATCTTACACCCTACTTGGCAAAGACATTAATGGAATATCCAGCGGCTTCTGCTGTCATTGTCCGAAGACATGGTATCTTTGTTTGGGGTGCCAATATCTGGAAAGCTAAAATCATTAATGAAGCCATTGACTATCTTCTTGAACTGGCTGTCAAAATGCGTTCATTTGGAATTAATACTACTGGTCCTCTTGGTATTGAAAAGGAAAGTCCATATCATGAGTGCAGCCACCATCATTAACGATTTTTAAAAGTACCTTTTTTTTTTGTTATTGTAGATTGATATCAACAAATAGAAAAAACAGATTTATATTCGAATGTCAATAACAGTTTAATTTATCAATAAACCGAAATGTCGTTTTGATTGACAGGGCGTTGACAAAGCATGGTCATGCACGCTCCAATTTTTAGAAACAAAAAAGTACTCATTTTCCTGTACTCACAAAAAATCAAAAGAGATTTTTTTTCTGACTCATTTTAATTTCCATTTTTTATTTCCGTCAAAAAAAGAAAAAGAAAAAGATTTACATGACGTATGATGTGTACACATCTATGTTAAATCGATTAATTCTATTTCCATTCAAAGTGACCCCGCAATAAATCAACAAAATTTCTTTACTGTCATTGTTTAAGAAGCACATTTATGTAAAAAACCCAATTTCTCAATATTTTCCGAAGAATTTATTTCCTTTATTTGTTTCATTAAACTTTTTTTCTGAAATGATCAAGTATTTTAAAAATTATTATAATAATTATGAAAATATATATCCAGGTTATCTTGTTACTAGAAATTTATTTGCATAGCAACGATTTTGGAGGGAAAATTACCAAAGAACTTGGCTCTTTTTTAACACGGCTGTGGCCGTTTTCTCTTTTTCCCTGTATTGGAAACCTAAAAAAAAAATTTCTTTTTTGCAAAGCTTTACAAATTCAACAAATATCAAATGTTAGCCGAGTATCGGATCGAAAAAGAAATTTAAAACTTCCTAATTCCCATAAATTTATATCTAAAGCCGTCACTATTCTCTCTCGCTCACTCTAAATAATGGGAGAAAGCTTCCAGTTGGTCCCCTCCCTGTGATTATCTCTTTTTTCTGACTTTCGAAAATAATTTTAAATTACCGAAGCTGTGCATGGCCCTATTCATGTTTGCTTTCACCGTTGATCGCGGTATTAACGGCTTTGAAATCAGTGACATTTTCTTGCTCTTCTTTTCTTTTTTAAAAATTAAATAAATAGTTGCTGATTTCCTTCTATTTTCTTTCTCTTTTTGTAATTTAACCACTTAAAGTTATACTTACCTATAATAATGACATCGAAACAAGATCAAGATCAAGATCAACATAGAAATCAAGAACAAGAACAATTTGAATGTTCTGATAAAGTCACAACCCCAAATGGGGGACAAACAGTAATATCCACTGATGACACTTTGCATACAAATCCCAATCACATGAGTGAAACCATCACATCCTCTAATAAATCCATTTCAGAAAAGTCAAAATCTCATTTCACTACAAGGGATGATGAATCAAAGAATTTTAATTTTGTTTCGCCAACACTAAGCCAAGTAAGCAATCATTCAATAAAAAGCCTTTATTCAGAGAGTATTATTTTTGGTAATATTCCACAAGACGAAATCGATCTTGAGCGTGCAAAGACACGAGAAGAGGTAATTTCTCGAACAGCGACCAGATATATTGATGATATCGTTCCGCAAGAACTTAATAACGGTCTTCCTGATGATGGTGAAAAAGTAAAAGATATTGATCCCGAACTAATAACATGGGAAAGTGATTATGATACCCAAAACCCAAGAAACTGGCCCAAAAAGAAAAAATGGCTGGCAGTAGGAATTGTCGCATCATTTACCTTCACATCTCCATTTTCATCATCCATTATTGCACCAGCCATTCCAGATATGGCAGCTGATTTAAATATAACCAAAGAGATTGAAAAATCCTTATCGGTCTCCATTTTTGTTCTTGCGTGGGCTTTTTGCCCCTTGTTTTCGCTCCGTTATCTGAAGTTTTTGGGCGAAGAACCATTCTCACAACCGCTATGATTGTAATGACTATTTTTCACATGGCCACAGCTTTATCAAAAAATGTAGCTCAGCTTCTAGTGTTTAGATTTTTAGCTGGATGTGCTGGCGCTCTCCCAATATCCATTGGCGCAGGAACTATGGCGGATCTTTTTAATGATAAAGAAAGGGGTGCTGCACTTGCTCTATATGCGTTGGGCCCTACGGTTGGACCTGTGGTAGCTCCAATTATTTCAGGATTCATTGCCGAAAATACTTCTTGGCGCTGGGTTGTTTGGGTATTAACAATTTTCAGTGGAGCTATTGCAGCATTTGGCTTCATATTTTATCGTGAAACATATGCCCCAGTAATTTTAAAGTGGAAAGTAGCAAAGCTACGAAAAGAAACTGGAAATCAAAACTTGCATACTGTGTTTGATCTTAACCAAGTACCATTTAAACAACAGCTTTTTACTGCAATCACCCGTCCTATACGGCTTCTTTTTTTGCATCCAATTATCCAGGGTCTAGGTCTTTATATGGCTTTTGTGTACGGTTTCCTTTATCTTTTACTTGTAACATTCCCAACATTATGGTCTGTTCATTATGGGTTTAACTTAGGAATAACGGGACTTATGTATATTTCTTTAGGAGTGGGATTTTCTACAGGACTATTGTTTTGGTCACGAGTGATTCAAAAAACCTTTATGAAACTTACCAAGCGCAATGGGGGTGTATCAAAGCCTGAATATCGGCTATACATGGTCCCATTTAGCGCCCTATTTTTAAGTGTAGGGCTATTTTGGTACGGATGGAGTGCGCAAGCTCATATTTTTTGGATAATGCCATGTATAGGGGCTGGTATTTATACTTTTGGTATGATAGCGGTTTTTCAATCTATCCAAAACTATCTTATTGATATGAACCCTAGATTTGCAGCTTCATCAATGGCTGCTGCAATGGTATTTAGATCGATGCTTGGTTTTGGATTTCCATTATTTGGAAAAGCAATGTATGACCGTATGGGTTATGGCTGGGCAAACTCAATGACCGGTCTCCTATGTCTGGTTTTAGGTATTCCATTCCCGCTTATTGTTATTAAATATGGTGAAAAAATTCGTTTATGGGCAAACAAACGATTCACATGATTATTTCTTGACGATGATGTTGTTTATTTATTAGATTTTATAGAGTTAATATTAAATTTAGATAATTTGCATGATATTTATTTTAATTGATATATGGGTTTATCGAAATACGAGTTAGTTTAACATTTTAGTTAACTTAAGATGTATATATATTTTATTTGCTTAGTAATCATTTTTGGTTGAGATTGACGCGAAAAATACGCGTGGCAACTTGTAACAAAAAAAATAAACAATTGTTTGGTTTTGTTGTTTACTTTTTTTTCGGTAAACAGACACTTTTTTCTTTTCTTTCCCCTCTAACTTTTCTCTTATAGTTCCCTAATAATAACCAAAATATAACACCCCATGAATTTAGAACAAAAAGAAACTACAGATCAAATCACTCTTGAAGAACCCCAGGATGAGTTTACTGAGCTCAAGGCCCACATTGTCAACTTGGTGTCTGCTTTGGGTGGTCCAGATTTGGCCGAAGAGACAGAACCATATGTGCTTGGTGATGATGCACTTGGATGCTTGCGAGATTTGAAACGCTGGCTCAAAGTGTATGATGAACAGAACGACTCCTTAGATGTCGCTCGTGCAATCTCGGAAACAAGTCTTGTTACCTTTGACTTGCTTGAGATTCTCACGCAATGGGATATAGAAGAAGAAATACATGAAGAAACTGACAAGGAAAATGAACATCAACCTATTAATGTGGAAGATGAAGAAGACGAGGAAAAACAAAAGAAAAAATTCCAGCGAGACAAAAAAACGCGTATAGCCTTAGCTTGTTTGGAATTGCTTGTGCCTTTGACATGGCCAATTTCCTTATCTAAAACTTCAAACCCAAACCATTTCACTCATATGCCATATCTTGAAGTAGCATATCTTAAATATAAGAATGCTATTCTCGCTCACCCTGAACATCGAATTTTTAGAGCTTTGATTCACCTCTGTTTGCCAGCTTTAAGCACACCCGAAAACAAACGCACATTACGACACAGAAGTACACTTAAACTATCTGTTTATTTTTTACGCAATATTTGCCGTATTAACTATCGTGATAATATGGACAACCAGTTTGAGCAATTGTATCTTGATACCTCGCGTAACACAGAAGTGCAAGTCATGAAACAACAAGGAGTTTTGGATTTTCTTATGGCTCTATCTTCTAATATTAGTTCGACGGAGTTTCCTTACTTAAATACTCCTCTTATGGAATGTCTTTATTACCTCCTCTATGGAGTTGATGCTTCAACATTGTTTGAATCAACTGATAAAATAATTTTGGACGAAAATGGTCAAAGAAATGATTTAAAGTCTCTTTTATCACGAGACAAGGCACGAGAAAACAATCTTAAATCTCGGCTTGCAAAACGTACAAATCGATCAACAGCACTTGTTTCGATTAAGGATTCCAACGGTGATACATCAGCAGTTATTTCACGTGCACATACCATTGGCACTTCTGATGTATTGGATTCATTAGATGAATACAAAACCAAACGATTGCCAAAATTATCAAATCACGCTCGTATGACTATAAAGTCTAATGTTCCTGGTGCAGATAATTTAGACCGTTTCATTGAAAATCAGTGGAACGTTACTATTTTGTTAACAAAAGAAGTGCGTGAAATATTGCATGATTTTTGCTGTGATTTTTTGCAAGTATCTTTTAATCCACTTTTTAAGAATTTGCGAAACTATTTTGAAAACGAGTGGATGGAATCTGCTGGTAAAGAGTTTTCCAACATTGTGCAATATGAACACCAGATTCACTTTTTGTATCTTGCTTCGTCATTTTTACGAATTGAGCGCACCAGACTTTCTATTAAATTTGACAAAAAGGAAGATGTGGACTTTGGTCTTGTTGCTGAAGCACTTATTCACAACATGTTTATCATTGTCATGAAAATGATGAGAGTCTCTATCGAAACACGCGCTTGGGCCGTCGCATACACTTCTATGCGATGTTTTAACGAAATCATCTTGACTACAAACGAAATGGAGCGTATAGGAGATGAAGAGACGCGCGAGATGGCCGACAATATGAAGCACCGGTTATTTTACTTGGAGGAATGGCTCAACACACTAGCAGGACTACCTGTAGCAGCACGGTCACAAAATGAGTCTTTTGTTAATTTGGTAGTCGAAGTGTCTTACAATGTACTGTCTACCTTGGAAAAGTTTACCAAAAAAAATAAGGAACTGTATATTCAAGCAGGAAGACGGAGACGACAGATTCAAAAAAAAAAGACTGGCGATGTTAATGACGAAGAAGCAGATGATGAAGAAGAAGCCATGGATCAATTTCTTCAGGAAAAACGATACAATGAGCGGAAGCTAGACTTTGCAGCATTTCAACGCAAATATCTTAAAGAAGACACGGTTGAAATGTTAACTGTGTACTTGAGCAACTTCGAAGAATTATCACGGCGGCAAATCAAGTGGGGGCTGGGCCTGGCGCACAGATTTTTCGTCACTGCTGGATACCATGTTGGATTTTTCCGGTTGGACTTCATGCGCATACTAGATCGACTTTTAGAAAGTCGAGCTATTACTACAGATTTAAGCTCTGAATTTGAACGGTTCAACAAATTTTTCATGCGAACTTTCACTAGCATGCTGGAAAAGACACCTAGTTTACAATGGGAAATTTTGTTCCACAAAGAACATGCTCGTGTATTTTACTTGGAAAACGGTGTCACAGTGGAAGATACCAAAGCCAATAAACCAAAGATTAATCGTCGGATTGCAGGAAAGGTTTCATTGCCTATGCAATTTTTAGAGAGCGAAGAATACACTGGTCCTCGTGAGCATCGATTCCGCATTTTAGTAGCTGCTTTGATTGATGCTGAAAAACGCCCATTGTTAGAATGGACGATAAAAGCTCTTGAAAAGGCATATGATGCACGACTAGCATGGATTTCTTCTAGTGAACTTAACGATTCTGTTATAATTGACGAAGAAGGTATGATTTTTTTAACATGCTAGATGTTGATTTTTACTAACACATTAATAGCACTCAACCCACGACTTAACCCAGAAATGGATAATAAAGCTGTCCAAGAAATCGAGATTGGTTTGAGAAAGAATGGAACTTTCCGACTTTTACTGAAGGAATGCCAACTTCGCCTAGAAGACAATGCTGACCGTACCTTATGTATGTTGCCGCGCGATGCTCTCATGGAAACAGTCAAGATTTGTTTAGATTACATGAAACGATTTAATGATGAAGGTACAGAGTTTCCTGATGGCAAACTTGCAAGTGCATATTTAGAAGAAGTCAGGCCGATCCGAAAAAGAGTCGGACCCAAGGATAGAAAAGGGAGTGATAGTGGGGATGAAGAAGGTGGGGATATTGACGATGATCTTGATGGGTTCATCGAACGTGACAATGATGAAGAAAGTGATAGTGAAGATGATGGGAGCAGTGAAGAAGAAGAAGCTCAAGAGAGTGGAGCTGAAGGTGGTTTATCAAAGAAAAGACGCCGAAGAGGAAGTGGCAGTGGAAAATCACGGAAACATAAAAAGGCAAAGAAGGATCAGAGACAACAGAAGCTTCCACTCCGACGAAAGCCTGTCGCTCGACAAGTGGAATACAAAAGTTCTGAGTTTATTACAGAATCAGATGATGAAGAGGATGCTGAACGCGACCATGAGTTCTTTGAACGTGAAGCTGAACAACGTGTTCGTGAAAAAGCAAAGATGGATCTACTTCTTAAGAGACCTCAATCACAGAAGTCCGTCACAGAGCCGTCATCTCTAGAACAAAGCAAAAATGAATCTTCGTTACCAGATTCTGAATTAGAACATGGATCCGAAGAGCATGAGGAGCCTGAGAATAAGTCTGATAATTCATCTGATGAAGAATCAGCTGGGTCTGATGACGAACTAGCCGAACCTGAAGAAGAATCTGAAAAAGGAACCGCCAAAACCTCTGCTCAACCTTTTGAATTGGAGTCCGACGACGACGCTGAGCCGGAGGAAGGTTCTGGTTCCGAATCAGAACAAGCTGGAACGGATCTCGAGCCCAACCCTGCCAAAGAAAATGACAATGAGGAATGGGCCGAAGGAGTATCTATTTCCAGCGTTTCTCTTGCTGTTGAAGCTGTGTAAATATTTTGTTAAATTAATTAATTAGTTAACGAAGGCTTTGTTTTTTAGTTTGTTTTTAATTTTTTTTCTATGATACTATGAGTTCGAAATTAAACAGTGGTTTGATTTTAATTTATCGAATATGATTTCCGGCACCTCCTCTGTGATTATCAAGCAAAGTAAAGCAAAAAATTATATCTGGGAATGATTAGTTTCACAGGTCTTTTGATTAGAGTTGGAAGCAACAATTAGTAATTGGAAATCACTGTAAAATAAATTTGAGAGAAGAGGTGAAAAAGGGAATGATGCTCATGCTTTAATTGTTTTAAAATTTGTTGCTCGTTATTAGAATAGAGGCCGGTTTCCATAGTGTCGAAAATGTGCTTTAATGGAGATGTGTGACTTGGATTGACATATGTTTTTATATTTACAGTTTTTTTTTTTTTGTTTTCTTTCTTTAGATTTTTTTAGTCTTTGAAAACAAAATCATGTCGAAATTGTAGCCTCTTTAAGAGGTTTCCCATGAACCTGAAAAGTTGTTAGGGTTTCTTGTTCAATTTATAAAATCGCCACTTACCTTTTCCCAGTCAATTGCCGCGTCAACTTCTTCATCCAGTAGACCTACAGTAGCTACGTTATTACCCTTTAAAAGATAAAGTCCCAGAGATACTGTAGAAGAAGGTTCGTTTTCCTCCTCGGAAGTAATTATACGCTCATGCGTCGATGAAATAATTAAATTTGTGGCCTGGTCAAAGCCTTCCAGTTTTCCCTATAGGAATAAGTTAGGGATGTAGACGAAATTAAGTACAATTTTACTTACCACTAGTAGTCTACCGTCAGTTGTAATTATGGCAATTTTTTCTAAGCTGTTAGAAATATATTCAAAAATTTCAATTCATATTTAAATACTTACTTTCCAAATACTCTTTCAGTGCAGACATTGGGGGTTTTCTGTGATGACACAAGTGGTGATGATTGTTGGTTGATGTTTTTGGCGGTGTTGACTTTTTTTTTTTGGCAAAAAATTTAATTTTTTTTTTTAACTTACATGATTACACAGTTCACTGCACGCAGTGATCCTCCGACCCATCACCACCGGCCACAATTTTGACTATGCTCTGCACAGTCGAAATTACCATGACCAGGATACCAAAACTCACACAGATATAACTTGGCAAAAGATTGCGCAAACTGCGGTTTCCTGTAAGCTTGATGAAACACATTGGCGGTAGCACGTAGGCCATGACACATGCTGAAGTGGCTCCCACGATTTCGAGAATTACACCAAGATTACATGTAAAGAGGGATATAGACATGGCTGTGAAAACAAGAACAGTGGTAGTGATGACGTGACGGCGGTAGTTGAAAGATTCACCCCCAGCTCCTTCAGGTAACGAATTCGAAGGATAAAAGTAGTTTAGAATGACCTCACGGCACACAAAAATCTCCAACGGAAGAGTTGTCAGCATATTGAGACCAAAGCAGAACCGGGCAATGTTAGCCATAGTATCATCAGGAGGGAAGTTGTTAAGGACATTTCCCTTTGTGCGGTCTTTAAAAACTAAGAATCCACCAACGCCCATGGCGATGCATGCCACCATGGAGACACCTGTGGACCAATGAGTTACAATTGCAAAACGGTCCATAGTAGGCTTTTTTAAAGAATCGTAGATGAGGAGCGAATTGTGATGGCATACAAAAGCAAAAGAAATGACACTGACGCCCTGGAGCAGGCCAGAGTTGATCGTCAGCAGTGGGAGAGAAAAGCTGCCCTTCATTTCGGAAGAAAGTTGAGGTCCTCGAATGACAACTGTGAGCACAATGATCAGCATTGAGACAAGGGCCAAAGCCGATGCTTTGGCCAGCTTAGAAATGTCACGATTTAAAGCCAAGGGGTATGAGATAAAGGTTGTGCAAATGACGATGATGGAGTTGCGGCGCACCAAGAAAGATAGGACTGGTAATGTTTCCCAGCTTGGGAAAAGTGCTAGAATAACATGAGGTATGGTATCGCCAATAATGACGCAAAAGGCCATGGATCCACCAAAAGCAAATAACCCTTGGGCCAGAGAAATCGTTATAAGACCAATCTTGCCAAAGCAATGTGCGACAGTTGCTTGAAAAGTATCGGTGCCGCTCATTTTAGCATTGACAACCATGAGACGGATTGTCCAGTCGATAACGATGGTTAACCCAACAAGAAGCACTAAGCCGCCAACAAGGCCACTTTGGCGAACAGCGTAAGGCTGTCCAATGATGCCGGCACCAATGATACTGTTAGCCATGTTCATAAAGGCCATTTTGAGATTGCTCTTGCCCGACCCTATTGCAAGCTCTTCGAGCGCCATGTTGGCGCCAAGGCCCGGGAGAAGTGGGCCCTCTGGGGAGTCAGCCACGTTCATATGGTCATAGTCTTCGTCATCAACATTTCCATCAGAAATTTCAAGACTGGAGAGGGAGTGCCGCGGTGCGGCAGTAGGTTGTGTGGGTACTTGTGAGGAAGGAGCGCTTGAGCCTGAGCTGCTGCTTGGTATTATGGGACTCCTTGGAGAATCGAACCCAATTTTAAGATCGGTATGCACCGAGTCAATAGAAAGCTTTGCTCCGGTGGATCCGGTTTCGTCGGCCTTCATATTTTGATTTGGGAGCAGTTGGTCGAATGACTGTGATGGCGGAAAGGATGGATGGAAAGGACACACACAGAAAAAAAAAAAAAGAGAGAGAGAGAGAGAAAAGATTTGGAAAGGCCAGCGTTTAAAATGCTGGACGGTCAGTATACAAGCAATAACGAAATAGTTTAAAGAAATCAGCGATAAAAAATAATTGCTAAGTAGACTTCGGGTATTTTACATGGCTTTTTTATTATTATGTTAGAACACGACATTAGTTTTCTGTCGGTGTCCCGGTGTCCCGACCACTTTAGTGTGTCGCGTGTCTTTCGACCTCCACTTTGGCTGATACCTCCTTCCTCCCCATATCCGCTGAGTCATTCATTAGTAATGATACAGCTAAATTCTTTCTTAAGTTAAACAGACTGTTCCGAAGCCGCACCCGATGAAAAAAAAAAAAAAAAAAAAAGCGGCGATCGGGTCAACAATAGGGTTTTGGTTTTAGTTATTTTTTTATTATTTTTTAAGAAAAATTCTTGAGAAACCTTTTTCTCTTACTCTTACTTTTTTTATATCATATCGTTAAACCAATTATCCCACATTCAAAACTTTCTGCACATTTATCATGGAATTCTCTGAAGAATACTACCACGCCTCTCACCCAGTAGTTGTGTCTCTGAGTGACCTGCGCTCTGGTGCCAGCGATGATAAGCTACCGCTTGCATTTGGCCCAAACTCACTTGGAATTGTTCTGGTTTCAGGTATGCCTGAAGAGTATGTTCGATTGAGGGAATCCGTGTTGCTTTCCGCCTCGCGCTTGGCTCACTTGCCTCAAGACGTCCTAGCGTCGATGGAAGTTCCGCAAGCTCAGTGGTTGGTGGGTTGGTCACGCGGACGAGAAAAACTGGAAGGCAGCGGTGACAAGCCCGATACTCAAAAGGGATCCTTTTATGTTAACTGTGCATTTCATACCTGCGATGATCTGGAAGCTCCACCAAGCGCTGATGTCAAAGGTTATGAAAAGGGCTATGAGATATACACGCATTCCAATGTATGGCCACCGGAAGACTTAGAGTTTAAACGTAATCTCAAAGACCTGTGCAACTTGATGATTGATACAGCAGCAGTGGTGGCTGCTGCTTGTGATCGGCTCTTTGGCGGTAAACTTCCTGGGTACGAAAAGGGTCACCTAGAGCATATTGTATCAACCTCGACAACAACAAAAGCCCGTCTTTTGCATTATTTCCCATCCAAACCAGACGAAGATATCGATCCTGAAGAAGGTAGTACGTGGTGTGGTGAGCACACTGACCACTCTTGCATCACTGCCTTAACGGCAGCCATGTATTTTGACGATTCGCTCTACCCGCTGGTCCACGAGATCCAGGAACAGTTCCCAGGCAGTGGGTTACACGTGCGCAACCGACGCGGTGAAACGGTACATGTGAAAATTCCTCCGGATTGTTTGGCGTTCCAGACAGGTTCCGCTCTTGAGGAAACAACAAGTGGACGGTTCAAGGCTGTTCCGCACCGAGTTGCGCGTGGGAAACTGCCCGCAGGTGTATGTCGCAACACTCTTGCGGTATTTTGCCAACCGGCTCTCGGCGCGCCCGTGGGTCCTCGATATTCAGATTTTGCGACATTTGCACGTTCCGTCGTAGAGCGAAATCATCAGTGAAAGCTTAAATCGCACTTTGGCTTTGGGTATTTTTTTAGTGAAATTAAAAGGTTTTTGCATGTGAAAGTAGTTTAATATTAGATGTTTTTTTTGATCTAATATAAAACCTTCACCAAATATTTTTTTTATTTTTTTTTTTCTTATACACAAACACCTTATTTTTATTTATACACATCATCATAATGGCTGAAACTCGCACTCGTGTTATCACCGTTGCTTTTTTTTGGTACTTACTCTCTGTCCTGGGTCCAAGAAGTGGCCCACCGGGTTTCGAACGGTTCAACCGCTGGGCCACCCGTCGGTTCACAGCCTGGCAACTCTCAATTCTGACACTAGTCGGGTATTATGTTGTACGGAACATTGATGCCATTCTTAATCTGCATCCTAAATTGGCACGTCATAAGATCTACGAACCCCGATTCGAAACTGCTGTAACAATCATGACCGCCATGACTGCAGGGTTCATGACTGCTAAGTCTATGCGGCCAAAATTTATACGCGACTTAGCATCACTTGTTTTTGCGGGGTATTACATCTTCACACCCGACCACGCAATGGAAAAGGTTCGCAAGTTCAATGAAAATCCATCTGTCGAAGGAATCAGAACTTCCTTTGAAATTATGGATAATCCATATTTAGACTTTATTGGCGGCTTAATGCGTCCTCGGTTACGTGGAGCTCAGGGAATGGTTTTCTACGTCCCCCGCCCAAAGTCTTCAGTTTACTTGGCCCCCGTCGAGCTCGAACTTTGGTACGACAAACCTTTAACCGAACTCAAGTCTGAAAAGAAAATCATTTTCCACATTCATGGCGGTGGCTTTATTTCAAATACTCCACGACTTCATGCAGATTCTCTGACAGCATGGGCTCGTCAGACTCAGCTCCCCATCATTGCCATCAACTACAGGCGGGCCCCAGAATACCCTTTTCCGTATGCTGTTGACGAATGCTTTGACGCGTACACAGCCATGGTAGAGTCTCGTGGTTTGTGCTTTGGCGTCAAGTCTAAAGTCCCTCCTCGGGTTGTTATTACTGGTGATTCTGCAGGAGGAAATTTTTCGGCTGTGCTCATGATTAAGATTATAATGTCTGGTAATAAGGCACTGCGTGATCCAGTTGATGCCCTTGTTCTAACATATCCCGCACTTGATTTATCTCCTGTAGGCTGCTATGGAGAGCGTGAAATGGAGTTTTTCCGTCAAGAAGCTGGTGATGATCGAGATACTGGTATCTTTGAAACACGAACAGAAGTTGTCGACTTGTACAAGTCAGGCGTACACCCAGTCTCTATGGAACACCTAGTTGTTGCTGGAACACCCTACGTCGATGTCAATAAAAATACTCCTCTTTCTTTATCTTCCCGAGTTCTTTTCATGTCAGATCGTGTCATCCCAGCTGAAGGCCTCTACGTCATGGTAATCATGTATATTGGGACAGATCGAGGTATTGACTTTCATAACGACCCACTTGTATCCCCCTTGTGGGCCAGTGATGAATTGCTAGCTCAGTTCCCACGCTGCTATGTCACCTGTGGAACCTGTGATCCCCTTGTGGATGATACTGTCATATTCACTTCACGCCTAAGAAACGCCCGGCGCGCCAAAAATCCAAAGCTCAACATCACAGAAGACATTATCCGTACGCGTCTCGTTAAAGGTGTATCTCATGGCTTTCTCCAGTTTGATACCATTTATCCTGAAACAAAATCAATCTACAAAATGATTGGCAGTTGGTTCCTCGACGCCTTTGAGCGCTCAGAACAGGAATCACGCCTAACTGTTCAAGAGTATCGAGAGATTCTCGACACCCCCAAAGTAGATACATATAGATACAACAACCCATTCCCGGGATATTAAAAGTACAAACTGTCTCTAAAATACGCTATTTTCTTTGTAATCGTCGTCATCACTGTCATGGTTATTGCTGGAAAGACCCGCTGCCCTATTACCTTGCAAAGTTCTGTCTAGTCTTAAACCCTGTTGAGTTGGTTTATTGTCTTCATCTTCAAAAATCACAAAGTCCAAATCCCCCTTGCGACCATACCGGCTCCGAGGTGGAGTCACATATACGGGGACTGAAACAGATCGGAAGGATCCAAGTCCTGTTGTTTCTGCTCGTGGTAAAGGCGATGCGGGTGTCGTTGTAGTTGTAGTTGTCCGTGAAGATGGCCAATCTCCAGCAAGCCGCAGCGTTACATTTTCGTCCCGTAAAATATTTCTCGCTTCTTCATTTCCTGAAGCAAATCCGCGTGTAGTAATGTATCCGGGGAACTTATCAATAGGTAGCTCATCAAAAGGCCGACGCGGTACCATTCCAGTGACCCTTCCAGACTTTTTGACCTCATCTCGTTCTGGTTCGTCAACAAAAATGTCAAACGACGATAAAGCCATCTCCACTCTTGATCGCTCACCAAAATTATCAATCAAATCTTCGTTTTGCTTTTCCTTACTGCGGGAATTGTCTTCAAAAAAAACATTGCTGCTATTGCTATTGTTATTGTTATTGTTGTTGTGGTCGTCATCCTCTGTTGTTGCTGTTGTTGCCGAGGCCAGCGGCGTCGCGTCTGAAGACAAACTTGTAGATTGAGTAGTGGCAGACTCAGAAGGTTGCTCCTCACCGCTCGAGATTTCGGGCGTGCTAGAAGAGACCTCAGGTGAAGTCGCCGGCGACAACACCTGGGGCTTTCCAAAACACTTTTCCTCAAACGGCGCTAGCCGTGATGTTTCGTGAATACTGCGAGTCATCAGCGTCGAAGTACTCAAGTTACGGTTAGAATACAATACGCTGTGCTGTTTTTGCTGCTTCAAAATTTTTCGTTGCTGTTGTTTGGGCGTTTTCTCATCATTCTCAGGAGGGTCTGAAAATAGTGACCGGTACAAATGTGGGCATGATCCGCGCGACATTGCATTCTCTGCGAGCGGGTCATGGACACAAATATGCGGATATGTGTTACCACTCAAATTCCTCTGCGCAGGACTTATAGGACTCAAAGGTGATCTTGGACTGGTGGGACTTCCCGGGCTCGAATGAGCAATGTCTGCTGTAATTTCCTCGCGTAAAATCGGTCGAGGAGGCGGAGTAAGCAAGCTTGGTGGCACAGATGAGCATCGCACAGGCAATTCAGGTGCAGGCAATTCCGTCCCAGCGGGTTCCGGGACTTGGAATGCAAGAATTGGTGCTTGAAGTGAAGTGTTATTACTGTTATTACTGTTATTATTGTTATTATTGTTATTATTGTTATTATTGTTATTATTGTTATTATTGTTATTATTGTTATTATTGTTATTATTGTTATTATTGTTATTATTGTTATTATTGTTATTATTGTTATTATTGTTATTATTGTTATTATTGTTATTATTGTTATTATTGTTGCTGACGACTGCTGGCCGCGTCAAGCGTACGCGTTTTGTAGGCGAGGAAGAACGTGATGGAGGTGATATGGGAGACGAGCTTCGAGTAGGTGAGACCCGGTCATGGGGCGATTGGCGCAGGTTGTCATTGGGTTGTTGAAGGACAGGCCCAGACGAAAACATAGCTGACGGCTTTGGAGTTTGGGATCCGTCTGATGTTTTACGTTTAGGCGATTTGGAAGGTGAAATCATGGTTTTTTTCTAGAATCTTTAAGTTGTTTGTTTATGGGATCTTTAAAAAAAAAAAAATAAATAAATAAAAAGAAGAGGAAAGAAACCAAAAAGGTGGGAAAGCAAATAAATGAGTCTTTTTAGAAAGAATGAAAAATGAAGGGCGGATGATTCCATTAGGTCCTCCGCCACAGAAGCTTCGACGCGTGTGGGAAAACAAAATAAAATAACAAAACAAATTACCCAAAATGGAAATCCACTATGAAAATAAACTCGCGCCGCACACAAATAGAAATGGCTTGTGTATCTTCTGATATACCTAAGTTGACTATGCTAATTCATTATTATTTTCATTTATTTAAACACTCCTTAATATTTTTATTCATCAATCATTGTATATTTTTTATTACAGAACACCTTCGGAAGCTTCAGACTGTCGTGCACCTGGGTTCAGATATTCGTCAAAGTACAAGCAGTCGCTTGCATTGACTAGACCCTTGGGTGAACAGTACTCTAGAACGGGGCACTGACCGCATGGCGTTTCCGTGAAAGGATCAAGTTCTGCAAGCTCATCAAAACCTTCTGCATTTTCTTCTTCATCGTCTTCGGTTTCGGGCCCACCACCCGCTGCAACAACGCTGGACCAAGTGGCCTTATAGCTGTATCCGCCATCGATACGTTCCAGACGATCATCGTACACGAGCACTTCGCAGAGGGTGCGAACATCGACCAAGCTCAGATCAACATTGGTAATGCCGCTTTTAACAATAAAGTCATGGATCTTGCCGACAGGTGGGTATCCCTTGTAAGTTGCTGGATAAGACTGCTGGATTGCACGTGTTACATTGCGGCCTTGGCCAAAAGCGTTGGGGAAAGATATGGATACTACGTAGCGCCAAATAACGTTCAGCAAACTATCAATAAACTCTGTATCGATCTCAGCGTCTGTGAACCATGGACCACCACTCATTTCCTGCGACGGTTCCATACTGGAAAGAATGTAGATTTTGCGGGTTGGATGCTTGACCGACTTGACTTGTTTAATGTAGCGCTGTGACTCAAGCGACTTGATGCAACGTGTGATGACATTGATGTGAAGATTTGTGCGTGCATTCAGAGTCTTGGTCCAAATACCGTCACGGCCAGCCTCCTCAATGTGCGAGTAGATCATGGCCTCATCTGCAGACATGCTCCGGATCTTGTTGGCTTCTTCCAGGGACACTGCCGAAAACAGAATTGTGGCGCCCTCCTGGGACACTTTTATCATTTGCTATAGATAATAAAAATTAGCTTCATTTTTTTCAGTCAATATCAATCAAGAATAATTTCACAGAAACTTACATTGTTTAACAGCTCCTGGACATACTTCATGAGCTCTGCCTGACTTTTAATTCGAATCAGATCTTGCATCTCGAGCTGTTTAAACAAGTGGCCCGATGATTGAGTCGTAATCATGGCATGGTGAAGCTCGGCAGCCTTTTCCGAGACAGAACTGCCCACGTTTCCTCCTGTTCTTCCAGACATTTGGTTCTAGGTATGTGTTAGCTGATTGTGAATTAAAGTGTTATCGCTTGGTGAGATATACTGGAAAAAAATTTTTTTCTATTACCGGTAACGGTGATATTTTTTTTTGGTGGTTGGTTGTCATATTAAGATTTTATACAATTAAAATACACAGTGTATGTGAAGTTTTTGTTTTCTTAAAGGCTGCAAATTGTATTTTTTTTTTTTTCCAAACTCACGCAAATCTTACATCTACAAATGTTTGGTGCAAGACGACCAAAGATTATTGCAAACTACGACAATGATGAGAATGAAGAAGAACCGACTACCAGTCGCATAACAATTGCGCCCAAATTTAAGAGCAAGAGTCGGATGAAAGTTGGTGCCAAAAATGGCAGTAACAGTCGAACAATTTTACAAAAAAATAATGATGTCGATGACGACGACAACCTAGATTCCATTGTTATTCGACCTAACGCGTCGTCCTCGACCTCACGGAAGGCTGCATTATTTACATCAAACATTAAAAAGACGCCGGTACGAAGGCCTATTGTTACCAAAGAAGTGGAATCTTCTTTTAACGAAGCACCAGAACCAGTGGCTACAAAATCTGTTGTTGTGATTCACACTGAGGACGAGTTTGGGCCAAATGCAGATAGCGATGTAAGCATGGAAGAGGTGGATCAGCCAACGTCTGTTAAATCACCACAAATTTCTGCTCCAGTTTCAGCTTTGACTGATGCGTCGCGACGCGTTCGATTTAATGATGTGGAGGTGAAAGAACTTGAGAAGAGCGATAGCGAGGCCGATTTCATTGCACTTGAGCCAGAGGTGATTGCGGAAGAAAAAAAGCTGCTTGAGGCGCGGATTTACAACGAGTATGATATGGAGGAAGGTGTGGAGATGCTTGATGAAGATCTTGCGTTAGACGAGAAAACAAAAATGACTCAAGATCAGTGGCGGCGGCGGCTGATGGAGGAAGCTATTGACGATGTGGCGAATGACGAAGATGACGAAGACACGGCTCGGTGGATGCATAACCAGCAACATCATAGCGTTGTTTATGCTAATGAGAACCATGTCGAGGTTAATGAAAACAAGAAACCCCCTAAAGTGGAGGAAACTCAGGAAACATTACCATTACCGAGTCTTAAGGATGTCTTGGCTCACATACAAGGTAATTTAGATAAACTACGGGGAGAACGAGATACTATTTCACAAGAAATTAAAACTTTGAATGAGGATGTGGACCAAATAGAAGCTAAACAGGCACTTATTCAAGATAAACTTAATCAAGCAGGTCTCAACTACCAGGTTGATTCTGCAGTTCCTCAGCAATAACGACGTTATGAAGCAACTAAATTTATTTATAAAATACAAGCAAATACAAAATTTTTTTTTTTCCAACTTTTTAAAAAATATTTTGATTTTAATCTCAAAATATTTACTCCTTCTTACCGCCATACTTGGAACGCCATTCATCGACCTTGGCGCTCTCAATTCTAGAAAAGAGGTAGGCAGACTTGCCAATGTTGTGGCCTCCAAGGATATCCAAGGAAAACTCATCAGGAATCAAGCGAGGAGGAGCATTGAGCTGCTTGATAATGCCCTCTGCTGTCTCGGGAATGTAAGGAGCAAAGATGGCTGACAAGAGATAAATGATGTTAATGCCGACACCAATGACTGCAGCAGCCTTCTCTGGGTTGTTTGCGAGAAGAGAGTTGTCGAGCTTGTTTTCTTGAAGGAACAAGTTACCACGAGAAGAAATCTGCATGGCAATTTCCAGAGCCTTGCGCAGGTTGGTGGCCTCCATGGAAGTGTTGTAAGACTTGAGCAAGGCATCAATATCGGCCTTAAGGGCGGGGTAGTCAACGAACGAGGGATCGTACTCAGGGATAACACCGTTCTGCTTGGCATTGACAAACTTGACCAGTCTGTTGACAAAGTTACCAAGGTTAGGAAGAAGTTCGTTATTGTTGGCAGCCACAAACTCGTCCCACGAGAATTGGGTATCAGAAGTTTCAGGACGAGAAGAAGCTAGGTAGTAACGCCAGACGGATGGAGGAATACCAGTTTCCTGAGCATTGTTGCCAAAGACACCAATGTTTCTAGACTTGGAGAACTTGCCGCCTTCGTACTGGAGGTACTCGGTTGTAGAAAGGTGGTTGAGCATGGTCCACTTCTCACCAGTACCAATCTGCGAGGCAGGGAAAACCACAGTGTGGAAGGGAACATTGTCCTTACCCATGAACTGGAAGAGCTCAACAGACTCAGGGTGGCGCCACCAGGCCTCCCAGTCATCAACATAGTTAGCAGTGATGGAGATGTAGCCAATGCAGGCATCGAACCAGACGTAAAGGACCTTCTGGTCGTAAGCCTCAAGAGGAACTGGAGTACCCCATTTCAGATCTCTGGTGATACAACGGGGGTGAAGACCCTGCTTAAGCCAAGAGTGAGTGATGGTACGCGAGTTTTGAGACCAGTTGCCCTCGACCTGAGCCTTTTCACCCCAAGCCTGGACCTTGTCCTGGAGCTTGTCGAGCAGAAGGAAAATGTGCTTTGAGCTCTTGGGGACAGGAGAGGCATTATCAAGTTTGCATCTAGGCTTGATGAGCTCGAAGGGGTTGAGAAGATTACCACAGCCATCACACTGATCACCACGGGCATCTTCATAGCCGCACTTGGGGCAGGTACCCTCAACAAATCTATCAGCAAGGAAACCATTATGGACAGGACAGTAAAGCTGCTCAGTGGCTTGTTCTTCTAAAAAGCCATTCTTGTTAAGCTCGAGGAAAATGTGCTGAGCAATCTCGGTTTGTTTTTCTGTGGTAGTTCTGCCAAAGTAATCAAAGCCGATCTGAAACCAGTCGTAGACGGCTTTGTGAATAGCATGGTACTTTGTGCAAAGAGCTTCAGGGGTAACTTTTTCTTCAAGAGCCTTGGTCTCGGTGGCAGTACCGTATTCATCGGTACCACAGACGAAGAGAGTGTTGTAACCTCTTTGCTTGGCATATCTGGCATAAATATCGGCACTTAAGACGGAACCGACAATGTTGCCCAAGTGGGGAACGTTGTTGACATAGGGAAGAGCAGAGGTGATGAGAATATTTCGCTGGCCATCCTTGGGGAGGATCTTACCTTCGAGCTTCTTGTATTCAGCCTTGGGGTTGATGTTGACTCTTCCAGTGTGCTCGGGAGGAGGAGGGAGTGCCTTCTTGGCGGTGCGGGAAGCCACAGTGTTAATAGCAGCGGCAACAGCGGGGATCTTGGAAAATTCAGCGTACCAAGCCTTGAGGTCAGTGTTAGACTCAAGGAGTTTATCGGAGTACTTGTGAACTAGGCCAAAGACACCACCAAAGTAGATGATTTGACCGAGAGTGGTTTCAGCTTTTTTGGGGACAGGGAATTGAGCTGCATCAGCATCCTTAGCAGTAGAGATCAAGAGTGAGTAGATCTTAGATTCGTCAAAGGCAATGAGGTTGGTTTCGATATCGGTGGTGGAATCGGAGAGCGAAAACAAGTATCTGAAAGAAAGAAGGTTAGAATGATCTGTAAAAAAAGAAAGAAAACAGATCTAAAAGACATACCTAGCAATGGCATTAGGCTCAGTAAGGAATCTCTCAGGAGCAATATGTAAAGAAACCTTGGGAGCTTTGGTGAATGATTAGAATATGAAGAGAAGTTATTGGAAAATACTAAAATGAAGACTTACCTTCATCGTCTAGAACGGATGAGACGGCAGGATGAAACACTGCGGCGGCAACACTGGCCTTGATGATCTGGGAAGCTACGACTGCATCCTTAACAAAAGGAATGTTAAGTGTCGTACTGAATTGGTTCGACATATTATTTATATATGGAGAAAAAGAAGATAAACCTAAAAGATGGATTTGAGATAGATTTTATAACAAGTGGAAAAGAGGTGGGATATATTGAGGTGGTGATGATTGAAAATTTAGCAAGGTCGATTTCGCCATTTAGTCACACATACACATACACATACACATACACATACACATACACATACACATACACATACACATACACATAAATTTGTCACAGAAAAGTCTGGGGGTTGTAACATAGATATGTAACACATGTGTGGCTGGAAACGTGTTTGAAAAAGTTACCCGGCAGCGAAAGCAGAGTTCGTCATATATTTATTATATTGTTTTTCTTCTGGTTCAAAACCAAAGCGTGCTTGAAAGACCTCAGAAAGCCTCGGTAAACGGAGAAGGTTTTGTTCCAGAACAAAGTTGCCCTCCCAACAACTCAAATTTACAGCAAGGTCTGACGGACGGTTTAATTCCTTTCTTTTCTATTGCTTTGCTTTGCTTTGATTTTTTTTTAAAAAACAAATCCTTGCTAAAATTATTAACATCGAATCTTTTTTTTTTTTAAAAAAAAATACATCATGTCGACAACTTCACCAGTAGCGGCTTCAGCTTCTTCTCCCTCGGTGGCTAGTGATAAACGCGCTATGCGTTACTTTGGTGGACGGGCCACGGTAGTAGAAGTTGGAATTCTGGCAATATATCCATTGGCGATATTTCTTGGATTTCTTGTACAACTGTGTGGCGGCGACTCGCCATCATACTTTAGCAACAAGCGCAACTTGATCAATGTTTATATTATCAAACGTGGATGGCTCTGGGTAACGCTGTTGGTTGGACTGCATGCATATACCATTCATCAACGAAACTCACCTCTTAGTCAGCGCGCGCTGCGCAACTTGTTGGTGCGATATGCACTTGCAACAGCATGGTGGATCTTTTTCACACAGTGGTTTTTTGGTCTACCCATCATGGATAAGGTTTTTGTGTTAACAGGTGGCGGATGCGCGGTGGATGCGCAGACACCAGCCCTTAACACCATGTCATCGGCAAAGTGTCGAACAATTGGCGGGTCATGGGTAGGAGGATATGATCCCAGTGGACACACATTTCTCATCACACACTCGAGTTTATTTCTATGGAACGAGCTGCTGCCGTATATTCAACGACACTATTTGCATAAGAGCCAGCAAACTGAGCATGGGAGTGTTGTTGACGAGATGCTGGTGAATGGTCAACATGAGCAGCCGCCATCTATTTTTAAGAGCGTGGTGTTTAAAGCAGCAGCACTGCTAATTTTCATCTTTTGGTGGATGCTTTTGATGACGGGTGTTTATTTCCATTCTATTTTGGAAAAGCTATCTGGTCTAGGGTGGGGTTATATTGAAATATTGGCGGTATTTTTCGCATCTCACGAGCTTGGCCCTGAGATTGAGCAGTGGCTCAGTGTTGTGCCTGTTTAGAGACTTTGTTGACAATCATAAGATCAATAAAAAAAAGACAATAAGGGGGAGGGAAAAAAATCCCCCATTTAATTTGAACTATGACGTATCAAATTTCAACTATATAAATAATAAATTATGATGCCAATGTCAAGAGATTGATATTTAAATAATATTTTGAAAAAGTCACAAGGACTTTAAATCGTAACGAATTTCCCCACATTACTAAGATGAAATAATTTTTCAGATATTTTGTGAAAAAAAAATTTAACATAAAAACTAAAATAAATATTTGAAAAAAAAAATCTTCTCATGTGATGGATATCCAAATAGGCAGTTTGTTTGCTTATCATTAAATAGTCTATTAATTTAGAGAAAGGTATATATATATATATATATATATATATATATTCCCCGCGAAATTGGGTGAAACATATTTTAAGTAACTGGTTACAGTTGTTTTAAACAGGCGCCTACTTTAATAACCTCTAATTAAGAGTTGGCAAAGAAATATTTTTTTCTTGAAGCCTGCAAACTATACCTAAGAATAAAACTTTTACTTTTACTTTTACTTTTGCCATGATAAAAGTGTATTATAGTAAGAAGTTTTTATTATCAGTTCAATTAATACAAATAACAGGCGATTGGAAATATAAAAAGGAATGAATGAAGTAGCTTTAGCTATTAAGTAAATCAACCAAATATTAGTTAACAGTTTCTTGATAGGTACCACTTTAATAGTGGACCAAAAAATTTCGACCACCTTGGTGATACGGAATTATTTTAGATTTTAGCGAAAAACTTTTAATGAAGCATTTTGTTTTGCTAGATATAGTGCACCAGTTTGGCGAACTCTTGTTAAATTTTTCTTTGAAAAATAATGCTTCTCCAAGTACAGAGCAAACTGAATATTTTATTCCTATTTAATATGAGATAAATCTTCATGATGAATTTTTATTGTGAATTGTTTCGTTATGGATTTATACAATGAATAATTAAATCCGAATCTAAGCCATGATCAACAGCTGGAAGCGAGTCCAAAGAATGACTAGTTGACAATATCAACAAAGAGTAAATTTTGGTTGAGTAAAAAAAAAATATCATTAGGATAAGATCCACGGAATACATATACAAACATTATTAGCTAAATTTAGAAGAAAAATAAATTGATTATAAAAGATGATGTGATAAGATTGACTTTTGTTTTTACAACTGAAAATTGGAAACTTTATATTTTTTTTCAATTGTGTAATTTGTCTTTTATTTTATGTGGTTTGTTTTTGTTGCAGTTACTAAATATATGATATTTTTTTGTTAGCCCTAGCCCTGGAGCGTATGGGCTTAAAAAATTATAATTTTTAATTTTATAATTTCAAATGTTATTTTTTGAAATGTATAGTAAGATACTATCCAAAAATACGAGGTTGTTGTTACAATAGAAAAAGCCCTAGCCCTTATGGGATTTGCAAAATGAGAGAGAATATATCAGTATTTCTAATCATTGATGAATTTAGTTTGTGCATTTTCTCTCCCGCCACACACAAAAACCAACATAAAAACGAAAAAAAATTGACATGAGGTTTAATGGTGGGCTACACCATGGGCATTACTTGGAAAACACAACAAAACCAAAAGCTTCTATGAGTCTTTAAAGAGATAGCGTGGGGTTATCATTACTTAAAATGGAATTTATATACGAAAAACAAACAGCACGCCTAAAAGTGTTCTTTTTTTTTTTTTTTTTTAAAGATGCATCATGAAGAAAAAAATACTTAAAGAATAACAAAATAAATTTGAAAAAATAGACAAAAGGAAAACGTGTAAATGGGTAGCATATATAATATTTGTAATATTTATTGCACTATATATTAAAGAAGATGTTATCGTTAGCGTTAATGAAAGGGGTTTCTTTCGATTTCCCCCAAAAAAAAAGTTATTTCAAGTAAATTTAGTTAAAATCCAGAATCATTTATAAGAAAAAAAAAGTGAATGGTAATAATGTTTCTATACATTGTTTGGTAATTGGTATAGCAATGTATTTTTGGATTCAAAAAAGATTTATTTATCCTTTAGCAAGATGGAAGGATGATAAACACAAGGATTTGTCCAATTTAATTGGAGAATGTTTTTTTTTTTTTTTTTTTTTTTTGATTATGATATCCAATTACAGGGTAGAAAGCAATAGGGGTTTACGTCAATCAATCAATAAATCAATTAATCAATAAAAATAGCAACTTGATTATTTAATTAAAAGAAAATGATAGAGCCTGAAATGATAAATGATGAAGGAGGAGAAAAAAAAGGATTTCACAATTGGATAAAACCCTTTTTGGTGAACGTATTTAATTGAATTAATTTGATGCATTGGATCGGGATTGAGCCAATTATTATTATTTTTTTTAAAAAACAAAAACAAAAACAAAAACAAAAATTAAAGAATCTCTTATCAATGATATCAATTTTGATGATTGAGGTCAGGTATAAGGGTACGTTAGAAACTGATTTTAAATTTTTTTTTTTTAAACAAAAGTCTTGGCTCTAAAATCTACAAAAGGTTCAATAATGATATTTCGGGAGAATTACAAAGTCAAGGCTACTTCAGGAAAGCTGGCACGCGAGCTCGCGCAAGATACCAATTAAGAAGAAAAAAGAATGAGTGGGGGAAGGTGGGGATTAAGTTGTATTTGTATTAAGAAAGAAAAAGAGTATGAAAGAGAGAATGAAAAAAAAATTAATATAAAAGTGCCTAAAAGAGAGAGAAAAAAAATATATAACTTGGTTGTGCAATCAAATATTTATTTTCATCAGTTCAAGTTTAATGGTAGCCAGGGGATTGAAAGAAAAAAAAAAAAGTAATGATAATATGATTAGACAATATTTATTTATTTATTTTATTTTTTGCAATTATAGGAAGGTGATCGTGTGCCGACATTAATTGCTTTTTTTTTTTTTTTTTTTTTAAATTAATTGATTATAATCAATTAATTACAGTCTGAATAATTATTCAGATCCATATCCTTTTCTTTAAAAATAAAAAAAAAAAGCAGCTTCATGATGAAGTTGATCAGGAATGGAGAACTTTCTATGTTTTTTTTTTTTTTTTTTTTTTTTTTTTTACTGTGGGTCTCTCTCTCTCTCACTCTCTCTCATTTTTTTTGTTTGTTTGTTAGTGCTGCTTACTGGTGCTGCTTCTCCTTATACAGGAGCTGCTTTTCATATATTCATATATATGACCCATCAAGACCCATCACTGTTATGGGGAAAACTCTTTAGCAAAAGTTATTTTCTTTTTATTTCTTTTAACCAAAAAAAAAAAAAAAAAGAAAGTAGAAAAAGTCTAGAGTGGAATCGAGATAAGACAAATTTATTTTTATTTATTTTTATTTTATTTTATTTTATTTTCGTTTCTTTTTTTTTTTGTTATTTCATTAAGAGATATCTTGGAAACTTTTTCTTAATAGTGATTGGCACAAAATTTTAAACTGAAACTAAAATAAAGAAAGAAAAAAAAGAAAGAAAGGGAGAAAAAAAAGACCTCAAGGAGATACGAAAATGTATTTTTTTTAAATGTAATTTTTATTTTTTTTTTTAACAAAATTTCATATTAAATGAGTCTTGATATAAATTTCATATCTTTATTTTTTTTTTAATTATGATAATCATTGAAAATATTTTGAATAAATTAATTTATGTAATTGTTGTTAAGTCGCAGATGTCCGTGTTTAAAGGCTTTTAAAAATTTTTTTGTTGTTTTTTTGTTGTTTTTTTTTTCTTATATGAGAGATGTACTACAACAACATATCTGCGGTTACAACAAAAGGAATGTAATGCTTTTTCAAACCACCAAACAATATAATCACAGTATAACACCAAAATTAAATTATTATTTCCTTCCCCCCCTTTTTTTTTTTTTTTTCCTTTTTGACTAAATTTATACTTTTCTTATTAGATGCTTAAATTAAAATAATTCTTTTTTATTTTTATTTTAAATTTTTTTTAGAAATTACATAGTTATCTTTTTTTTATTTCATTTTAATTTTTTTTATTTTTTTAAAGGTTTTGGGGAAAAAAAATCCCTGAAATTTCAACGGAATTCCGTTGAATTATGTTCGAACATAGTTTAACTTTTAAGTTGCCATTCAATATTATATGGAATACACTTAAAGTCTCGCTCTATTAAAATCAATTTTATCTTTTTAATTTTCGTATATTTTTGGTTTTCAGCTCAAATTTTTTTTTTTTTTTTTTTTTTGAAAAGCCTTGCAGTATTCCGAAATTCTGGTATTTTTCAAACGAGCTGTGGAGCTTAGAAACACCTTTTTTTTATCTTCCTACTATCTAATTTTTGGATAAAGTATTTATATATACATAAATATACATTGTATTACTCCATACTTATCCTCATGTAACATCTCCCCAGTTTTTAAAAAAACATTTCTAATTTTGAGAAATGAATTCAAAAATTTTTTTTTTTTTAAAAAATGAAAGAGAGAGGTGAAAAAAATAACATTTAAGGAAATATTTTTGATTTAAAATAAAATAAAATAAAAAGCGTCATTTTACAATAAAATATTTCTGCGCGCAGTTTTTTTTTTATTCTTTTTTGAAAAATTTCAACTGTTGTGAGTCAGGAGAAAGTTGATATGACCAACCAAAAAAAAATAAAAAAAAAAAACGGTGGTTTGAGCATTGACTGAGCCTATCAAAAAAATCAATTAAAATATAAAAAGTTGGTTAATTACTACTACTACTACTACTACTACAACCAGACAAAATAGAGGTTTCCTCACACGTGTAGGTGACGTCACACGGGAGTGGCCGAGCAAACTTCCATATTTAGCTATAAAGTAAACAAGGCTTTAATTTAATATTAATTCATTTTAAATCAAAAATATTAGATTTTTTTTTTTAGAAAAAACCTCTAAGGTTGATGAGAGGGAATTTTTATTTTATTAACTACAGAGGTGTTTGTTAAGAAGATCAAAAAGACCTTGAAGGCTTATCTTGATTTAATGGTGATGTTAGTGTTGGTAGTAGTTACTACTTAAGCAAGGATTGGTTTGTAGAAAAGAAATATTAAAACGCCAACAATAAATAACAACAAAAAATATTTTAATTTTATTTTATTTTTTTTGTTCTACATGAAATGCATATATTTATAAAAATATGAGAATTTGTACACACATTACAGCAAATAGAAAGAAGACTTTTAAGGCACGTTCTATTAATTTCCTTTTAAATAATAACAAAACCAATAATCAGAATCAAGCAAAGAAAAAAAAAAGATCAGCTACTATATAAAAGCTAATATCTCTTTGAGTAACATGATTCATGCCAGAGAACTTGTGATAAGTCTGGGGGATCTCTAATGTAAATGTAATAAAATATAACAATAACAATTATAATAAGAATAAGAATAAGAATAATATTGATTGATGGTGGTTGATAGTTAAACTATTGTTCATGAACATTAAAAACCATTTTGGTTATAAAAATTTGCCACCAACATATCTAAACAAACAAGACAAACATAACAAGTTAATAAAGAATAAAAAAATTGATCTGTGACTTTGAATAAAAAAAAACAAATAAATTACAACTGGAGGAATTATATATATATATATATATATATATATATATTTATATTTCCATAATTAATGGAAGATTTTATAAGTTTTTAAAGTTTGTAAAATTACTTATTTCTAGAATAACCTTGAAATGGTGGCAGTAGAAGAAATTCAGATAGACAGAGTTTAAACTACTTCATTATAATAATTATTAACTAACTAACTAAACAAACAAATAAACAAATAAATAAATCCCTACTAATATGGAGTTACCAACATCTAGATCAGAGATAAAGAAAAAAAAATGTTCAAAAGACTCTTAAAGAATAACCGATCGTGATGACGACACTTATTTCTTCAAGGGTCATATATATTTTCCAAGCTTTTATATAAACGAAATTGGAGACTCTGCCGCGGGGCCACGCGATCGCTTTTTTTTTTTTTTTTAATTTTTTTTACCCTCATCAAATAAATTCTTAAAAAATCAAAAAAAAAAAAAAAACCATTAACAAACTGCTATGATTTTATTATTATCACTATCATCATCATAAATAAATTTTATAATTTTGCAATAAGCGGGGGGAGATCCAAAAAAAAAAAAAAAAAAAAAAAAAAAACCTCTCTTAAAGCGGCGGCGCTGTCCGAGCCACTGACTTAGAGTGTAAGCTTTTGTAGTTGATTGTTATAATAATTATTATAGTTGTTGTTGTTGTTGTTGTAATTGTCTCTGCATATGAATTTTTATATATAAACTGTGCCCTTGCCGGAATTTCCTTCTTTCCTCCCTTTTTTTTTTTTTTTTCTTTCTAAACCTTTAAATTCTTACAAAATATTAAACCTTCTTTTGTTTCTCTTCATTTTCAATATCTTCATATATATATATATCGTTTTTTTTAAAAAAAAATCTCTCCTTCCTCCTCTCTTTTCATTAATCATATATTTTCCTGATAATCTTCTCCACTACTGCTCATAATTCCAATTGCCTCTTTTGGATCCGCCTCCAACAACTTAATAACCAACATTTATTTGTCTCTACTACTGCTGCTGCTGCTACATCAAAAAAAAGTAAATAAATAAAAAAATTTCTTCATGCCTGAAATTCCAATCTCTTCTTCTCAACAAGATACCCAACCTGAATCATCAACCGTCAAACTGCCACTGATACCTGAACCAGAAGCGTACCCCTTTACGCGAACAAAAAAGGAACGTCTTCCTCTTCACGCCTATGGAACCCTAGAAACTTATTACACACATCCAAGCGAACTCCAAGGAGAAGAAGAAGAAGAAGATGATTACTACAAATACTCGAGCGCGTCTTTCTCGGCTCTCACTAGAACTGTCATCTTCTTAATGGCTTGTATGATTATGGGCCTGGTATACGTCTCCGTCCAAATGGGTGTCTTTTCCGCTCCTGTTTACATGCCCGTCCCTGATCTCATCCGCATCAACACTATGGAAAAAATCCCAGGTGTTTCTACCATCCACAGAGATCAAAATGAACCTCCCATCTTTCAAGATGCTACTACTACTTCTACTGATGCTGTTACAACACCTCCTGTTCACTCGGCTCTGAAGAAATCTCGCATGATTCTTGTCGGCGATGTCCATGGCAATATCAAGTATCTTAAACAACTCATGGATAAAGTCAACTTTAACCCTGAAGGTGATGAACTCGTTCTACTCGGCGATATGATTTCAAAGGGCCCAGATTCGCTCGGAGTTCTTAACTATGCCATATCTGTTAATGCCTCATGTGTACGTGGAAACCACGAAGACACTATTCTTCGCGCATATTCTGTTATCCGCAGACTTCCTGCTCCTAAAGTTGAACCTATTTCCAACTATGAACTCATCCAAGATCTCCCCCTGCCTCAAATTCCTCTTGACGAAGAAGAAGATCATGATCTTGTAGACGAAGGTGATGAAGTTTTTGAAAACTTTGCCACAAGTTCTACTCCTCCTGATGATGACGATGATGATAACGAGAATGACGATGTTGATGGTGGATCAAAAGAATATAATACCCTCAAGGGACTCAAATTTAAAAAGGAAGAAATAGCCCTTGCCCGATCCCTTAAACCAGAACACATTGAATTCCTTGGTACTTGTTCTTTGATTCTCGATCTGGGCCGGGTCGCCCCTAAAAACACCCGTGCCGTTGCTGTCCATGCCGGTCTCCAGTGGAACATTCGCAAGCTCTACCGTCAACATCCCTTGGTAGTCATGACTATGCGATTTATGAATGGTAAACACACGGGCCATCCTCTTGAAAATAAACCGGAATCTAAAAAGGATCTTTTGGCCACCCCTATTTACCAATGGTCAAAGGTTTGGTCCAAAAAACAACACAAGTTGCCCAAAAGTTCCCGTGTTTCGGTCTTTTATGGCCACGACGCACGCCATGGCCTTAAAATTAGAGACTATACTTTTGGTCTCGACTCTAACTGCGTCGGTGGTGCCCAGCTATCTGCAATGGTCATTTCCCAAAATCAAACTTCTTCAGAACTTATTCACGAAGTTATTCAAGTTTCCTGTGCTTAGACTTTTTTATCAGGATAACTTTTTTACCTCCCCCCCTATTTGTTTTTTTTTTATGACTTTATGACTTATGTATTTTAATGAATTTTACTTATCTGAAATGTATCTTGCTGAAAAAAAAAAAAAAAAAAAAACCACAAAACCAATTTAATTTTTTAATTTTTTATTTTTTCCATCTTTTTGGGACGTCAGTATATTATAAGCATACGACTTTAATTTCAGTCTTAAATTTTTTTCATCATGTTCTAAACGGAATCTTGATGCGGGTTAAGCCGTTTTCTTCCTTTTTTTTTTTTGAGGGATACACATATAACCGGATAAGGAATCAACCCAAGGGGTTGGAAAAAAAAAAAAATTAATAGAGAAAACAAAAAAGTGGCCTCAGATTTCCACTTTGAACATCCTTGTTAATGATACATCCTATTTTGTATTTTGTATATTTTTTTTGTATTTCTTTTTTTTTTTTTCTATATAATATTTATTACAAAAATTACCAAACAACTCTCTATTACACCAACATCTTCGACATGTATGGGCCATCAAGCTTGTAGCCCAACTTGGCATAGTAGTTGCGCACCCCCACACCACTAATCACACTGATCTTTTCGCTCCCGTGCTCATCGCGCGCAATCCGTTCGGCTTCTTCCATCAACAATGTGCCAAACCCTTGATGCTGGAATTTGCGTGGGTCTCGACTATGCAAGGGAACAACAGACCCATACACATGCAACTCTCTTACGAGCGACGCTCGGCAGCCCTTAAGCTCTGGCCGGTATGTGTGCTCCTCCGAACACATGCGCAGCCGCAGCAGCCCAACCAAAATATCCTGCTTCGGGTCCTCATAACTTAAAAATGTCTCCCACCCACCATTGGCAGCATAATCCCGTCGAATCAACTCAACCTGATCTGGCCGAACCTTATGGTGCACCTCTTGAATACCCACCTCCCGCGTCCGAATGTCCCGACACGTTGTTCCAAAGTCCCGCATCCGCGCCAGTGCCAACTCGCGCAAATTACCATTCTCCACACCTGCACTCACCAACGGCATTGGAATATCTCTTTGAACACGGTAGATTCGTGTCCATGGTGGAACCAATGCCAAAATCCGAGCAACCAAATCAATCAATGCATTGGCATTATACGACTTGTAAAGCCCATTTTTCCACAATTCATACAATCCTGTACCTCGAATAACAAGTGTAGGATACAACTTCAACCCGTCGGTCCGGAATGCAGGGTTTTCAAAGTACTCGGCAAACTGATCCAAATCTCGCTCCATGCCCACATTCGGCAGATCAGGCATCATGTGACTCACAACCTTGTACCCGGCATCCTTTGCAAGTGCAAAAGTTTTACACACAGCCTTGACTGTATGTCCACGATTCGTATCTCGTGCCACGTCCTCGTACACTGACTGCACGCCAATTTCCAGTCGCGTGCATCCGTATCGCAGCATGTCGCTCAGATGTGTTTCTGTACAGTAATCCGGTCGTGTTTCTATCGTAATACCCACACACTTCGTCAATGACTGCTGTGAGTATGCCACCGCCTCATCCACGTTGCCAACAGTTGCACCAGAAAGTGCATTGTGCAGGTTGGCAATAAAATCTTCTCGGTAATCTGGTGCCAAACTCATAAAAGTTCCACCCATGATGATATATTCCACTTTATCGATTGTATGGCCCAGCTGCCGCAGTTGCTCGATCCGTCCTCGAGCTTGTTCATAGGGATCGTACCGCGCACGAATCGCTCGCATTGATGTCGGCTCGTACCCCGTGTAAGACTGTGTCGAGTATTCGAAATCAGAATCTGGCCCACCAGGACAGTACACGCAAATGTTACCAGTGTAGGCAATATGCGGGCATCGATGGGGCTTGCACATAACTGCCACAACCGCAATGCCCGATGCCGTTCGTACGGGCTTGGCCTTAAGTTTTGGCAGCAGATACTTCTTATACTGGTCAGGAATTGATGAGATGATATCGGTCAATCGTGGCTGGTTTTTGAGCTTGTACTTTTTAGAAACACGGTTCACAAGTCCGTTTAGATTCACATCCTTGCTTGTGTTCAAACTAGCAACAAGTTCAAGTGAAATGTCGGCACAGCACTGTAAAAACCGTTCCTTTTCAGGTGCAAGGTTTTGTTTTCCCTTGGGTCCTCTAGCTTTTCCTGCCATCTTAGTTTTATGTTTAGGTATCTTTTGCTTCTATGGTATATAATGGGATTTATAGATCTAATCGCGTTATTTGCAAATCAGAAACCAGTGATTAGCAAAATAAAAATTAAAAAAAATATAAGAAAAACAAAAAAAAAAAAAATTTTATCTCCCAAACCTTGATAAACATTAGATAATCATTATCTACATCATGACTAATCTTTTGACACGTACATTGCTCGTGCGGCCACCACCTTCGCTAAGAATCATCACCACCACTGAAAAAAAAAGGTTTCTTTTTGACCCTTTTTTTATACCAATTTATTTTCACTTTCATAATAAGAGAAAGTCAAGAAGTTTCTATCCAATCTATAGATTTCAAACGAATGACTAGTCATATTTCATAGTGTATGTATTTTCAGTTCGTCTGCTACATGCAAATAACATGTGGTTGGACGCTCACCATTTGTGAAAAAAAAAAAAAAGTTGACACAGTTACACTAACACGTTCGACCTTCTTTTTTTTTTTTTTCTTCTCTTTCCCCCCTCCTCTCTCTCTCCAACAGACATTTTCTTTTCCCCAACCATTTCCTTGTAAATAGAACCATCCAACAAGTCTTTCATTGAAGAAAAAAAAATATAAAAAAAAATCATCCTGGTTCTTTTTAATTTAAAGAAACCTACTAAAACCCAATCTACAATTCATTAAAAAAAAAAACTAAAAAAAAAATCATTTAAAAATATTCTAAAAAAAAATTCCACCAGCATCTCTCATGAGTAACTCTGAAGAAACTCAAGCTGGTCATTTTGGTTCCGGTAATGACCAACATAACCATCAAGAAGAGGCTTCTGATTCCGCTGAAAGATCCACACATGCCTCTTCTCCACTCGATTTATATACTGGTGCCACCGGTGCCACCGGTGCCACCGGTGCAGCTTCTGCCGCCGAAACCTTAATTGATCTTCTTGAAGGCAAACTACCAGAAGACGACGATGAAGACAAACTGCAACAGTCCACTTCTTCATTCAATTTCCCTATATTTCCAACAGACGACCCTTCTACTTCTATTCCTATCACTAGCCCACCATTACCTCGTGCTGCCCCATCGCCAGAGGCTGTATATTTGCACCCACAAATTTCTCCTCTGCCATCACCAACAAGAGCAATCAGTTCCCCCATCTCCAACAACAGCAACAACAACTACAATAGTATACCCCAAGAAACACCTGCATTGAACACTCTGGAGGATATTAATACTGCAACACAACCTGATGAGGTGGAAGAAACAATTGATGCTCTCGTGGCCGCAGTACATAATTCACCTGCGACACCTGCATTAACTACTGCTACAATTACAACAGAAACAATCTTAACTGTAAAAGATAATGCCCCCATTATTCTAACAGATGATACCAAACATGCTCAGGAAGAACATGCGAAGGAAAATGAAGAGAACGAAGAAGAAAAAGTTTCAAAAAGAGCTTCTTTAGATGCTCCAATTTTTCAACAGTATTTTGACGAAGCAGAAGTTGCAGATGACCCTTGGGATCTACCTATTTCTGATGAAGAAATCGACCCATCTACTTCTAAGCCATCTGAAGAAAACCCCAAAGAAGATTCAATTCTTGAAGACCTTAATGTTTCCTCACAACCTTTAAATGAACCCCCACAAATGTCACATAAGGCCGATTCTACTAAGCCTCTTAGTCAGGAAGTCAAGATTTCGGAAACAAAGGTTTCTGAAATTCCCGAAACTACCAACGATCCTTGGGATGAACCCATACTTGACGAAGCCGTCGAACCTTTACCCACAGATCAAATCCCCAAGCAATCAACACATAAAGAAACTCCTCTCAAACCTGAAATTGAGGAACCTACTCCACTCGCTGAATCCACTGATCCTTGGGATGAGCCTATCATTGAGGATCTGGACGAACCCGCATCTACAAGCGAGCAGCTCACACCATCAACAGAAATTACACTGCCAATACAACCTGCCAGCGAAGAGCTGACTGTTGCGGCCCCTGAATTACAAACTGAAGATTCTACCGATTTTTGGGATGAGCCGACTTTTGAAAAGACACCAGAGCCTGTTTCCACAAAAGAAGCTTCTTCTGTGTCGTCATTACCGTCGTCTTTGCCGCTACATGAAAAGGTTGCTCAGCTAGAAGAGTCTTTTACAGCAGATGCTGATGTCGCCACAGAAACTGTTTTAAAGGAGCCTGTTTTTGAAGAGAATCCAGAACCTATTACCACAAAAGAAGATCTACCATCGCTGTCGGAGAATCCAATTCCCAAAGAGACTGTCGAAGTTACTCAGACTAAAACAGAAGAATCTACAGATTTCTGGGATGAGCCCACTTTTGAAAAGACCCCTGATTCTGTTGCAACGAAACAGGCGCTGCAACTTTCTTCCCAAGAAGTGCTATCTACCAAAGAAGCTTCTTCAGCCCCCGAGGTTGAAACTTCTACTGATTTTTGGGATGGGCCCACTTTTGAAAAAGCTTTGGAGCCTACAGTTCCAAAAGAAATTTCTTCGTCAGCCCCACAACAAGAATTTGTACAGAACTCGGTCAGTAATAAGACTGCCTCTGAAGCTCAACAGGAGGAACAAGAAGAGCAGAAGAAACAAGAAGATTTCTGGGATGAACCTACTTTTGAGAAGGTCCCAGAACCTGTGCCCGAACCTGCTTCCGAAACTATTTCTGAGCCTATTCCAAAACCATCTTCTGAAATGATCTTTGAGCCAGTTATAGAATCTGCCCTGGAGCCTACTTCTGAGTTTATCCCGGAGCTAGTTCCTGAGATTAATCCTGAGCCAGTTTTAGAATCAGTACTGGAGCCTACTACTGAGCCAGCTCTAGAACCAGCCCCTGAGGTCACACCCGAGCCAGTTTTAGAATCGGTTCTGGAGTCTACTTCTGAGCCAGTTCCTGAGCCAGCTTCTGAGGTAAATCCTGATCCAGTCTCTGAGCCAGTCCCCGAGTCAACTTCCGAGGTCGCTCCTGAGCCAGTCTCTGAACCAGATTCTGAGGTCACTCCCGAGCCAGTCCCTGAGCCAGATTCTGAAGCCACTGCTGAGCCAGTCCTTGAGCCAATCCCTGAGCCAGCTTCTGAAGTCACTCCTGAGCCTATTCTTAAGAACGATGCTGACCTGCCAGCGCAATCTCCAGAACTGGAAGAGACTCATAAAGTGACAAGCAAAGAAGTTGAAATTCCTAAAACTACACCTTTGGAACCCCCCCAGACTGATTTAAAAGAATCAAGTCAGTCTGACGAATTGACAAAAGCCCCTGAACAACTTCAGGAAAATGTGGCCGACACCGAGCATGCAGGATCTGAGCCTGTCACTGAATCTTTTATTCATGAAGATATTCCAGAAACCTCCACAAAGGAGGAGTCTGCACCAGTGTTTAAGACCAATGAAGCTTTTGGAATTGCCAAAGATACTTCTCCCTCTACTACAATCTCTTCTGAAGCGAATGGTAAAGATAACAAACAGCAAGTCGAGGTTTTTGGTTTAAACGAGGACAAGCCCAACACTGATGGCCTTTCTCATATTTTTGATTCGGTCCGCACTACTGCTGAAAATTCGGAATCTTTTCCAGCCACTGAGGGCGTTTCTCAACTTAAGCCTGGATTTCCTGACCCGGCTGGTGACGACAGCTTTTTCCAGACCTCTACCCAAACTACAGCTCCAACAGTTAATGCCACCACCACTGAAAAATCTATTAACACTCCATCAATCGAAGAAAAACATGATTCTCAGCTATCTCCTCAGAAGACTGAGGAACATAATCCGTTTGGCGCTCTTTCGGCTGATGATTCATTTTCTGCTTCAATTTTCTCTTCTGCACCTAATGACACTCAAAACTTACCCTTCCAATCCTCAGAGAATGATACTTTTTATAAGTCTCTTGCTCCTGCAGTTCCTCTTCAACCATCCACAAAAAAGTCTCAGGATGCCTTTTCTCCTTTTGGAGATCTTGCTGACAATGACGATACCTTTTTCAAGTCCCTTGGTGCTGGCCCATCAAAACCTGTTTCACAAAACCCTCAAGCCCAGTCTCCATTTGGTGATGCTGGTGACAATGACGACACTTTCTTTTCTAAAATTTCTACAAAGGCGGAGGAAAAGCCACTGGAACCACCAGCCAGAAAAGCCAGAGGTTCCATTAGCAAGATTGAGCCTGCCAAACCCACTTTGGCTACTATTTTTGGTGAGGACGAAGAGGACGAAGATGATTTTGCCAAACTTTTGGCAAAAGATTTATCGGAAAAGAAATCAACAACACAGAAACCAACCGTCGATCTTTCTCAGTCTTTTGCACTTCTTGACGATGACGATTTACTTCCTGATGATTATGTTGAACCTGTTCCCAGTCACTCCAATCCCCAACATGCCCAGCAAAAAAATCTGCAACCTGCATACACTCAGCACCCTCAGCAACCAAAGATTAAAGAGTTCAACACTGCCCAAAACTCTTTTGATTTGCCTTCAGGGTTTGTTCCCCAGCCTCGTCGCATGAATTCTTACCAAACATTGCCTGGATCTCCTCAAACGTATACCTCATCATCGCCTCTCCAGCAACCCCCACATCAGCAACAGAAAAAGCTTTCTAAAAAGTCTTCCTTTTTTGAAGAGCTCCCCATTATTCCCCCTAAGCAAATTCATCGTAAAAGTAATGCTACCCCTGTTCAGAATGTTCAATATCAGGCATCATTTTCTCCCCAGCTTTCTCCAGCTCAACCCCCGCCTATCCCAGCTCAAGGAAACTTGCGCTCAATGACCAACTCTCCAGTTAATCCATATGCTCCACCAGCTAATCCTCTTCAAAGACCCAGCTCGGCATCTGTTTCTTACGCACCCACTGCATCATCCATTGCCCAACCACAACATAATCCATATTCTCCATCTCTTCCTCCGGTTCCTTCTAATCCTTATGGCCCACAAACAGCCACACCCAGAAACCAACCTTCTCAGCAAGGCCCTGGATACTATAACCATGCTCTTCCTCAAGGGTTTTCTGGGTCGATTTATTCACCTTCTCAGCAAAGCCAGCAGTTTAATCCAATGTCGCCACCTCAATCTACTTTTGCTAAACCATTAGGACCTAACGACATTTATCGACGCTCGTCTGTTACATCTCCTTCGCAGTTCCCCATGAGTCCCACCCAAGGAGTTACCCCGTTGAATCTTTCTCAAAACAATGTGTATGCTCCTACATACACTGAGCCCAAACTTAGTCCGATCCATGGTCCTCCTTCCCATCCTCCTTCCCATCCTCATCCACATCCACATCCACAAAAGTCTTTGGCTTCTGCTTATGGTGATATGCCAGCTGATATTGGAATGCGGGCTGCTGAGTCCAATCGCTCGCCTGAGGTTCAACAGGCCATTTTACACGCAAAGATGATGAGATCTCCTCCACGGCCAGATTTTGGCTATTCTGCTCAGACAATGAACCCATTGATGTCACCGCCTCTTAACTCTGCCAACCTTACTGGATCTCCTCCTGCATACCGTCAGCCTTTGAGTAGTAATAGCTACTCTCCCAATCACTCAGTTGATTACAGTCATCAGGTTTCTCCTCAACAGACTTTTTCGTCTGCACCCATGACCAACCCTGAGTCTCTGTTGACTCGTCAGTTCCCTCTTTTCTGCTGGGGTCATGGAACTAAAGCTGCAGTTTCTATTCCTCCTCGCATTGCTTTTGGTGGCACTACTATTGCATCTGAAATCAAGCTTATTGATATTTCGGAAATGCTTTATCCTGATTCTGCTACCAAGTTCCCTACATCAATTTTGACAGCCAAGGGTCCTGTCAAGAGCAAGAAGAAGGAGCTTGAAAAATGGATCCAAGAGCACATCTCATGGGTGGAGCATAAACAAAACACTGCTTCTCGTGAAGATTCAATTCGTTATGTTGATCGTGCTTTACTTTGGAAGGTTCTTTTGGAGCTTTTGCGCAGTGACACATCCGCTTCTTCTACTAGTGTCCCTGTGGTTAACACCATTTGCAAGCTTTTAGATCCTACTATTGATTTCACCAAGGAGCGTATTGATCCCAAGACGCAGTTTGCACCTGCTCTTGATATTTACAGACAAAACCAAAATCGCCAAGTTAATCCGGCTGACCATCATGATCGCTCTTTGACTCAGAATGACATTAAAGAGATTATGGAATCACTTAAGGCTGGTGACAGAGAAGGTGCTCTCAAGTACGCTTTGGATCAGCAACTCTGGGCACACGCTTTGATTCTTGCTAGTTCAATTGGATCTACTCAATGGACTGAGACTGTTGCAGAGTTTGTCCGTGAAAATGTGCGCAACTTCCCTGCTCTTTCTGCTCGTAACATGGCTTTCATGTACCGCATCTTTTCTGGTGCTAAGGAGGAATCCGTGTCTGAGATTTTGCCTCATCACGCATCTGTTGCTTCTAAATTGCCCGAGCCGTCACCTGAACTTAATGCTTCTTTAAGAGAATGGAGAAATGTCACTGCATTGGCATATTCTAACCGCTCGCCAATGTGTGTTGATGCAGTTAAAACTATTTCTGCTCTTTTAGCTAAATCTGGGTACACTGAAGCTTCGCATATCTGGTAAGTTTTTTTTTTTTTTTTTTTCAAATTTATTTTTACTAACATTTTTTAGCAAAATTCTTTTCAACTTTGCCAACTTTGGTAATGATAGTGGCAATGACCAATTTTTGCTTCTTGGTACTGATAAAGGTCAGGATATTGATTCCATTCTTTTGACTATGGTTTACGAGTACTATAGATGCTCTACTGATTCTGGAAATCAAAACTTTTATCCTCACCTCTTACCATACAAGCTTTTCTTAGCCTCTTACCTTGCCGACTATGGTAAGATTTCTGAGGCCCGTTCTCTCTATGAAAACATTTCAGGTATATTGAAGGCTGCTCCAAAGAGTCGATACACCACCCCAGTCTTTTTGAGTCAGACCGAGGCTCTTGGTCACAGATTGAACATTATGCCGGAAGAAACTACTGGTAGTGGCTGGTTTGGTGGTAAGCTTGCTCGTCCCAAGCTTGACCAAGTTCTTGGTCAGCTTGACAAGAGTCTTAGCAAGTTTATTGCTGGTGAAGAAATTGAAACTCAGACCAAACAAGAACAGGATAATGGCATTTTCAAAAAGCTCGCTGAGACACCCAATGCGTCTTCTGTAGATGTTCGTTCTCGTTATCAGAGTGCTGTGGATGTGGATATGCCAGGCATTCCATCTCGCTCTCAGTCAACTATTGGTTTCCAGTTTGGATCTTCTACAAACATTTCCGATCTCAATCGAGTAATGTCTCCGGGTCACCAGCTTGGCCTCATTCAAGATGATCCTTATCGTCCTCGTTCAGCTGGACCAGCAAGAGTAAGCTTTGATAGCAGACGTCCCTCTGCTGTTACGCCTGAACGAGTATCGTCTCCATTGGCTTATAATACTGTAACTGATTCTCGCAATTCTATTTACGGTATCTCTGAAAATAGGGCCATTCAGTCTGGTCCCAATAGTCCAAACAGAGCCAAACAGTCTTATTCAGCTGTTCCACCCCCACCGGCAAAGCCGACACCGGTTGCTAATCCTTATGCTCCTGTAAATAGCACCAATGCAACACCCTCTCGCAAAACCCCATATAATCCTTATGCGCCTAAGGAGCCTGAACCCACTTCTAGAAAGCAATCCTTTTCGTTTCAACAAAGTCCTGCCGAAGAACTTAGAAAGAAGTCTTATGCAGAATCTCCCAAAAATATTTCTGGAATTTCTTCCCCTCCTCCTCCTCCTTCCACACATATGACTATGCCCCCTCCACCCCCATCATTGCCTTCTTCGGCAAATCTATATGGTGATTACCCGCCACGTTCTTCTGCTGCTACTCCCGAATCTGGTTTAGTTTCTAACCACCCATCACGCATGAGTTCTCCAGTAAACCGAATTCACAGTCCTTATGAATTGGTTGCCCCATCGCATCCAGCTTCTAAGGTCAGCAATCCATATGAGATTTCACATGTTTCATCCAACTCTTCCAGGTCTTCATTTAGCAGTGAGCAGCGCCCAGGTTTTGATTTGCAGAATAGTCAACCTGAGCCTACTAACATTGAGTCACCTGTACCTCCTCATCAGCAGACTGATGATAATTTTTATCCTCCAGTATCATCAACAACTGAGATTAAAAGCCATACTCCTACTCCTAGCTCTTCTGGAAAGTCATCGGCAGCATTAGAAAAGAACATTTCTAACCCATATTCAACTTTAGCTGAGCCGGCCAATTCTAATGAAACAAAGAACAAATATGGACCAGCTTTGGAGAAGCCCTCTAGTGCTTCTTCTTATAATCCTTATGCTCCTGTTGAACAACAATCAACTTCGCCATCCAAGTCTCATTACGATCCTTATGCGCCTACATCTAGTGATGGGTCTAAAAAGACAAACTCTTATGCTCCTGTTTCTGTTACTGAGGAAAATAACGAGTCTGATTATTCGTCTTTTGCCGGATATAACCCATACGGCTATAATCCTTATGAAGACACTCCACAGACTTCCCAGAAGGATGGAGAAGGAGAGAAAAAAGAAGGTGAGAACTCCAATGAGGGTGTGGAAAAGAAAGAAGAAAATGAAGAAAAGAAAGATGAGGAGAATCAGGAACTACCGGATGAAGGTGATTTTTATGCACCTTATGAACAGCCTGACTATGGCTATCAAAATGAAGCTGAGCCTATGGACATCCCTGAAGATGACCCAGAGGCTGGTTCTGGCGACTTTTTCGTTCCTCTTGGAGTGCCATCATTTAAACCTTCTGCCACCGTTTCTGAAGCAGTTCCTCTTGCTCACACCGAAGAGGCTTCCAGCAATAAAAAGGAAGAAGAAATCGAAGATTTTGGGTTTGCCAATAAGCCTAAAGAAACTAAAGCTGAAGAGCCTAAAAATGAAGAACCAAAAAGGGAAGAAGCTAAGGGAAAGGCAGAAGAAAAGAAGGGTTGGTTTGGCTTTTTCTCTCGAAAGCATGATGACCACCCCAAGCCTATCAAAGCTAAACTTGGTGAGGAGAACTCTTTCTACTATGATAAGGAACTCAAGAGATGGATTAACAAAAAAGCACCAATTGAGGATCAAATTAAGGCGACATTGCCTCCTCCACCACCTCCTGGAGGATCTTCATCTTCATCGACTACTTCGGCTCCTTCTGTTCCTTCTATTCCTTCTGCTCCGTCACCCAACTTGCCTTCAGAACCATCTAGCACACCAGGTTCATCAGCGACAGCTACACCTCCCCCGTCATTACCGCCTAGCGCTTCTTTCAACGCCCCATTAAGTGGAGGCCTTGATGATCTACTTGCTGCAGCTGCACCAAGCGCACCAGGAACTAGAAAGGCCAAGAGAAGTGCACGCAACAGATATGTTGATGTTATGAACCAACCAAAATAATTAGGAAATCCAACAGGGATTTAGGATTCTGATATTTAAAAATTTAAAAGGAAAATGTCTATTTAAAAAAAAGGAAAAATAAGAAAAAATTTGTTAAATTTATATATATATAGTAAATAGTTAAATTCACGCCGAAAAATCCATTGCTTAAATTCAAAAAGTATTAAATGCCATATGCATGATGGTCGTATAAAGAAAAAAAGCTTTTGGAAAGGCTTGTCGACGCGTTGCAACAGCTGTAATCACGTGAAACTTTTTCTAAGCTTTTCCGAAAAAATTTTTTTTTCTATCTTTCATAGCGCACATCAAGCTTTAATAAATCGAAAACTTTTCAATGGCTAGAAAGAAAACTGGAGCTAAAAAAGCTCGAGAGGAAGCTCTCAGAAAACAATTTGAAAAGGATGAACTATCTTCTGCATCTGTGACTGACAAAGAGTCTACTATTAAGGAAAAGCAACAAAACAGTAAGTTAGTTATCAAGATTCGTAACATATGCAGTATTTAGTCTAATATTTAATTTAGAACCTCTTAAAAAAGATTTGAGCAAAAAGAAACAAGAGCCCGAGGAAGATAGCGAAGATTTCAACGATGATGAGTCATCTTCTGATGAAGATGAAGACGAGTTTGGTGATTTGATCACTGAGGATATCGAGGCAGGAATCAACAAAGTTTTAAAGGTCATCGACGAAAATCCTGAAGTTTTGCTCGACAAAAATACAAAGTTCTTTGGCGATATCAAAGCACCTTTTAACAATGAGCGCAACGAAAAACATAAGCCCATTTATCTTAAGGATTACCATAGACTGCGACTTTTAGCGACAGAAAAGGATGGTTTTGATGACGATGATGACGAGGAAGAAAATGAAGATACCGAGAAACCTTACGCTATTCAGCAAAAAGAGGATAAAGCAAACATTATTGCCGAAATCAACAAAGCTACTAATAGTGGAGACGAAGATTATTCTGATGATGATGACGAAGACTTTTTCAAAAAGAGAAAAGAACAAAGAACTGTCGAAGCTATTGAGCTACCTAATCCGGAAAAAGATTCAAGCAAATTCTTGGAAGAATACCTTAATCAAAAAGCCTGGCTTCCTCGCACGGTTGATAAGAAGACTGGAGAGCTGATTGTACCATCATACAATGATCTAGTGGAGGATGACGAGGAGTTTGATGAGAACGCCGAGCAATTTGAGCAAGCCTACAATTTTCGTTTTGAGGATCCTAACAGCGCAGAAGTCATGTCTTACGCTCGTTCACAAAATACAATTCGCAGAGAAAAGGAATCGAGCCGTAAGCGGAAGCGTGATGCCAAGAAGGCTACTCAGGAAGTTGAAGAAGAAAAACAAGAAGCGGAACTTTCGCGACTCAAAAAGAAGAAAGCAACACAAATTATGGATAAGCTGGGAAAACTTAAGCAGCAGTTGACAGAAGATCCTGACGCTGAAGAGCTTGCCAAGATTTTCACAGATGACTACTTGGATGGCGACTTTGAAGGTGACGAATGGGATAAACGTATGCGTAAAGTTTTTGATGAGGAGTTTTATTCCAAGAAGCCTGAAAAGATCAATGGAGATGAGGAACTTGCTGATGAAGAAGAGGGTGAAAACGAAGAAGAACAGTATGATGAAGAAGATGAAGAAATTCCTAATGATGGATACTATGAAGAAGAAGAGGAAGAAACATCCGGAAAATCCAGAAACCAGCTTAAAAAGGAGGAGAAGCTTAAGAAGAAACAAGAGAAGAAACAACTTCAAGAAGCTGCTCAACGAGTTGTTGAAGAAAATGTCAATCTTCTCATTAAGGAAGAAGGATCCAACACACTCAAGAAGAAGCTGGAACAACCCAAATTCCGTTACCGAGAAGTGTCACCGGACTCTTTTGGTCTTACAGCACGTGACATTCTTTTGGCCGAAGACCAAGATCTTAACCAGTACGTAGGTTTGAAGAAGCTTGCGGTTTACAGAGACGAGGAAAAGAAAGAAAAGGATCGTAGACGTCTTGGTAAAAAGAAGAGATTGAAAGAGTGGCGCATGAATGTTTTCAACACTAAGGAGGAACCTGATGATGCTTTGGTGGAACGGATTTTTTCTGGAAAGAAAAGACAAGACGATTCCGAACAACGCCCAAAAAAGAAGTCTAAGAAGAACAAAAACTAAGCAGCTTGGGACTTCTGTAAATTATATAAAATAATATTTAGTATTCATTAAACCAAAAAAAAAAAAAAAAAACATTTGTAAGCATTTTGAAATGTTTTACAAAATTGAAAAGTTCATTTTCTTTTTTTTTTTTTTGGTAAAAGCTTTTATCGATAGAATTAAACCGGGCAAAATAGAGGTATATTGAAACAAAATCTTTTTTTTCTCAGTTGAAAGGTAACTTCTATTTTAAAAATTTTGATTGTTCATTTAATGAATGAAGCATTATAATCTTCATAAATTGAATTGAATTGCTGTCTTAGTCGGAAAATATAGTTACTAGGCTTGAGGGGTAAAAAAATATATATTTTTAATATTTATATATTCCAACATGGAACTGGAATCATATAATTTCTGGAAAGGTTCAAATTATGAAGAGTTCAAAGATTATAATTAAAATGATTATGACTTCAGTTTATTTCAAATGAAGTAAATATGGCATATATGCGAAGGTCTGGAATACATCGTATGTCGCTTCCTATTGCAAGTCTCGGAACAATTTTTTTATTCGCTATCGAAAACTATGTTATTTAAGATATTTAACGAAAAAAAAAAACAGCATTACCAAGTTATAAAACGATCTGAAACGATAGTTTGATTACTTAATAAACACTAAATTCATGCAAAAAATACCAATTCATGCTAATTCAAAAAAACAATTTTTTTTATTGGCAGTCATCAAATGAAATTACTTTTGAAGTAGTTTCTGAAATTTTTATAAAATATTCATTTAAATTATTCGGAAAAAGCAAAAAGAGCCATTTTTTCCAATTAATCAAATAAAATAAATATGTATCTAAACATTAAAATCTATAGAATGACAAAAAAAATTAACACATGAACAAAATGAATACAGAATAAACAAAAAAATCTAAAAAAATGAATGAAAAAATGAATGATGGTGGTAATGATGCTAATAATTCCGTTTATCAGTTGACTTATCGTAGCTAATTGAAAAGGGATTGAGCTTTTTAGCAGCCGCATGGAATTTCTTCTTTTTGGGTTTAGTTTCCAGCTGGGGTTCGGGGGCTTCTGCCTCAGTTATCCAATGATTGGCAATAAGAGAAAAAATGATGACAAGGGTGACAATAAAACCAATCACTCCAAAAAACCATTTTAAATCTTCTCCTTCTTGACCAGGGACTCTGACGTTCATGCCAAATAGACCAGTGACCAAATTAAGAGGAACTAAAACGGTACCAATCAAAGTAACACGTCCAAGAACTTTAGTCACTCTGTTATTGGAATTAACAGACTCGACTTGTAATTGAGCAAGGTAATTAGCGTGAGAGCGAGAAAGCATTTTTTCATAAATTGATAGACTGTTGCGCATAGTAATGACATGATCTTGAACATCACTAAGATAAATTGAAATTTCTTCGTGGGATGTCCTTTTATATTCTTCTTGGCACCTCTTGACAAACATTTTAATTACGTCTGCTTTTCTTGAAAGAAGACGAAGCATGAGATTAACCTTGTTTCGGGACTCACCAATGCGGCGAATCATTGGACCAAAGTCTGGCTTGCGAGACAAGTAAACTGAATCTTCAATCACATCTATTTCAATTTCAAGATCTTGGATGATAGGTGCAAAGCTATCAGTAATGTCGTCAAGAATGGCGTAACATAACCAGTCTGAAGAAACCTTAACAAAGTCACGAAGTTGTCGAACACGGCGTCTGACATTTGAGGTGTGACCAAACGGTGTAAAATGAAAAGTGATTATCCCTTCTTTAAAAACAACAATATAAATAGTTATGGGATCCAGAAATTCCTCAGAATCTTTGTCATTATTAAACGTATTAAAACAAAGAAAGTAATAGTTTTTAAATAACTCTACTTTTTCGTGAGACTCCTTTTGGCTGATGTCTTCGACAGTAAGAGGATGAATTCCAAAAGAGTTACCTATAACATGCATCTCATCGTCAGTCGGATCAAGGCAATCCAACCACCAAACTCCATTTTTCTTAGAAAATAGGTTTGGTAAGTACTCTCCATTTTCCAAAAGAGAGCAGAGTGTTGGAGCCTGTATCTTGTTTTCATTATTCGCGGTAAAAATAATGAATCTATCCATTGTAAATGACATGCGACGCTCATTAACAGTTGATATTTGCTTTTCCATTTTAGGTGCAATAGAATCATCTTTTGAGTTAGGAACAGCAGATTTCTTTAAAAAGTCTTTTTCATCTTTGGATATAGACTCTTGAATAGAATTATGATCAACTTGGAGAATTGATTGAGGAACTAAAGGTCGATGACGTGAAAAACTAGTTGTTGTTTCCACTGGGCGATAATAATTTCTAGAAACAAAATCTGCATCTTTATTTGTGCGAGCAAATGATTCGAGGATTGAAAAATTAATGTGACATTGTGAATTGGGACTTTCTGGTAAAGAGCGACAGGTCGTTTCAATGTCACCTTTAGAAAATGAAAAACTTGAAAGAGGAATTGATGAATCTTTTGGAACTTGTTGATCTATTAAAATTTGAGTTGCTCCTTCATTATTTTGATGCTTGTAATTAGGTGGTGGAAAGGATGGACTTGGGATCTGATCGGGAAATATTCCTGTTAAAGGAGACAGTATGGGATATTTTTCGTTACATATATGAGTTGGTGAACACGATTCATCATGAGAAGAAGAACAAGTTGCTATATTTGAATTGTTAACTTTAATTTTAAGGTCCGGTTTTTTTGACTTGTGTTCTGGGATTTGTTCTGAATAAGATTGGTCAAGGTCGCTAGGTTGTGGTTGAATAGGAAGAGGCATTGGTAGCTTGATAATAGTAATTAGAAAAAAGTGTAAGCATAAGATAGTGAGAGGTAAAAAAATAAATAAAAGAGAAAAAATATCAAAAAAGGAAAGAACTGAACAAGGTCATATATATATATATATATATATATATATATATATCTGTGTTTTGGTAATATAATGCAATTCAAAGTGGATTAGAAATATACTTTGAAAACCTTTTTCGGGTATTCATTTAAAATACAACACAAAAATAATACAAAAAAATCATTTTAAAATCTTATACATTTTTAAGGGAAATAAAAAAGAACTAAAAGGACTTCAAGAAGGTTAGAACATTTCTCCCACTATTTTCTCTCCACTAATATTTTCTTTTCTGTAGTACTTAAATTACCTTGGTTAATGCAAAATGTGGGAATGATTCCTGTTTTTGAAAACTCTCATAGACCCAAGTAAGACAATAGTGATAATATATTTAAACAAACCAAATCACTGAGCCACTTGTTTGATGTTTTACAGGCTCAAAAACTTGAGTTATCATTTTTTAAGTCTTTGGAATCATTTCCGTTTAAACCGCTTAAACCCATTTTCTTTTATTTTTAAAAACAAATTTCTTAGGAAACTTGAAGAAAAAAATATTTTTTGTTCGAAAGGTGGCATTCTAAATGCCTAGTTTTAATACTCGGTTGAAAATACTTCATTTATAAAAAAAAATATGAAAAATTGGAACCTCTCCACTATTCTTGATTTACTTGAGAATAGAGCTCATTAAAACTTTAAAAAATTATTGTAAATAAAACCATAAACTTTTTATCTGGGGAAATTCTTCGCCAAGCCAAGAAATAACGAAGCAGTTTTGCATTGTATAAACATATGACAAGAAAAGTATGTTTAGGTGCGACAAACTCCCAAGGAAAGTCTTACGCCATAAAACGGGTTTTGCGGAAGTGGAACTAAAATAGGATAAAAAAAAGAGTTGAGAGCCAAAGCAGCTTTTTAAAATATTTCCCCGCAAGAATAATGAATATTTGATTTACCGGTGAAATTGAGATTCAAAAATTTCATTTTGGTAGTCCACTACTACTCTACTATAATAACTAATGATTAACTGTTATCAAAAAACAAAATACGTAGATACTTATCAATTTTACTCTTTATAAAGAGTAATTCTTAATTGAGAATTATCTAATATAATTAGAAAAAAAAACAATTACTTTTTTGAAAAGGCTTTTTACCTCTTTATGTATGATTGTTGAGATAATCCCTAAAACATTTTTTCCCATGACTGGGAGTCTTTTCTCTATTTCAATTGTAAAAGCTACAAAAACTTTTGTCAAGAAAACCGCTTTGCTTGTTAAAGTTGGACTTTTGCTTTTATAAATTAAAACAAGGTTCAACAGAATTTATTTGGCTAAGCCATATTAACTAGGTTAGCTAAAACTTTTTTTTCTCTAATAACTCGGAGCACCTCAAAAGACTTCACTGACAAAAATTTCACGGTTTACTGATGAACTTAGGTTTAATATAATTATAATGACCCAAAAACAAATTCTCCATGATCATCATTGCGGTTTCTTATTTTGGGATGGGTCAACCTTTTCAAATTTTATAATTTTTATTTACATTAAGCCAATTTAATGAGATCTAAATGATTTGAAAAAAAAAAATGTCTTGGTCGGTGTACTCATTTTTTTTTAGGAATGCAAAAGTCTTTCTCGGATCTAAATTCGATCTTATGGACCCTCTTACCTATTAGGGGCTACGAGCCGCCATCTAATATTAAATATATTTGAATCAATATAACACAAAACCAAACTTCAGATTCTTTTTAAAGATTTGCGAATAAACGGTTTGATCTAGATTTACAATAAAATATTTTATGAGCTTTATTGTTCCATAACGAACACTAAGATAATGAGCTCTTCTGGTCAGTGACTATTGCCAAGATCACAACCAGAATTTGGTACTTCCTTGTTCTTTCTTTCTATTAAACTAAAACCTTAGAACTTTTGCTGATCTAATAAATTGAGCATTTAAAAATCAAGGTGAATCGTTTTTCACTAAATCACGGACTTTGGGTTTACTTAGAAAGCTACAAAAACAACCAGTCAAAAGACTAACACCTGGAAGCTATTCATCTAAAGCAAAATGATCGGATCACCGAATTACTTTTTAATTTTGGGTGTATTGGCTTCTGGGATTTAAAAGAAAATCTAAACTTTATAATTTTTTTTTCAAGGGTTTTTGCTTGATTAGGATTGTTTTTAATCAAGTCTAATATTTCTTTTCGCTCACACTTAATCAAAGTTAATTATATAATATATTATAATAATTTGTTTATAATTATAACATATATGTTGATTTATGATTCTTATTACATATAAATATTTATATATATATAGCATTTTATAAGAAAATATATCGAACCTGCTTCAGTGTGTTCAAAGTTCACCAAGGAATATTCGTATTAATACCATATTATGAACTATCAGCTTGTGCACGGTGATTTTTGGATTAAGTTTTAGCATAGATGCTTCAAACTTTGATAATTATTTATCAAAGTTCTAATGCTGGAAACTGGTAGCTATCGCTTATTATCTAGAGAAAGCTTTTTTTAAGAATGTGAAATCCCTTTTAATCTATATATCTATAGATATCAACATTATGCCTACTTTAAAACAAAAGTAAGGTATTAAAGGATTTATTTAGAAGTAAGTCTATTATAAATTATATAAAAAAGAAATATATCTTCGTACAAACTTGATATACTTTCAAGAAAAAAAATACAATATAAATTTTTTATTACCAAAAAAAAAAAAAAATAGGAATAAGTATTTCTCCAAATATTTATCATAGTAGTCAATAACATTGGAACCACAAATCAAAAATTCCAAATTTCAAGGTTGTAATTATTTTACTTTTTAACTTTTCAAAAAAAATTTCCACCATTAAGCCGAGAGTAATCAAAAATGCACTAGATATTTCATATTAATTAGTTAACCTTACCAGCAGCAATAGCACCCATTCTTCTTAGATTCTCAGCAGCTTTCTTTTCAAAAAATTGCTCATCGTATTTGACACCAAACTTACTTCGAATCTCAGCGTTCTTAAAAATATTTTCGCGTTCGCGGTCCCAAGAGTTTCTTACATCTTGGAAACCAGCAGCCCACACTCTATCGTGTGATTCACGCTGCTGGCGTTCGTGCTCGCGGCGGTCTTCTTCCTCAGCCATCCACTCCATGTGCTTGATGTCATCGGATGACGGCTCATAAATGTGCCAAATAACATAATGGGGGAGGCCGATGACAGAAAGGCCCATTCTGCGGCACATTTTACCAAAACCTTCTGTTTCGGCATGCTTTTGGAAACTAAAAGCAGGGAAATGAGCACCCTTTCTAAAGACACTTGACTTTGCAAGAATAGAAACACCGCCAATACCATCAAGCTCCATCTCTACATTTGGATCACCATAGGGATCACGAAGATAGGCAAGATGGGGTCGCCAAGTGGCATACTCGACGTAGCCCTCAACAATGACAGAGTCTTCATCCAAAGTATCAGCAAGCTGAAGACCTGTTTCGGATTCCTGCCAGGAGTTAAGATCATAAGGTTGCTCATTTCCGAGCCAGTCGGGAAGAGGACGCCAAACATTTGGTACAATGACATCCTTGTCATGGGCCATGAGATCCTCGAGAATAGTAGCAGGAACAGTTTGAACATCGATATCTCTCCAGTAGACCCATGAATGATCTGGGCGAAGGGCCGCAGAAAGAAGCCAATTTCTAGCTCTGGCCATAAGCTTACGACGAGGGCCCTGGGCAGCAAAGCCGTGTCTGTCAGAGAAACCTTGACCAATAGCTTGACCAAAGTCTTTTTCATAAATTTCAATGGTTCCAAAGCGCTTTGATGTGTCTGTGCTAGCTTGAATCTCCTCGAGATAGTTCTTGAGTACATTAAGAGTATCGTCCTTGGAGTCTGACACCAAGAATGCAAGGTCAATCAGATTGTGAGGATAAGTAAGATTGACCATGTGGCCAAAAAACATAGACATATGAGGGACAGCGTCACGCAGAGGAACTAAAAAGAGAACACGCTCATTGCGTTGAGCAGCGTTAGGGTGACCATCAGCAAGGTTCAGATCATAGTGGAACACTCCGGGAATACTAAGGTCATCTTTCATTGGGGTGCGACCACGGAGCTCAGAAGGGATATATGTAAAGATAGAAGATGGGAAAAAAAAGTAGAGGAGGGTGATCAAAGAAAGAAGGATAGCGATTGGCCTCGAAGAAAACAGTCTCTTAATAGAATAGGGCAGTCTGAAGCCTTTTTGGGGTGGCTTTATAGAAGAAATGTATGCCGACGATGGCGAGTTAAAGTAAGATGAGGACGACATCTTAGATCGATAAGTTGTATTTGCGGCCTTGTCTAAAGAAGAGCTCGCAGAATGTGAGAATTTAGAAGGGCTGAAATTAGTTACTTGTGGTTAATAGGGTTTCTTGTTTCTAAAAAAAGACACACGCTTATATAAATAAAGTACATACTGATGAATAGACTCAGCAGTCTCAGAAAATTCGTAATCAGCAGTTGACGGAGGAGTTGAGGATTCAGAGGTTGACGGTGTTGAGATCGTCGCTGGTGAAAAGCTCATAATCACAAGAGAGGTAAAAATGGCGGTGATGCTGCGAACTTATCAGCTTATAAGAAATTAGGCAAATAAAAACAATAACAAATGGTGCAGGGGGCCATATGCATGCACTGGAATGTGAGTGATAGGAGTGACGATTGTAAGATCAAAAACACAGGACAAAAAGACAAAGCAAGCGGGACTCCCGAGACGGGTGGCGGGTAGAAAGGTTGCTGGCAAGTCCTTTGTCGGGACGGTCTAGGTCTGTATGCCCGGTTGTGGTGGTTGATGTGGTGGTGGATAAAATGGATAAAGGAGTGTGAAGGAGTGTTAAAAAGGGGCGATTTGAAATCTGACAGCGTAACGTTTAAGGGCGAACTGGAAAAATTTCTGGTGATAGCGAATATTGAGCGCCCGAGGCAGCAGCAGCCCTGTGTCGTCATTGTTACACTAATATTGTAACAAAAGTGTCATGTCACATTTGGGTGTAGGGCTGGTATTTAGGCCGGGTAACAAATTGCCTAACCTCCAGAAAAATTTCATTTTGCAGGCATCACAATTAAGGCATTTTATGTTTGTTTTGTGTTTAATATATTTATTTAAGAAAATTTAGGAAAAAATCAATCATTATTTTTTTTGAAAAATTTTTTTTTTAGAAAATGATTTGCTCAAGTAAGAATACTAAAATAATATATTAGTTAATTAAAATTCATTTTATTTCTAACATTTTATAGTTTCCGGAGAACCTGTGAAGGATCCCGTTCTGTCGCCAAAAAGTGGCCGCATTTTTGAGCGTGCTCTTATTGAATCTTACATTGCACAGAATGGCGTTGACCCCATTGCCGTTCCAGAAACACCACTATCAGCAGATGAACTTATCTCAATTAAGACAGATGAGCCGGTAGTTCCACCACGGGCTCCTGCGTTGACTTCTGTTCCCTCGCTACTTTCTGCTCTTCAAAATGAATGGGATGCTCTTGCACTAGAAACATTTTCTTTACGCCAGCAATTGAAGCAGACACGACAAGAACTTTCCACTGCTCTTTATTACCATGACGCGTCAGTTCGCGTTGTTGCACGTTTAATTAAAGAACGCGATGAAGCTCGTGAGTCTCTTGCGCAACTTTCCGCGTCTATTGGATCTTCTGTTCCTGACGCGTCAAGGAATGGTAGTGCTAGTACTAGTGCTTCTGGTTCTGGTTCTCAAGCTCCAGCAAAAACATTAAAAGATTTAGAAAACGAATTAACTTCTTCTGCGGAGGAAAAAATTGTGTTACCGGATACCGTTTTTGAAGCCATTGCACATAAACGACAGGAGCTTGTAGCCACACGTCGACAACGCAAGATTGGTCTTGACTGGACGTCACTGAATGACGTTTCCAAATTCGGACTTGTCAAAAAAGCTACAAAACAGTTTTTCCCTAATGCTCACCAACTTGTTATCGATCCTACTTCTAAATTTCTTTTGTCTGGAGGTGGTGCATCTAAAGCTGGTGTTTTTTCTACCCAAAATCCATCCACCGATAATGCTCTTTTCACTGGTAATATTGGAATAATCACTGCCTCAGGATGGATCTCTGACTCAGTATTTGCTTTGGGCTCAAAAACAAATTTAATTGAGCTTTTCAGAGTTTCTCGTTTATCAAATTCTAATAACCTTTCTGTCGTTCCTCTTTCTACCATCAACTTAACAGACATTGACTCTTCAAAGCAATATGCTGTGACAGCAATTAAAAGTCACCCAGTTTCATCGCTTTTCGTGACAATTTCTTCTTTTATTCATGCTTTTAACGGATGCTCTTTTTGGGCGGTCCACGACGTCTCTGACCCTGAAAACCCCAAAACTATTTCACATGGCACAACTACTAAGCAACACGAAGCGTACTACACATCAATGGATATTCATCCGGATGGAAACCTGCTGGCTCTTGGTACCAGCACGGGCTCTATCAAAATTTTTTCTCTGGAGTCTGGAGAGAAAGTGGCTTCTCTTGAACTACCAAACCCTTACGTTTCTTTTGGCGCTGATGTTTTGGCCCTTGCATTTGCTGAGAATGGTTATTGGCTTGGTGCTTCATACCGGAAAGTTGGTGTTCACCCAGATGAAACAAAAATGCAGCAAGAAGGATCAGATATTGAAAACAAAATTTTTATCTGGGACCTGCGTAAGCTGAAGGTAACTCACATGTTAAATGTTAGTGTGGGGTTGATTCATTCCTTAAAATTTGACTTGTCAAGTCAGTTCATTGCCGCTGTAGGCAGTAACTCTGTTGTGGTGGCTGGTTATGTCAAGCCAAAGAAGGCTTGGACAACCGACCCAAGTGTCGTCAGCGACTTCCCAAATCTTACTGATGGCGCATTGTTCCGTTATAATGATAACTACGCTGGCGTGGCTTGGGGAGAAAAGGCTAGCTCTCTTTATACTATCAATCCAAAGGGCTCTATTTCTACTTTTGCTCCTCAGAATTAAATATGTAATTAATCATTGTTTATATAATTTTTTTATTTAATGAAGTGGATAGAATAAATATATTTCAAAAAAAAAGTAAAAATAAACCTTACTTTTTTTCTTTTTTGTTTCTCATGAGACTTTCAACTTTCCACATGGACTGAAGATGAAGGCTTGCGAGGCTTTGCTGGTGCTGGTTTCACTGGCTTACGTGCAATTTTCTGGATAGGACTATTCGGCAAAAGGACTTCATTAGATGACAAAGGAAGTGCAACTGGCTGAGCAACTAGTGCGGTGTTACCGTTGGTTGCATTTTGCGCCATTCCCTTAGAAACACTTTGGGACGATTTACGAATCACAGGCTTTTGGCGAGCAACAGTTACACCACTTTGCATGGATGAGCCAACAGGCGAAAGAATTATAGGAGATCCTGGACGCGAATGACCGGGTTGCAATGCAGCAGGTGGGGGTGGTAAAGTCTTTCTAGTTTTAGAAATCAGCAAAACACCAGACTCATCGTTGGAGCTTGGAGTTAGAGCACGTGAAGGTGGTGCAGTTGGAATCTCGAACAAATCATCATCGTCTTCAGTAGCCTTATCCTGTTTTTCTATGACAAAATTTTTAGGCTTACGAACGAGTGGTAAAGTGTTGCTGGTTGCCGTTGTATGAGAAAGCCGCTTGGCAAAGTCTGGAGACAATGACCGCGAACGTTGACGTTGGTGTGCTTTACGGAATCGATCAGATTCTTCGCGTGGTGTGGAGGCACCAGAAACAGGGGTTGACTTAATATTCTTGGGGAGCTTTCTACCACGAGGTCCTCTTGCACGACCTTTTGTCATATGTTTAAGTTCCACCTTCTTGTTTTCATTCTCATCGCCACCTTTACCATTACTTGGACCATCAAAATCAAAAGTGTGAGACTTTTTGAGACCTGCCATGCGTTCAAATCGAGGAGAAAATGATTTAGTAGTATCATCGAGAGAAGTAAGGCCTGGCTGAGATGATGGCTGAGATCGGGAAGCAGGCTTGCCTCGGCTAAGAACTTCAGACAAGTCAGTTGCAAATGATTTAGCCGTCTTTTTGTTTAGAAAATTGGGAATATTGGGCGTGCCAGAATAAAAGCTCTCATCTGCTTCCTTTTCTTCATTTGAGGGCCCGTAGAGAAATTTTCGTGCTTCAGTAATAGGATCAGGGGTTTCAATGTGATTTCGGACAGCCAAAGAATCAGGAACGGGAGGCAATGGTCCTGTTGTCCTAGAAACAACATGTTTTCGAGGGGGGAGTCTCGGTGGTTCCACTTCTTCGTCGTCTTCAATGTTATTTTCGTGAAGAGCATACGAACGCTGTGATGGGCGTATAGGAAGTGGGGGTGCTTCTTCATCTTCATCATCTTCATTCTCCTCTTCAAAATAAGATGGTCCGCGAGAAACCAAGGATTTAGGAGGGACTGGTCGAGGCCCATTTCGGATTGATCGACTAGGCTTGAACTGCAGAGTGTTACTTCGTCGAAGGGATGCCTTAACTTGATCCAATTCACTTTCGCTTGAAGGTGATTTACTATTTTGAGAGGATTGAACACCAGATCGGAGTGCACGAAGTTTTTCCAATGCATCAGAAGGAAGAGTAGGCTTTTCCAATTTCGAAATGAGATCTGGCTTTTTTGGTACGGCGGGTCGAATAGTATTGTTACGAGAAAGCGAGCTGCTAAAATTTCCAGGCGGCTTAGGGGCGGGTTTTGAAAAACTAGTAGAATTGGATTCATCCATAGGTCTAGAAGGAGGTGGAGATGGCGGAGTGTCAAGTTTATCACAAGAATCACCTTCTAAAGTTTTTCTGGGCTTAGGTGGTTCAGGCTTTGCAGGATTTTTTTCTTCATACTCAACCCCTGCATCATCTTTTTCAATCCATAAAGGCTCAGAAAGAGCTACGTTATGAAGTGGAGGTCTTGAAGGGGGAGGGACTGGGAATGTAAGTTTCCCAGTAGAAATAGTGGACAATGAATTTCCGCGATTGTGACGGGTAGGAGAAGGTGCACGGATGACTGTTGGCATACGACTCATATTAGGGCTCGGATCAGGGGGTGAGGATGGTGAATTCTTCATCAAGGCACTACCCAACCAAGTCTGCTTAACTGGACTCCACCGACGAGAGTCAGTGGCTTTAAGAGATCCAGCAACAGAAGAACGGGGAGAGCCCCTTTCATCAGAATTTCTTGCGCTTCTTGGAGGAGAAGAAAGATGCTTTTTATTTTCTTCACTATCTTCACCATCTTCAAACTCTTCAAATTCTTTACTATCTTCACCTTGATTTACAGGCTGAAGATTAGGAGGACTTAAAGTTTTAAGGGAATGATAGCTTTCAATATTTGTTGCAGATTGAGTTCTCGCATGTCTTGTAGGAGAAGGTGATCTAGAACCAGTTAGATTGACCTTATTAGAAGAAGGATTAGCCAACATAATTCCATCAAAAATGTTACCACTAGCAGAGTCTGCTCGTGGTCTATTGGTAACTGTGCCCTCACGTTTTAACATAGCACTTTGTACAAACCCTCCTCTAGTTGGTGATTTTGGTCGAGGAACAACAATTGTAGAAGCTCTTGTAGCTAAAAAACTACCAGCAGGATTCAAAGAAGATGCAGATGGCCTGAGATCAACAGCACTTGGAGATAAATTCGGTCTGAGTGTTTGCCTAGAAGGAGAGTGAGTCGGTGTATGAACAGCAGAGTGACATGGTGAATGGGTTGGAGATCTAGTAGGTGATTGAGTTAGAGATCTGGTAGGTGATTGAGAGGGAGAACGGTTTGGGGAAGATTGTCCATGAAAAACATTAGTTGGCCGTAAAGATGGGAGCGTAATTGAATCAGAAGATAATTTAGATGTATGCAAAGGCTTAGGGTGAGAAACATTAGATGCCATGCCAGGTAATGGAACTCGACCATGAACAGTACCAGAAACTTTGTCATGAATATTATGAGAAGATGTAGTTTGTGCTTTTCTCAAGCCTGATGACAAACTTGTGGGTAGTGGAGAAATAATTTCAGGTTCTTTTTCTTCATTTTCTAACGATCGAGTAGAAGTTTCCTTTTCCGGTTTTTCTTCTGCTTTTTCTTCTTCTTTATCAACATCTTCTTCTGTGGCTTCAAAAAATCCATTCTTAGGATTTTCTTCTGTTGAATCATTTGAAGTGATACTTTTCTTTTGAGATGAAAGAGATCTTGGCTTAACTGGAGCAGTAGGTGGAACTTTCTTAGAAGACGAAGGGTTTCGTTGTTTTGGAAGGTTTAGTGGTGGCTCATTATCATTCTCATTTTCGACTGGGTTTTTTAAATTGACTTTTTTAAGAGACTTTGAAGAAAATACAGGCTCCTCATTAGATTCCACAGATCCATGAGATCCCTGTTTCAACAAGGGGTCAATTTTTTTAAGTCGTACAGATGAAAACTCTGCCTTGTCATTGTTGCCAGGTTTTTCAGCCAAAGAAGAGGATGAGATTGACTTTAAATGCGGAAATATATCCGAGGTATGAGAGATAGAATCAGATTGTTTTTGAAAAGATTGTGAAGACTTGGGTGCTAAAGCAACAGGCCTCTTGTCTAAATATGAACGTGAAAGAGGTTGGACATCTTTTACAGGTAAAGGCTCTGATACACATTTCTTTTCTGATGGGAATAACGGAAGAGTACCAGTGGGTCCAGCAATGGAAGCAATAGCCTTTTTTATTTCATCAGCTTTTGAAAGCTTTTCAGAAGCTGGTGGAAGAGAAACATCATCAAGTTCGTTCAGCACTGGCACAGTGCTTAGTTTAGTTGAAGAAGAAGACGCAATTTTTTCTGGGGAAAGAGATCTCGTGCGTTCAGCTCGAAGAGCCTGTCGTCGCTTTCTTCCTTCAAGGATATCTTGCTCAAGTCTACGTTGTCTAAGCTCATCTTCACGGTCTCTATAAATAAGAAATTAGCATTAATATTTTGGTTTACAAAGACTTCAAAAAGGGAAATTCTGGGGGGAAAAGCACTTACGTTTTTTCACCGAGCTGCTTTATACGCAGGAGGAAATCATTCACCTCAGAGTTTGTGGAATCATCATCTAAGGTCATGGTTTGAAATAGTCAAAAAAAAAAAATCTCACTCTTTTAATACCGAAAGAGTTTTTTTTTTCTTTCTAAATAAACGGTTTTATTAAAATGCTGAATTTCTTTTGTTTGTTTGTTTGTGTGTTTGTTTGTGTGTTTGTTTGTTTGTTTTTCTTAGAGTTGCGGTGTTTGCAACTGTTTTAAATTTAGGAACAGCATGGAAAAAACTCAAGTAGTTTTGGACGACGACGACAACGACAACGACAGCAGCCGCCGATGGTGGCTTTTATTTGTTTATTTGTTTATTTTTTTTTTAATTATGTTTGTTTACTTATATAATGTTCTCAAATATATTTAAAAGGTCTCTTTTTTACTCATACATAATGACCCGGATTATTTTTCAATGGTACCGGATCCGAAAATATACGTGACAATAAAACATTGGTCATCAGTTGCCTAGTATTATTAGTTAAACTTTGACTAATATGATTACATAATTAAATAATTATATGATATTAATATTAATATTAATATTAATAGAATGTAGCATACCTATATTTTTTTTTTTTTTTTTTCTTTTTTTTTTTACCACCCACATTTTTATTCATCCTCAGAGTTTTTCATATAAAAACATCAAACAACTATAAATATAAGCTTATATTTAAATAGTACATCATTAAAATCTAACTAAATAAATGGGTGTCCCTATTTGGAGACCATCGGTTCCAGAGCCTGCAGATTTATCTCAACGTGCCCCAAAGCGTTACCGACTTTCTGATACGACTAGTCATTTTGTTAATCCGCGATCTCGTTCTCGAATTAGACCTAGACGAACATATGATCCTAGTGCGTTTTTAGACGCTTCTTCTTTTTTTAATGAGACCAATTCTCCAGTATCTCTTTATCCTGAAGGTAATAATGGTTCTTCTTTTAGAGGGTCTCTTTTTCAACGCAGACGATCACTCTCACTAAATTCTACTCAGAATACAAATAACCCAGACAACCAAGAATTATCTAATTTGCGAGAACCACCTCAAAATTTATTTGAAGACACCTTATCTTTACAAGAAAATAATACAAGTACCTCTAATTTAGCTACTTCAAATCGCCATAGAAGTTTACTTAGACGCAGAAACACTATCTATTATTCACAAAGATTACGCAACAGAGACTTAGCAAGAGCTCAAGCCTTAGATCAAGAAGATGATTCTATAAATTTTGCAACTAGCAATGTAACCTCAGGGGCTTTCAATCCCTTTTCAGATGAACTTGAATTTCAGCCGCATAATTTTATGGAAGGTCCTCGCAGAGATATATTCCCAAGCTCCATACTTATTCATGATCTAAGCAATAATAACCAACCTGAAAACATTGGAATGGGAGTTTCTCAGGATGAAATTAGTGTTAACAGCAGTGATAGCGAAGTTAACAACGACAACGATAATGATAATGACAATGACAATGACAATGACAACGACAACGACAATGATAATGATAATAATTCATCTCCCCCAACTTCAGAAGATCTCTTCAGATCTTTTAACTTGATTAGAAGGGTTTTGAATTATTCTGACCGGAATTTAAATGAACAACCAAATGAAAGACAGAGTGAGAACTTATCAGATATTGAAAGGCGAAGGAATGGGGCAAGAAGGTTATTGGAATATTTTCGTGATCATGGATACTTGTCAAATCGTAATTCTTTTACCAGCGATGTGACTGATAACAATGATTTAGCTGATGGAACTTCAACACAACTTCCAGTTACTGCTGATAATATACGCGCACATATGGATGAAGTCACTGGTTATAGAAGGTTGATTTCTTCAGTACAAGCTAATTCAAGATTACGTCTTTTTGGAAGAGATCAAAATAATAGGACTTCAGCTCCTGATTCTAATATCGACAACGTTACTCATCTCAGTGAAGCAGCAGCTAGACTAAGACGCACTCGCACACGCCGAAGTTCAGATTTGGCAAATCAAATTTTTCGAGAAAACCAACCTTCTCAAGAAAATGATCTTACTCAAGAGAATGGTTCCACTTTGAATCAAACTGAAAATATTTCTGAAGGATCTTCTATGAGAACTTTGATCCTTAGACCATTTAACCCTAACAGTATTTTTATATTTTCAAGAATAGAACAACCTCAATTTTCAAACAATGACAATTCAATAAATTCACTCATCCCCCGATTAATCAATGATCTTATTCATGCTCAGGAATATCTTCCACACGATCCATCATGCACTTCCATCAATAATTGTGATAGCACACAGGCTGGCCCTGAATCATTATCGATCTTTGATGACCCTGATTTATCTTCAAATACCGTTACTTTGACTTCTTCATCAACGATCCCCTCATCAGTTCCTGACTCTCCAAGATCTACCACTTCAAATGTTTCGTCAATTTCAGTATCGTCTTCTGCATCATCTCTTTTTTCAAATGGATCTTTGTCATCCATGAGACCATTTATTTCACTGCCTCCTTCTACTCGTAGAGTACAATTTTTAGAGCCTGAATATGGAAGAGCTAGACGCAGAAGAATACGACTTGAGCTTGAAAGTGATTTTCCAGATCTTAGAACTGCTAGGTCTCCGGGGAACAGTGTTTCAATTGAAAACATAACTGATCCTTCTTTGGTTACAAACCAACGAATTACAAGATATGTTGAACAAACTCGCCAACAACTTCAGACCCCTGAATTCGCGGAACCCAATACCAATCAGCCACAAGACTTACAACCTGAAAACGTGGATTGAACAAATTTTTGGGCAAATAATAAAAAATTAAAGTCAATTTGTTATTTAATCTAAACTTAATACATTTTTTTTTAGAAATTAGTTTACTTTCTTACAGCTCCATTATTCTCAATCAGCTTTTGGATAAAAATCATGATTTCATTTTTGCTTAAATCTAAACCAGGATTGTTTAGTTTTTGCTTGACAAGATCATTAAATAGGTGACGTAATAGCTTGACTAAAATGCCAATTCGCGGCCAGCACCTTAATCCGAGCCAAGAAACCCCGTTTTCTTCATCATTTTGAATGCTGTCTGATAGTTTACTCCCACCAGTACTAACAATGACACCATTACCAAAGGTATCCACTTTGACATTTTCTGAAAAAAACAATAAGCCATAAGTACTTAGTGGAGTTATGGAATCAATAAATAGTTTTGATGTGTGCATTTTTCGAGCAAAACTAATAAATGCACCATCTCCATAACCAATTCCATGACCATTAACAGTTAATGTGTCATCCAAAAATTTCGTTGTTTCAAAAATGCAAGAAACTGGATGAATAAACAATCTTTCTGTCAAATATTGCGGCTGACTAGTGTTATTGTGATTTTTAGTATTGGACTTTTCTGCAGCAAACTCTTCATCAACAATGTTTGGCCCAAAAAACCGAATATCTTTTGCTTCTGTGTTATCCATTTCGATTGCACCTGCACCACCAACTGTTTTGAAAACTTTTTCTGGGAGAGTAACATTGGCAAGATGTGTAGGACCCATTGATGCTCCAATTACAGCACGTGTAAGTCCTGTTTGCTGAAGTGTTCTGAGATCATCATTAATTGTATAATATTCCGGAATTTTCTGAAGAGAACCAGCAGGAATAAAACCAATTTCTTGCAGACTTGAAATGAATTGCTTTTTGGCTGAAAAAATGTCCTGTAAACCTTGATACGAAAGAAAATTTTCTTTGCACCATTTTCGGAGCTGAGAAGGACTGACGTGTGGATCTTGTCGCATTTGTTCCCAATCATAATATGCTTTTGCCTGCGTAAGTAAATCTCCAACACCTCCAGTTTTGCGAGTAGCACCGGGCCCAGAGAATTTGACAATAACGTTCCGTAGTTCGTCACGTTTTTCCACATTGACAGAAATGAATGGTGAACGCAAAGACATAATGGATGCTACAATCAAACCGGTATTAATGCACCCAAACATGGCTGATAATACCAGAAGCTTGGCACATTTCAAATCAGCTGGAATCATAGACATATGATTCCCTAATGGTGTAAGTGACTCTTCACCAGAATTTTTATTAATAATCTCCAGAGCACCAAGTTGAATTAAAGTATTTCTGGCACGATCAATAGCCACAAAATGAGGAGGATCAAGCGCTTCATTAAGAAATTTAGATGTATGGTTTACACCCATAGCTTTTACATTGAGGTATAGTTGTTCCAACGGTACACGCAAAATTTCAGGAAGGGGTCTATCAGGCATGTCTCGCTCTTCAACTGATTTTGTAAAAAGTTTATAGCAATCACCCTGTCGAACACGACCTGCACGACCACGTCGTTGTGTGGCTGCGGCCTTGGAAGTCCAAGAATCAACAAGTCTCATAACGTTACTGACAACATCATACTTTGTTTCTTTCACACGGCCAGTATCAATAACAGCAACAATATCTGGTATAGTAATTGAGGTTTCAGCTACATTAGTACTGACAACCACTTTACGAAAGCCCTTTGGTGGCTTGGGAAACACTTTTCGTTGTTCAGCAGGGGCGAGAGAAGCATGGAGTGGTAAAGCATAAAATCTGGAAGAAGAAGAAGATATAGTGTTAATACATCTTGTAATTTCTGCTGTACCTGGCATGAAAACTAGAATGGAGCCATCCTTCTCTCCAAGCTGACGATCGATATAGGATACAAGAGTAGCTATGAGATCATACTGAATTCCTTGCTTAGCCATAGCAATGATCTTTTGGCTGACAGTGGTACTGGTAACTATTCCACTGTTATCATCATCATCATAATCGTCATAATATTCATCATTTTGGAATTTTTTCTTACCTGACTTGAAAATAAGCCCAGGTGGAGTAAAGTCTGTAATTTCTAAAATCTTGTCTAGATAATAGTCTTGAACAGGAAAAGTTCTGCCTTCAATATGAGTATAACCAACTTTATTCTTTCCTCCAAAATAGTTGATGAAAAGTTGGGGATCAACTGTGGCACTCATAAGAATGATTTTTAAATCTTTTCGAGCCGATATTATACGCTTCAATAAGATCAGCAAAAAATCACTATCTAAAGAGCGTTCATGCACCTCGTCGACGATAATATGACTGATATTCTGCAAAGGCTGCAAAGAACTACCTGAAGATTGGATCATTCGTAACAAAACACCAGTTGTGACAAATCGAAGAAGAGTTTTAGAGCTAGTTTTAGATTCACCTCGAATAACATAACCAACCTGTTCTCCAACCGGGCTATCGCGCTCATCTGCAACACGCTGAGCAAGCCCCATGGCAGAAATACGACGTGGTTGAGTACAAATAATATTTAAAGGACTTTTTAAGGTTGATTCCTTGATTTTTTCAGCAACAGCATCTAAAATAAACTGAGCCACCTGTGTTGATTTACCAGAGCCAGTTTCACCAGTAATCAAAACAACTTGGTGTTTATTAATGATATTAATAATCTCCTCCTTTTTTTTCCAAGCAGGAAGCTGTTCCCGAGATTTTATCATTTCATTTAAATTAGGAAATTTAGATAAAGAATGAAGTTTTTCTGAATGTTGTTGAAGAGTACTGCTAATAACATCAAGAGAAGCTTTATCAGGTGTCAACTCAGTGCTTCCCTTATGTTTTTTAAGATTTTTAGATTTTTCAAGTTTAATTTCATTCTCTTGGACACCAGTAATACCTTGTGCTAGTTGAACAAGTTTACTGGGATTTAGTAATATTTCCGCAAAATTATCTTTGAACCATTCTACAATAGAAAGAACCATAAATTCTCCTAAAGTATTTTTATATGCGTAATCTCCGGTTCTTTTAATTAAATCCAAAAGATTAAATTTTCGAAGAAAGTTGTTTGCCTCATCAAATGAAGGGATGACATTAATTGTAATTCCAGGTATCTCATTAGGATATAGACTTGGCATCCATAATGTCAATTCAACTTTATAATTCACCATGGTATTGTCTGATTTCTTTTTTCTTTTGTTTTTCATCTCTGGCAAAAGATCGTCAAAATATTCAGGTTTAAATTTGACTGGTATCTCGAATTTAAATGTACAAGAAAGTTGCTCAGTATTCTCCACAAATTCTTCCTCAGTGTATATAGACGCTAAACTGAACATTTCCTCTTTCCAAGTTTCAATTGTATCTGCTTCATCAATCTTAACGATACTATTCATATCAGATTCAGGAAGTGCTAACTTTTTAGTCAATTGTACAATTGCTTTTCGTTTGTCGCCTTGAACCTTTTGGAGTTCTTCAATTATAAGATCTTCTGAATAACCGCCGTGTGCCCGAATATCTCTTAATGAGTATTGAAACTTCAGGTCTGTGTTAACAATTGTTGTCGTTGATCTTTTGTCCATGTTTTCTGTAGTTGAAGCAAACATAGGAGGAAGATCATCTTCTGGAACATGTATTAAAAGCCATTCAATTGCTTCCGCAAGGGAAGTGCAATGTTCTAATGCTTCTTCAGCCTGGTATTGAGGAAATCCAATTTGAACAAGAGCAGACGTAACAGCTTTATAAACAGCAGAATTATTTGGGTTGTCCCAATATGTTTTATTGTCAATGCTTACAGACGATGAAGCAAAACCGTGAAATTTTTTAATGATATACTCTGCCTGAACTCTTGCTTCCTTAGACATGTATAACCATTTATCAAATCGCGGACGTTTTTTCTTTGGCTCCATAGAAGTCATAGAGGACTCATGTGAAGTATCAACAGATTCAGAGGTATCTTGAATCGATTTAATTTTATTTATATCGGGAGTGCTGGTCCCAGATCCACTAGGTGAATTGTTACTAGACTGTTCAGTGGATAGCGCTGTTTTAACTGAATTCATGATTTTTTTCATTTCCATTTTCTTCTTATGCTCATCACTTGACTGGTGTTGTTTTAACTTTTCAATATTAGCTTTACGTTCTCGATCAGCCAAAAATGGGTCTTGAGCATATAGATACGTTTTGTCCTCTAATATGCCTTTGGCATTTATCTGTTGAGATTTATCCCCTGACTTGTTACTTCCTGTTGACTTAGTCAAAGCTGCAGAAGAAGCCAAATGCTCTTTTTTTAAATCATCTAGCTTGACCCAAATATCCCTATGATCTGGTGGAAGCATAGGTTTTAAATTACGGTGTGAAGCAATACGGTGGAGTGCATAGGTTGATGCAAGATGTCTTGCCTCTAAAGAAGTAGCTTGTGGTGTAATAATATCATTTGGAGGAACAAATCTGAGAGTTTCAATCAATCCAGTTTTAGGGTTTTTACAAGCTAAGATGGCAATTCCAGTGAACCCTTTACTATCCGATCTCTAAAATGAAAAGTCAATATAAAAGAAAAAAATTATTTACATTTAAACCTACCATATCAAATTGAACTTTTTCCCATTTTTGTTTTTGGCAGTGCTCAAATAAAAGAGTAGCGGGGAGTTTTCCAGTCCAAGAAACAGAATTTGTAACTGCTCTTCGTGCCTCCGGGTTCATCGGAGGACGTTGTGGTCTTCCCCCTTTACCTTTGGAACCTGTAGCAGGGGCATTATCTGATGGAGAATTTTGGGATTTCTGCTTAGAATCTTGAGAATCCTTACCAGATCCACCCTTTTTAGAAGAACCAGATGATGATGAAAATTTAGGTTTTTTATCTTTCATATTCTAATGTTGGGGGATTCCAACTAAAAACTTTTAATTTTTTCTTTTTCTTTTTCTTTCGGGAAAAGATCACGATTTAGACAGGTACACAAAAAAAAGTTTAGGTTTATTTTGTGGTACTGTATAATTCAGAACGGATTATCCCCTAACCCATATATCTTGTTTAAAAACACATCACCTTAAATAATTTCATTTACTGTTATGACCAAATCCATAAATTAAATTCAACATTTCAAAGGAATATCTTGAGTCTTTTTTTAAAAAAAAAATCAATAACAAATCATTAATAAAAAGAAAGGAATATATATTTTTTAATATTAATATATATTGATAACGTCTTTGAAAATTTTGTCAGATAAATTTTTTAAAATGAATTTGTTTTGATTTCTATTTCAACTTGCAAAAATTTACATATATATTAATTAATTATTGGCTAGAAAAAATACACAAGCTTTTCGCGATGACATTATCATCACTTCAAAATAATTAGTTAGATATGGTAAGCTCTTCGGATATTTTGAACGAAAAAAGCAACCCAAGAGCTTCTGGACGACGAAGTCGTGCAAAATGCGATGGGAAAAAATTACCTTTCGAAAAAGAGAAAAAAATTGCTAAGATTGTAGAAGGAATGCGCGAAATTGGGCACAAGCCTACAAATGATTGCATTCGGGGGTTTGCCCATTCAGAAATTAGCCAGGTGGAGAAATCCGATATTTATGTTTCTAAAAAATGGTACGATTCACTTCGTGAGCATTATCCAGAAATTGACAGGGATTCGAACCTATTTTGTGATTATCGCAGAGCGCTTAATCGAAGAAATTGTATTAAAGCAGCTGAATTGTTTTTTAATGTTTTGCAAACTGAATTAATATCTTCCATACCTCCAGAACGAAGATATAGCATGAACGCATTAGGCTGGTTTTTAGTTGATCGACCCAATGAAAAAAATGGAGAGTCACGTATAGCATTAAACAGGTTAGAAGTTAGTCGCCTTATTCAAGAAAAACGAAATAACAAATTTGGAAATTGGGTTACATGTATCGAATGTATATCAGCTACTGGCGAGAGTCTTCCCTCTACTGCAATATTTCCAAATGAAAATATCAGAAAAAAATATGACAAAAAAATTTTGGAAAAATCTAAAAAATGGCGAACAATGAGTTTGGAAACCGAAATGAAATACTCCGAATTTGAATATGGAGATGATAAAAATGTGATTGAGTGTGACATTTTCCGGAAATGGGCTCGAGATGTATTTTTTCCTGAAACGGAACCAAAAAGTATACTTGAACCACGATTACTTTTACTTGACGCTGAAAGGTCAGATGAAAAAAAGCTCATAGTTGATTGTTTGAAAAATAATGTTATTGTTATTTATTTACCCCCATGGGACAAAGGTTTAAATTTCAATCAAGATTATTTAAATACTCCCATTAATGTGGCTTTTTTTGATGCATTAAGAAGTCAGTATTTAGATTCGTTGGAAAGTATCGACACCAACACTTCTAAAATATACATCTCCCCTAAAATGATTGATTACAACTCTTTTTTTCTTTGGTATCAAAAAGTCAAGAAGAATTTTACGGGAAATGAAAATTATCGAAGCATAATTATTTTTGCCTTTAAATTGACTGGGTTATGGCCTTTGAATTTAGAATATTCTAGTAGGTCTTTGAAGTTTACAAATGCCAATAATTCACGAGAAAACAGTAATAACCCGTATTCCCCTGAAAGTGGTTCTGCCTCTATGGATAGTGTACCTTCATTATTATGGGATTTAGACTGGGAAAAGAAAGATGTAAATCAATCTCTTAAAATCATTGATGAAATTTCTTTATTAATTCGAAGCTACACAAAAGATGATCAAAAAAAATCTGATATATCCCAAAATTTTGCGGAAATTTCAGCTTATTTGAAAAGTTTGAGTAAATAAAATTAACATTTATTACAGTTGGGAGAATGTTTCCTTATGAGGAGGAGACATGATCATCTATGGTCAGCTGAAAACAAAATATATAAGCTTTGACCTGAACCACAAAATAAGTGTGAATTCATATATAGAGTTTAATGATCATTCATGAATCACATATGTGAATGCTATGCATAGCATTTATTATGTGATTATTATGTGATCCAATAAATTCATGTTTATAATCTAAAGCAAAATTTTTAATTTTAAATAGATACTTATTTATTCTTTAATAAAGGATTTTTAAGAGGGATTAAACCAATTTTAAACAAACTTTTGGTGGCAACCACACAATGGTGTAAAAGATTTAGTAGATAAAAGAGAGAGTAGGTAAGAGTACTTATGTAATCAATATATTTACCTGTATGCGACAGAACAGCTGCTTTTTTTTTTTATTATAAAAATCTTTGTTTTTTCTTCTTCATTCCTTTCTTTTCCTTTTTTGCCATATACTTTTTTTTTTTTAGACTCAACATTTTAGACTATATGTTGTATTTCAAACCATCTATAACTTTTAAATGTTTGCTTCATCTTTTTGTGATATAAAATATTTTTATTTGTTTAAACTGTTAAAAAAAGATATTCTAATAACACATGACAAACACAACAGATACTAAACTTCAAGATGCTATAAAATTTTTAAACAGTGGTTTCAGTGTTGAAGACACTTGCAGTTTTTACGGTCTTCGACCTAGTGATCTCTCTGAGGTCACAAATACAGGATTCACAGCAAATAAATCACGGGTTATTAATACTGATCATCGATATCGAGTACATAAAACTGTGAATAATAGCAAAAAATATGCAAAAATTTTACCTGACACTAGTAAAAAGAGACCCACTTATCCCATGGGTAAATATTCTTTAAATACTACGAAAACATTGAAAACATCGAATGTTTCTACGACACCATCTCAAATGAGTTGTCAGCAAACTAAAGAATATAAAGGTCATCACTTGACAGAAAAACAAATGAGTCATGTTGCAGAAGTTGTTCGAGATTTAAAAAACATGGGTCATATGCCAACATTACCCGTAATTACACATTACGCTAATAAGCTACTGGCTTGGGAGGCAAAACGTAATAAAAGTAATATAATTTTGACTGTCGATTTGACATGGACCCAAAGGGTATTTATTAAAAAATACCCAGATTTACGGCCATTTAATGCGATAGTTTCGTCATATCGCGAAACTTCCAAACCTGGATCTGACGGAGCTAAGCTTCTTTATAATATATTGAACTCAAAATATGCAAAAAAAATCCCTTTGGAATACTGGTTTAATGTGGATGTTTGTGCATGGGTAAATACAAAATCAACTAGATCATCAATAGAATCGGAAAGTTTTATTTCTCTAGGAAGAAGAAAAATTGAAAAAGATGTTACAGATCAAATTTTTTCTCAAAAAACAGAATCCGTTGTTGCATTTGAATGCATATCCGCGACGGGAAAACAATTTGAATCTTTTTATGTTTTTTCAAACGAATCGTTGCGTGAAAATTCTAAATTAATATTTGAAGAAAAAAATATAACGAAATCATCCTCAAACCTTGATAACAAGCAATGGGAAAAGAAAACTGCATTTTGTTTAACGCCATGGAATGATTCTAAATCAAATGTTTTTAATAAGTGGCTTTTAAAATGCTTTTTGAAAGACAAACATGCCCGCATTGATAAAGACAAAGATCCTCTCCAGTTGCGAATAATTTTACTGAGTAATTCAAGGTGCTCTATTGATGTTGCTTTTGTAAAAGAATGTTTGATGCATAATATTGCAGTTTTTTATCTTCCAAACAATTCTTTTATGTCTCTGTCTTTATTAAAGAATATTAAAGACTCAAATTACATGGAACTTCCAATTTACAAGTACTTTTATTTTAATTTCTTAAATGTCGCCTGTCACAATGGCTCAAGAATTAAAAGACAAACATCTTTGGTACCCTATACTAAATTAAAATTTTCGAATGATTTTATTACTTGGTATGAAATTATACGAAAAAGGTTGATGTCTGAACAAAATAATCGTTCTTTAAAAGACCTTATCAAGTATGCTTGGGCAGTTACTGGTTTGGTACCATTAGTAGGAAATTCTGATAGTCTTTTTTCCGAAGTTGAAGGATACCTCGATGTACTAAACATGGAAGAAATAACTATTGAAAATGTTACGCCTGAAGATTCTCATTTTGACCCAGATGAAACATTTGAAAAAGACGATCATGAGGATAGCTATGAAGACGATGAAGAGGAAGAGTACCAAGAGGATGAAGACAAAACTGAAGATGAAGAAGAGAATTCCAGGGTAGATGTGGAGGAAATTCAGGATTATGCTGATGTTAAATTTGTTGAAAATAGTGGAAATAAACTATTTTCAGCTAACGAGAGTATTAGTAATATGGATAGTGATGATGATTTAATTATTATTGATTCAGGACCCTCTGGTGTTGTTTCTACCAAAAATTCCAGCGGCTTTGTATCTCGTAATAATTCATCAATGGCTAATACCGATGAGTTTTTGGATAATTTGATATCTAATGTCATGCAGCAATTTGAAAATTCTGATTCAATGCCACAATCATCTGTTGAAATAATAAATTCCTATGGAGCTGATGAGGAGTTAACTGTTCAAAAAAATACCAAGGAACTAAACATGACAAAATTTAAGCAAAATGCACTGGAAATTGTTCCAATTGAGCTACAGGCTGCGTATGGACGCTGGTTTGATTCGCTGGACGATCACCTTAAAACACTGCGAGCCCGCAAAAAATCACAAAGTTCTATAGAGTTTGATGGGTCTAAAAAAGTGGTTGAAACGAGTACAATGACTGAAAATTGTAGCAAAAATAGCTTTATTTTATCTAAAGGGGAAAATGTTCCTAAAGTTTCTTTATCGAAAATACCTTTTGAGATAAGTAATAATTTTAGTAACAACGATAACAATAACGCCGACGATGACGATGACGATGACGACGACTTGATTGTGCTAAAGACAGTTCCTGTTGGTCACTAGTTTTATGTGACATTTATGATTTACGATTAATGATATTTCAGTATATATTTACGAATTACTAATGATTATTTAATTATTTTATGAATTTTTTATTTGGTGTTAAACTATTATTTGATAAAAACTAACGAAGGAAAAAAAGCAAAATACAATACATAAAAAAACATTTGTCACAAAAAAATTAATCAATTGTGTTTAAAAAAGTGCGCTGAGAATGATGTTTGAAATGTTTAAGTTTTTTTTAAGTAAATGTGAGGTTTTTTTTTAATTTTTTTAATTTTTTCTAAAATCCCATCTCATTTGTATAATTTTTAGGGAATTGCATTTCAGCGTTCCCAATCATACCCTTGATCCAAGATTTGTCACCATTTGCAACTACTGAAGTATTAATTGCAGGAGTAGAAGCCGCGCTTGGAGCAACGGGAAGCTGTTTTTGCTTAAACACGCTAGTGTCATTCTTAAGTAGTACAGGAGGCGGGTGTTGAGGCTGCGAAGAACGTGATTCGGGAATTGTACTCAGACCTAAACCAGGCGCGTTCTGCCTCAGAAAATCCAGTGTTGACATAGGTTGTGGCTGGTTTTTATCTGCAATTTGTTTTTGAGATTTTTTAGAAACCACTAACGAGTTGTCAACCTCATCCTTGGGAATAACAGGTGTTGCACCAGCGTTATAAGATGATCTAAGCCAAGGCTGGAAGATGGAAGCAACACCAAATGATGGTGTGGAAACGGAGCTGGGGATGGTCGTCACAGAGGGAACAACAATCTGCGAGGCCAAATCGGGGGTTGAGACCGAATGTGGAGCAACAGGCTTTTTTGTAAGGTCGTCGTTAGTAACGGTAGCGGTAACAGCCCGTTGCGGCTGTTTAGGTTCAGTGGATGGTTGCGGCTTCTTTTTGAGTCCGGTTTCTGTATGCAAAGAAGCATGCGAGTGCGTTGGTGACGAGGGCATATGTATCGAGTAACTCGGATGTGTAGCCGACTGGTGGTTAACCTCAGACACAGTATTTGCGCGATCGGCCCACTCCTGCATATCTACATATTGGCCATTTTCAATTTTCATCATCATGCGACCATTAACCATCTTAACTTGGACCATTTGCTCTGATGAAACAGCAGCTTCTGCAATAGGTGATTGGTGCTTAATGTTTGCATTTGGAGGAGGAGGATGCAGAGAAGACATGGATGTTGAATGAGTAATGGTGGATGATGAGGAAGAAGAGGTGGGGTTGGAACTAGAGTTGGAGTTAGAAGAGAGCTCGGGACCGTATGAGCTTTGTGTAGGAGATGTAAAGTAAGAGGTTGTCGAAGACTCAGGTGAAAATATGTTATCCGAAGTTGTAGAGGAAGTTGGTGTTTTTAGTGGGTCATGATCAGAAGTGGTTGATGTAGATGGGGTTCCTGGAGGAGAACTGAATTGTTGTTGATGCTGTTTAAAATATTCTTCTCGTCTCCGTGCAAGTTCAAAAGCTTGAAGCATATTGGGGAGCTCTTCAGATAAACTGGAGACAACCGATGAGCTTGAGCCTGAGGTTTTGCGACGAGAAGTCTTTTTAGCACGTGTTGTGCTGCCTGAGAGGAAGCTTGAAGATGTTGATGTAGGAATGGAGGATCCAAAAAAGGAATTAAGTGTGCTGCGGGAAGAATCAGAAAGAGGAGGAGTGTCCATTTTCTTTGAAGCAGTCGGATCAGGAATATTATTATTATTTTTTTGCTGCTTGTAGTTGTTGTCAAAATGTGGTTCCGGGTGGATGTCAGTGGGATTCTTAGCACTAGGTTGTTTAGTGGTGTTAGAATTATTGTTATTATTATTAATATCGTTGGCTGCAAGGTTTTCAGGAATGGTCATTTTGGGGATGTTTAAAGACGGATCGGAAGATGGAGTAGGGGATAATGGAGTTTGCGGTTCGCTATTAGAAAGAGGAGGCTGTCCAGTCTGGTTACTTTGCTGTTCCAAGGATTTTAAGTTTTTGGAAGTGTTTGAATCTGCAAATTTGTAAAACATTGAGCGCAAGTCACGAACAATTTGAAAGAGCTCTTGCTGAACAGATTCAAAAGGGGTAGATTCAAGTTCTGAAAGAAGAGACGTGACGAACCGGCGGTACGCCTCTACCAGAGACTCGTTTCTCGCACGCTCACGACGATGATAGGGATCATCATACAGAGGGTCCTCATCTGCACCGGGAATTTTTGTAAATAATGAGCACATTTCATGGTGAATTTTGATCAAAGTTGCGCGAGAAAGTGCAAGTTGAAGAGTAAACTCAAGTGTAGAGTAATTGTTAAGGATACGAAATACAAGAACTGTAAGAATTGTTGCGTCATCTGAGGAATATGTAGAAAACCCCATGATTGTTTTTTTTAGCTTGGGGATATTCCAAGAATATATTTCAGCAAGAAGATGTTCTGAGCGAGCACCAACGACGATTGCAACGTCAAGGTCAAACTGGCGCACGTTTTTTTGAAACTCATAATTGCTGAGCATGTTGAAAGACCAAGAGTCAGTCTCCTCAAGATATTTTTCAAGGGTAGAAAGAATGCGGTATGACATGAGAATGTCGTGCGCACGGGGCGAGTTGGAAAGACCAAGTGCAGATATCAGCGCCTTCATGTCCTTGTAGGAAAGTCGATCTTGATACAAAGCCATGAAAACATGGTCATTATTTTTCCGAGCCTCTGCGAGTGCCTGGCGCTTGCGGCCAGCCGAAGAAGACTTCAAGAGAGAAAGCGAAAAGTCTGTGGAGGCATGCTGCGGCATGATGTAAGGGTTCCTCGAGAAGAAAATGAGAGAATGGGAGAAATTGACTGATTTATGGACTGGGTATATGAGCGATTTTCTTTTGTGAAGTGACTATTGGGGGGGATCCCCAGTTTTTATATGATTTTATTTTATAAAAAAAAGGCAATGGTGTGGTTTATGGAAGGAGGGATGGTGGTGATGGAGAAAGAAGATGACCAAAATTTTGACAAGCTGCCGTTATCAGCCCACACAATCATGCAGTTCTTATATTTACTTTGATCGTTCCAATAATTACCCACAGCATGAATTCCCCAGAGGTTTTTTTTTTTTTTTTTTTTCGGTTACCCCTTTAAGACTGAAGCTAAGCTAGAATCCTCTACTTCGGGCATCAATTTTAAGTGAAACAAACCATGTCGGGCACCGTATCTGTTGCGCTTCGTGCATCAATTCGCTACGTTGATATTGGAATTAATCTATCAGATCTCCAGTACTCTGGTGTATACCATGGAAGAAAGGTACACGACGATGATCGTTTACATGTCCTGGATCGAGCGCTCCAGACCAATGTTACGAAAATGCTCGTCACGTCTTCATCATTGCATGAAGCAGCAGATGTGTTAAATTTATGCACTCGGTTAGCAAAAGAGTCGCCGTCATACCACAATTTACTATACTCTACAGTTGGCGTGCACCCGTGCCAGGCGCTAGATCTGACAGAAAGCCAGAGTCGACACAATATGTCGAGCGCAGAGTACATTGCTCAGATGGATGAGCTGATCCACAAGGGAATTAGTCTTGGTATTGTTAAGGCTTTTGGAGAAATTGGACTGGATTACGACCGACTACATTTCGCAGACAAGGAAGCTCAGATTTTGGCATTTAAGATGCAGTTGGATTTAGCAGCCAAGCACAACTTGCCATTGTTTCTGCACTCGCGCGCGGCCGCGCACGACTTTAAGACAATTCTTGAGCCGTACCTTGCAAAAATTACACGCGGCGGAGTTGTACATTCTTTTACAGGAACTGTGGAAGAGATGCAGGAGTTGCTGGATCTTGGACTTTATATTGGTATTAATGGATGCTCGCTGAAAACTGAAGAGAACTTGGCCGTTGTTCGTGCGTTGCCATTGTCACGATTAATGCTGGAAACAGATGGTCCCTGGTGTGAAATTAGACCATCGCATGCATCTTTTAAACTTCATCTTGCTGCCCTTGAATCACGGCCTCAAAAGCCTAGCTCGCTGCTTCCATATCCTTTAGTTAAGAAGGAAAAGTTTACACCAGGATCCATGATTTCTGGCCGTTGCGAGCCGTGTGCTATTGGATTAGTCGCTCAAGTAGTTGCATCAGTAAAGGAACTATCGTTGGAAGAAGTTGCGCTAGCAGCTTATCAAAATAGTGTTGACTTGTTTGGACTAGAAGAACCTCAGAATATAGACTAAAATCATTAATATTATTACTATCACTATTCAACTCATACACTTAAAAAAAATACAAGTGGACATCATCACCACTTTTTGTTCATAAAAAAAATAAGTTTTCATAAAAAAATTCAAAAAAAAGAAGAGATAAAGAGAAATAGGATGGGAATAAGCACTCTTATCTTCTTTCTTTCATGAAGAAAAATCTAAAAATATCTCTGGTCTCATCTAACTTGAGGATTTAGATTCTATCTTTGCATCCTTCTCTTGAGTTTTTGGCTCTTCATCATCCTTTTTTGCGTTTTTGCTCTCGTCTTCTTCGTCTATTTCAGATATCCGCTTGTCACCATGCTCTTCATCTTCGTTTTCATCTTCATCTTCATCATTTCGGTATCGTTGAAGAGCAGACAAGACACTGCTGCTAGACTTGATTAGTATCGAACCGTCGGCAGTTGTGGTAAATGTAGCGCCATCGCCCAAGAATTGCTGAAGAGTGATTCCGCCACCAACGGTACGTTGAAACAAATCGTCATACAAATCGCTTTCACCTGGAGCAGGGGCTGCACCAGTAGCACCACCAGTGACAGCACTACTAGTACCGTGTTCTTCATCAGCAATGGGCTCAACACTAGCAACTGGAGCTACTGGACCATCACCTTTAGCAACACGTTCGGAAATAGTATTGTACCACTCCTCCTTGGTCTTGCCATTCAAAATTCCGACAATCATCATAGTCATATTATCACAGCCAATGCCACTCATATCACTAGCTGGGGCCAGGCAATGGTTCATAATGTTTTCGCAAATGTAGCTGAGCTCTTGCTTCTCGGCAATGCCGCGACGGACAAACTCAACAACACTCTGTGAATTCATGCAGTCCCAGATACCATCGCATGCCAGCACCAAAAACTCGTCATCAGGTGATATGTCGTGTTCCATCACATCGGGGAAAGCTGTAACAATTTGCTCCTCAGGGGGTCTATTGACAACCTTTTTAAAGTCGAAATCGCCAATAGCGCGAGAAAGAGCGAGATTACCGTTGACACGATCGCTATCAACAAATCCACCAGCGGAAATAATTCTAGCACGTTCACCTTCATTATCGGGCTTGTGGTCAAACGACATTGCCTTTGCGGTGCCCTTGACACCAAGGACAGTTCGCGAGTCGCCAGCGTTTGCGACAAAAATCTTCTTGTTTGTAAAGAGAGCAGTGGTAGCGGTGCATCCTGACATGTCATTTCTAAAGTGCGGCGACATAACAAGACACCGGTCAGTGGCAAGGAAGCCATCTTTAAGAGCAGAGTCAAAGTCACCTTGAGCAAAAGCTTTTTGTTCGGCAACGACGAGATGGAGGTGTTCACCAGCGTATAAGGAAGTTTGATCACCTGAGTGAGTTGAATAAAAGAAATCCAAGTTAGAGTGGGGAAAAGAAGAAAAAAAAAATCAACAAAAGAGGGGGGGGTGAGCGGATGATATCGTCAAAATTATCGTTATCATAATTATCCTCATCAATCAAAAAAAAAAAAAAAATTGTTAAAACTTACCACCATGGCCATCATATACACCAAAAAAGGAGATGCGTTGATCCGTTGGGGTTTCTGTTTCAGGGGCGTCCAGGCTCTTGAGGTCAAGAACTGCAGCATGGGAGTCTTCCATGGTGATACGCCAGCCCTGCATCGAGGAGACGCCAAAAATCAGTCTATTGTCTTGTCCATGTTCCGAGTGCTATATATAATAACAGTAATAAATAATCAGTGTGGAGAAAAGGTTAGAACCAGGAATATAAAAAGCGCGTGTGAAAATGATGATGAAGGTTGTTGTTGAGAGTTAGTTGTAAGAGAGGTAATCAGGAATGGCAATGGTAGCAGTATACAACACAACAGAAGCAGTGACCATGTGTTTGTTTATTATTGTTGACAATATTTTGTAGTAATTATTGTTGTTTTATATACAAAATATAGATATGAATGAAAGAAAGAAAAGAAAAAAAAAAAAAGAAAACAAAGCCCTCAAAACCTAAGAGATACATGCCTTTTCAGTCACTGGTTGAGAGAGAATCTGACCCATTGTTTGTAGAGTTGTCTATTGTGGGCAGGTCGTGTGAGATAAGGGTAGTCGTTGAAGGCCAGCAGAGCAGAATGCGAGCAAAGCGGGAAAGCGGAATGTGGAGGAGGAGGAAGTCTTAGAGGCCTTTTTTTAGTTTCTATCTAATAGCAGTAGTAGTAGAATAGTACAAGACAGGATGAATGCAATTGATTGTACTAATTAGCAGAAATAAAAGCAGATAATTTCCTATGATAAAGAAATATAGAGTAAATGATGATGTTTTAAAAAAGATGGTAAAGATGTTTATTTTTTTTTTTTTGGAATAGTTTGATTGATGAAAAAAAAAAAAAAAAAGGAGAGAATCAAAGCAGGTGGTGGTGGTGGCAGCTCTGAATTTTTTAGAAGGCAAAAAAACAACAACAAGAGATACACACACACACACACACACATATACTTATACACACATACACATACACTGATGGGTGGTGGTGGTGGTAACCTTTAAAATAAAGTGTGACATAAATTATTTTTGTAATATATTTGTGAGTCATTGTTTAGTCATCATTTGTCATTAAAAGTTTCATCTTTTTTTTTCTTCCAGTGACTATCGCTTTTGGAAATTTTTTGTCATTTCTATGTGCATTGACTAATTGTTTTTTTTTTTTTTTTTTTTTTTTCACACCATATATATATATGTATAGATATATATAAACCCTCTGAAATATCAATCTCCCCCCATCTTTATCATCATAGATTTAATCTTTGATTCTTTTTTAACCCACATATCCATCTCATAAAAATGCCAGAAGTTCTTGTCCAGCCTACCTTGGACTCAATCAAGGCTTTTGTCAAGTCCTCAGCCGTAGAGGCCGCCCAAAACAATACCATCCCACCAAATCTCTACCCGGTCTACGCCTACCTGCCGGCCCTCGACATCACCCCCCACACCGCCTACCTAAAGGTCGCCCGACCCAGTGATCCTTCTCGCGAACCCAAGCCTTCGTTTCTCTTTGAATCTGCAATTGGCGGTGAAAATCTAGGTCGTTACTCCTTCTTTGGCTATAATCCCCGCAAGTCCATCATCACGGGTAATGGTCATGGCCCTGATGTTGATCCACTGTCATTGCTTGAACAGGAACTTGCCCAGTGGAGACAAGCCCAAATTCCTGCTGTTCCTGATCTCTCAGGTGGTGCTATAGGTTACATTGGCTATGACTGTGTCAAATATTTTGAACCTAGAACCGCTAGAGATCTCAAAGACCCCCTCGGGCTCCCTGAGGCTGCCCTTATGCTTTTTGACACTGTCATTGCATTCGATCATGTTTACCAAAAGATTCAAGTTATCCACAATATCCATCTCGATGACTCACCAGAAGTACTTGCTGAAAACTATAAGGAGGCCCAGAAAATTATCACCGACATTGCAAACATCCTAGACTCATCAGAATCTTACCAGCCGCCTCAGCCAGAAATCAAACTCAATGCCGAGTTCACCTCTAATATTGGCCAGGAGGGCTATGAGAACCACGTCCGCACTCTTAAAAAACACATCCTCAAGGGAGATATCATCCAGGCTGTCCCCTCGCAGCGCGTTGCGCGGCCTACTTCTCTCCACCCCTTCAACATTTACCGTCATCTCCGCACTGTCAATCCCTCGCCATATCTCTTCTACATTGACTACCTTGATTTTCAGGTCGTTGGTGCATCCCCAGAACTTCTCATCAAATTCGACAAGGGCCGCATCATCACTCATCCTATTGCAGGTACCGTCCCGCGTGGTAAGACTCTTGAGGAGGACAACAAGCTGGCAGCCCAGCTTGAATCTTCCACTAAAGACCGCGCTGAGCACGTCATGCTTGTTGATCTTGCCCGTAACGACATCAACCGTGTATGCGACCCTCTCACCACCAATGTTGACCGTCTGTTGACCATTGAGCGCTTTTCGCACGTTATGCATCTTGTTTCTCAAGTATCAGGTGTGTTGCGTCCGGAAAAGACCCGCTTTGACGCGTTTCGCTCGATTTTCCCTGCAGGTACTGTTTCTGGTGCTCCTAAAGTACGCGCCATGGAGCTCATTGCTGAGCTCGAGGGTGAACGCCGCGGAATCTATGCCGGTGCAGTTGGCAGCTTTGGCTACGACTCCAAATCCATGAACACGTGCATTGCTCTTCGTACCATGGTTGTTAAGGATGGTGTCGCGTATCTCCAAGCTGGTGGTGGCATTGTCTTTGATTCGGATCCATATGAAGAGTACATCGAGACCATGAACAAAATGCGCGCAAACAACACCACAATTTGCCAGGCAGAAGAGATCTGGGCAAAGAAGCTTTCATCTTAGAAAATAAATAAAGAAAAAGAATAAGAGATTTTATAGATTATTTTTTCTTCCTTGCTTTTGTGTAAAATAAAAATAAAATTTACCAAAATATCATACTTCAACTCTTTTGGAGCTCCTTTACAAAACTCTCGCCCCAAAACCCAGATGTATACTTGCTAATATAGGCAAAAAGCTTTTCAAAATTTCCCTTTTTCCTATCTTCAGAAAGTGTTAGGGCTTCAAAAATGGAACGGGATGTTTCGTCAATATTCCATGGATTGACAATTAGTGCTCCCGTTAAGTTCTGTGCTGCACCTGTAAACTCGCTTAGTATAAGTGAGCCAAAGTGATCCTGTTGACATGCGATATACTCAAACGAAACAAGATTCATACCGTCCCGGGTTGAAGTAACCAGACACACATCTGAAATGGCGTAGAGTGCGACCAGTTCATTGAAATCAACGCTCTTGTGCAAAAAATGAATGGGGGTAAACTCAACTGTGCCAAACTTTCCATTGATGCGGCCCACCAGCTCATTAACATGTGCCCGTAAACTCTGATACTCCTCCACGTCCTGGCGCGACGGCACAGCCACTTGGCACAGCACAACCTTGCCGACCCACTCGCGATGGTTGTTGAGAAACACCTCAAATGCCAACAACTTTTGTGGAACTCCCTTGATGTAGTCGAGCCGGTCGACCCCAACAATGAGTCTTGTATCTCCAAACTTTTGGCGTAGTTCTGCAATGCGCTTGACAACAGGTGGCTGTTTGAGTCCATCGAGGAACTTTTCAGTATCAATTCCGATTGGAAACGCAGAAACTGTCACATAACGGCCGCGATATACAATGGCATTAGGTAACGTTTGGAGCCCGAGAATGCGTGTTACCGCAGAAAGAAAATGGCGCACATAGTCATACGTGTGGAAACCAATGAGGTCGCAGGAAAGCACACCGAGCAGCACTTCACGGCGCACAGGCAAGATTCTATAAATCTCAGAAGATGGGAATGGAGTATGGAGAAAAAACCCAAGCTTGATGCGCTTGACAGGCTCACCTCGGATGCGAGCTAAATTGTCAAGCTCCTCGAGCAGCATGGCCGGCAGCAGCATGAGGTGGTAATCGTGGACCCATACAAGGTCGCCATCTTCAATCTTTTCAACAATGGTCTGTGCAAACTGTCGGTTGGCCACTGTATAAGCGTCCCAGGCTTGCTCGTCAAAATTCATTTCTCCCGGTTGATAATGGAACAGCGGCCACAAGATTCTTTAAAAAAAAAAAAAAAAAAAAAAAAAAAAAAAAAAAAAGTTTGCTGATTAGAGATATAAATTTCATGGGAAATCTCAAAGTCCTTTCGTATTCAATATACTTACGAATTTGAGAAGCCATTGTAATGAAGATCTGCAGTTTCATTTGAAAGAAAAACTGGGATACAGCTGAATCGCTTCATAAGGTCGTCACGCACGCGTGGCTTCTGTTCCTCTGTAAACTCTCCTCCAGGCCAACCGAACCACTTGAAGTTCTTTGTCTTTTTAAGGCCAGAAAGTGCAGATACTAGGCCACCAGATGACATGGCGTATTCATATGTTCCATCGAGATTTTTCTGGATCGTTACCGGTAGACGGTTGGAAATAACGAGGACGTTACTACTATTCCCTGAAGAAGATGGTGTTGATGACTTAGTTTGCGATGAGCTTGCTAGTAACGAAGAAGATGATGATGATGACGATGGAGTTCCTCCAGGTGAGAATATGGGTCTATTATAATGATTGATAGTCGCTGGTCTGGAGGGTATTGGCGACATTTCTGCTGTTGTGTTGGCAGACAAATCTGGAACTGTCATATTGATTTCTTTCTATATATATATATAAAAAAAAAAAAAAAAAAAACGTGGGGAGAAAATGGCGCAAGTTCTCGATAGCGCACAAAAGACTTTTAAAAAGAATAGATAGAAGAGCGATGACGTTTTGAAAGATCTGAAAATTAATAGTAATAAAAGCAGAATAGGGACGGGAAAAAAAGTAACAGCAATAACAGTTTTAGGAAATGTCTCTAATTTCCATTTTTTTTCAAAAAAAAAAAAATAAATAAAAGAAAAATAAAAGAAAAAAATTATATTCCAGATGGAGCAGAACAGTGCGGAGAGTTTTTATTTTATTTGTTTCTTTGGTGGTAGATTGATTATGCCCACCCATCACCATAAAAAAAAAAAAAAAAAAACGTTCCAACGATTCCGATCCGAACATCTCCGGATTTCATGTTTCCTTCTTGGATTTTTAGTATGAAGTTTTGATTTTTTTTTTTTCATGGATTTAAAACATCTTTTCTCTTATTATTCTGTATTTTATTTTTATTTTTTATTTGGTAAATTAACATATCTAATACTATCATTTCTTGCCATTATTGTTCTTCTTAATTGCACGAACCCGCGCTTTAGCAATGCCACCCTCAAACCCAGCACGCTTCTTAGCCTTCTTGCCATGTAGCTTGCTGCGTTCAATCTTAAGTGCAATGTGCTCGTTGCGCTTTTCAATCCGCTTTTCCTTATCACGTTGTGTCGTCTCCTTTCGTTGGTTCCAGTCACGCTCCGTCTTGAGCTTCTTGTTGGTGTGCTTCTTCAAACTTGCCTTGAGCTTCTTGACATCGTCCTTGATTTTGACACCCTCAGATTGAGCAATTGCCTTGCTCCACATATTCTTGGCCTCCATTTCAGCCTTCTTGTCACCGCCCATCTTTGCAAGTTTTGCGTTTCGTGCTTGAATATGCTTAAGCTGGCCTAAAATGTCTCGTGGGCCCTTCTTAGACTTGCCATGGCGCATCTCTTTGAGATCGGCTGTGGGTTTGGAGCCATCAGCAAACTCCACAGAAGAAAACATGAGCTTGGAGTCATCAACATCATTTTCTTCCTCTTCCTCTTCTTCATTTTCTTCATCGTCATCATCCTCTTCCTCTTCCTCCTCTGATCTCTTACGTTTCAGCTGCTTTTCCTTTTCCTCCTTAAGTCTGCGCGCACTCAGAATTGCCTCACGAGTGCGCACTGAACCGTTAGTAACAGTTCCTGGGGCGTGACGTTTTTCTTTAAACTCTTTAATGCGTGTTGCGAGTTTAGACCGCAGCTCCTCTAGTTTCTCGGGATTAGCCTTGTGTTTCGTAGTAGTGGTGGTAGTGGTAGTGGTATCTTTAGATTCTTCTTGATTCTTGCTGGCAGATTCTTGTGCTGTCTTGTTTAGGGTAGGAGTTTTAGAGTCAGGTTGTTTCTTTTTAGGTGTTTGTTGCTCTTTCTTAGTTTGTTCTAGTTCTTCTTGGTCTTCATCTTCTTGTTCCGCAGATTCAGAGTCTTCATTCATATTTTTAGTGACGTCTTCTTCGTTGTCTTCTGGCTGCTCTTCATTATCCGAAACATCGATTGTTCCAATGGCGTTTCCTTCATCGTCAAAAATAATGTTGACCTCAACTTTCTTTTCTTCAACAGTCTCCTTGGCTGATTTGGAAGAATTGTCTTCATCATTTTCTTCATCATTTTCTTCGTCTTCTCCTTCTTCTACTTCTTCCTCTTTTGATTCTTTCTTCTCTTCAGGCTGACCAAGCTTAGACCGCAGCTTGGCTTGACGCTGCTGCTTCTTTAGCAGCTTTTTAGCCTTTTTTCCTAAAATAGGGCCAGTCGTGGTCTCATCTAGCTCTTCAGTAAGTGTAGTCTCTTCTGCCTTGTCATTTTCAGTATTCTCAGTGGACTGATCGTTATCTCCATTCTTCTCTGCATCTCCTGAATCTTTCTTTCCCTTCTTAAACTTCTTCTTTTCCTTATGAACACGTTTTTCAGTGGGCAGTAGCGACAAGAGACCCTGGAAGGCGTCTGAGTGGCTCTTTATTCGTTCCTACAACTAAGTGTTAGCAGATCGTTATTCATGAAATATAAAGAAACAATCTAATAAAAAAATAATAATAAAACTTATAGATAAATCGAAACATACTTCTAAAGCTTTGCTAGCTGTCATAATTATTTTAAAAAAACTTCTATAAAAAAAAAAAAAAAAAAAAGATTGAAAAGTCTTTTTTCAATAAATCTCTTGTTCGATTTGTGATTCTCTTCTTAATAGTTTCTGTTGAAAAGTTTTTAATATTTTTTTTTTTTTTTCTTTTCTAAAAAAAAAATTTTTTAAGCCGTTCTAAGACTTTAATCTTCGCACAGTCCTTAATATACTGTAAATATTTCTTTAATGCGGCTTTTGTTACATACACGTGACTTTGAAAAAATAAAAAAGTGTCATATTCATAAAATAATTGTCACCACCACCGATTCTGCCGCCTGCCGCCACGGCTGTTGCTGCTGCTGCCGCCTGCCTTGCCTGCTTTGCCTACTCGTCTGTTTGTCTGTTTGTCTGTCTGTCTGTTTGTCTGTCTGCCTGCCTACCTGCCTACCTGCCTACCTGCCTACCTGCCTACCTGCCTACCTGCCTGCCGGCTGCTGCGTCTGCTGCTTCCCACTACGGTGCTGCTTTTTTTTCTACCTTCTATTAGTCCCACATCACAACGCTCCAGAGGCTGCCAAAAAAAAAATAAACCACCACAACCACATTCATAACCATCTTCACCAAACTCTTCTTCTCCAGCATCTTAAGGCCTTTCCTTCTCATATTCCGCCTTTCTCCGAATCATGTCTGAAAAAGTCTTTTACCTCGTGTCTGTGCCCGCTAGCTCTGCACCCAGCGGCGGCGACCCCGAATCCCAGCTTGAAAACTGGTACAGTGAAACACTGGGCCTTAAAACCGGCTCCGACATCAACTCTTTTGCTATTCCCAGTTTTAAAATAGGCACACTTGACTCTCTCGTCCAGCAGTCTGAGGACCTGGCCAAGCTTGACGCGCAGTACCAGGGTGTTGTCTCTAAAATTGCCGACATCATTAGCACGCTCTATGACGGCAACCCAGCAAGCATTGCCTCTGCCAAAAAGATTAAGGACCAGCCTCCTCAAGACTACGTCAAAACATTTACTTGGAACACCAACAAATTCAGAACTGACAAGTCTATTCCTGACTTGGTTGACCTTATTTCAAAGGTTAGTACCAAAAGAAAAGGCAAAAACGACATGGTTTTATTAACTATTTATTAGGAAACATTTGCACTTGATAACGATGTCAAAACCGGATACTCTACTTATACTGCTGCCAAAGCAAATCTTTCTACAATTGACAGAAAACAAACGTGAGTAATTGCTTTATTTTATACTTGGTTCAATTGGATTAATTTTTTTTTTCTTTTTTTTTTTTTTTAAAAAAGAGGTAACCTTTCCATTCGTTCTCTTCATGATGTTGTTCGTCGCGAACATTTTGTTCTCGACTCTGAGTATCTCGTTACTGTTCTCACAGCTGTCCCCAAATCTCAATCTAAGGAATTCCTATCTTCCTATGAGACTATTGTCCCCATGGTTGTCCCACGTTCGGCTTCCGTGATTGCCCAAGATGACGAGTACATTTTGTACAATACTACCCTTTTCAAGAAGTATGCTCCTGAATTTTCACTCAAGTCCCGTGAACATAAGTGGATTCCCCGTGAGTTCCACTACTCTGAAGCTCTCGTCGAGGACCTCAAGAAGGAGCAACAGGTTGCTGCTCAGGCTGAGCGCAAGCAGTGGGCCGACATTGTTCGTCTATCGCGCACTGCCTACGCCGACGTTGTTGCCAATTGGACCCACCTTAAGGCCATTCGCATGTTTGTCGAGGCAGTGCTGCGCTACGGTCTTCCCCCTAACTTTGTCAACACTTCTCTTTATTTCCCAGCCAAAAACATTAAGAAGGTTGAGGATGCACTTGTCGCTAAGTTCGGATACCTGAGTGGCAATGCCTTCCAAAAGGACAAAAAGGGCAACCTTAAGACCGACTCTGACCTCCATGAGTACGGTGCTCTTGTGGATACTGACTACAAGCCTTTTGTCTACTACGAGCTGGATCTGTTTTAAATTAGACTTAGTACTGATGACGACCCGTGATGTTTTTGTTTTGTTATTATATAAATATATATCCTTAATTGACCTAATATGCTGAAAAAAAAAATTAAATTACAAAGTAATTGAATAATGGAATAAATAAATATCGTTTTAAAAAAAAAAAAAAAAAAATGTTTGTGGTAACTTTACCGAGTAACCTGAGTTGATAATTTCTGCCTACCACCAAAAAAAAAATAACATTTGTTTCACTCATAATTATGAGTTTCTTATAAAAAAATTCAGAATGTCCCGTTTACGAAGAGCTACGCGCAAACTGTTGCATGAACCGGAAGAAGATAATGACATTCAGCCTGAGTTTTACGATGAACAGGAGCAGGAAAAGATTATCCACGATATTGAGCTGGAGCTTCATTCCACTGAGTCCTTTTTCCGTTCTGCCTTCACCGCCGTAATGCTCTTACCAACACCTCTCTTTCTTGTGCTCCCCTACTGTCGCGTATACAACTCTATGTTATCGTTACTTTCAATCAGCTCGATTGCATTGTCAGTATACATTATTAACATTCTCAAGCCGGCAGTCCCTTGGCTTTTTCTTCCTCTTCCTGGCTTTACAGCTACTGAAATCGCTTTGACCCCTATAGAGATCTATGTTTCACCGCTCAATATTGTTCTTGCGGCAGTAATTCTTGCAGCAGGTTTACTCATACATTATCCATGGGCTGGCTTTGATTATATTTGGTCGCTGCCTACAATCTCTGTAGCCACTGCTGTTATGCTGCGCAAGTGGATTGCAGATACCAACGCGTCTGTTGTTACTTTGCACAAGACCAAGTATCCTTATAAAGGAGCATAATTCTATTTTTTTTATAGTAAAAGAAAAAAAAGAGAATTCTGATCAAGAAAAAAAAAACCCGCTCAGGGTCCTCTTGTGCAAGTTAGATCAAAAGCACATGTATTGAAGCTTGTAGCTTGTTTATTGTACAAGAATCTCACCTGATTATGTAACCAAATATGTTTGTTTACTTTTTTTATGTTTACGCCTAAAAAAAACCAAGTTTAGTTCCCCAGATAGGTTTTTTTTTCTTCTCTTCTCTTCTCTTCTCTTTTCTTTTCTTTTCTTCTTTTTTTTTTTTTTTTTTTTTTTCTAATCATCAACCTTTATCCAAATATAATGGCTGTCGGTGATCCCGTATCCACGTCGACAAGGCCGTCTATTGATAAGGCTGCCTCCTCGTCGTTGTCGGCCACTCCGTCATCCGTTGCGACCAATATCAAGGTCATTGCACGGTTTAGGCCCCATAATGCAGACGAGCTGGCAGCCGATTCATCCGCAACTTCAATTGCTGAGTTTCTTTCACAAGACTCAGTCTTCATCGAATCAAAAGATTTCTCAGGATCTTTCACCTATGATCGCGTTTTTGATATGAACTCCTCTCAGCTGGACGTGTTTAATTACTCTCTTAAGCAAACTGTTGACGACCTACTGAATGGCTATAATGGCACCGTTTTTGCCTATGGTCAAACTGGTTCAGGAAAGTCTTACACCATGATGGGACCCAACAACTCTATTGATGACTCTGAACTGCGTGGTGCTATTCCTCGTATTGTTGATCGCATTTTTGATTTAATTATCGAGTCTTCCGAAGATATTGAGTACACTGTTAAGGTCTCTTACATGGAAATCTACATGGAGCGCATCAGAGATCTTCTTAATCCTACATCTGACAATCTCCCCATCCATGAAGATAAAACTCGTGGTGTTTACGTTAAAGGTCTTGTAGAAGAGTACGTTTCAAGTGCTGATGAGGTCTACGAAGTTATGCGTCAGGGTTCGGCTGTTCGTGCCGTAGCTTCTACAAATATGAATCAAGAATCTTCGCGTTCCCACTCTATTTTTGTCATTACCGTTGCTCAAAAAAATACTCTTACTGGCGCTCAAAAAACTGGTCAGCTTTCACTTGTTGATCTTGCAGGATCTGAAAAAGTCGGTAAAACTGGAGCTTCAGGCCAAACTCTTGAGGAAGCTAAAAAAATTAACAAGTCTCTTTCGGCACTTGGAATGGTCATAAACTCGTTAACTGATGGAAAATCGACCCACATTCCATATCGCGATTCGAAACTTACCCGAATTTTGCAAGAGTCACTCGGTGGTAACTCTAGAACTAGTTTGATTGTCAATTGCTCACCTTCCACTTATAATGACGCAGAAACCTTGTCTACACTGCGATTTGGCGTACGCGCTAAATCAATCAAAAATAAGGCCAAAATCAATACTGAATTGTCACCACTCGAGCTTAGACAGTTACTTCGCAAGTGCCAAGCTCAACTTGAAGCTCAGTTTTTATACACTTCAAAACTTGAAGAAGAGCTCACTAACTGGCGTGCTGGTGATTCTCCCCCAAAGGAATCCTGGATCCCGTTTGAAAAACCTGCTCTTCAACCCCAAGTTACCAACTCTCGTGGCTCTAGTGCCCGCAGTTCTTTGGTCAGTGTGCGATCTGTTCCTTCTTCCCGACCTTCTACACCATCACAACGTGGTAACACCAAGCAAACACCTTCAGGACAAAAGCAAAGATTAAGCGACCCCAAGTCTTTGAACAAGCGTGCAGACACTGATATTGTCGAGGAGTATATGCGCCGCGAAAATGAGCTTCAAGATCAGCTTAGTGAAAAGGAATCCATCATTAGTGAACAAGAACAACTTTTGGTATCTCTGCGCCAACAAATCAAAGATGAAGAAGAAAACGAAGAAGAAGAGCTTGCCACTACTGCTGCTAATCTGGAACTTGCTAAACTTAATGCTGACCTTAACCTACAGATTGATAACTTGAACTATGAAAAAAAGGAACTTTCAATCACTTCCGGGTCACTTTCTGATGAAAACACGCGACTTACCGCAGAACTTCAGGAGGCTAAACAAAAATTGATTGAATATGAATTATCTCAAAAATCTCAAAGCAATTCTTTAAGAGTTGTGGAGAATGTTGAAAACTTCCAAAACATTGACGACAATGGAATAGCCTTAAAGTCTCCTCTTTCTTCTGGCGATAAGGAAAATATAGGTCCTACTTCTCCTGGTAATGAAAAACTGACCCCTGCTGAACTTCATGAAAAGAAAAAGCAAAAGAAAATGTCTGAGATTCTTGGTCAGTTTTATCAGGTACCTGGGTCTTCGTCAACATCTCTTAACATTTTAGATGGTAGCGGGTCCATTCCTGCCTCACCTTCTATTCCGGATATTGGCTTGCTTCGCCCAGATTCTAAAGAGTTTAATAAGTATTTGGACTCGTTGATTGAAAAACAACATTCAAAGTTTGAAGAGTATGTCAAGAGTATCAGTGGGGATGGTGGTAATAAAGTAGACCTGGATCAAGTTTACGGGGCACGTATTAAAGCCTCTGAGGAGACTACACGTGAGCTGCTTGCTGAAATCAGCAATCTCAAGTACGACCAGTCCAAAAAACCTGAAGATGAGAAGATTGATGTTTTAGTTTCCACCATCAAAGAAAAGGAAGCTGCTACTATTCAAGCTCAGGAGCAAATCGAAGCTATGCAAACCAATATTGCACAATATGAAACCCTCAAATCTTCTCTTATGCGTGACTTGCAGGAGCGCTGCGAACGTGTTGTTGAGCTTGAAATTTCACTTGATGCAGCTCGCGAGCAATACAATCTAGCTATTCGTAACTCCAACACTAAGCAACAGCAAAAGAAAATGGCATTGCTCCAACGCAACCTTGAGCAGCTAACTTCGGTTCAGCGCCAGCTTGTTGAGCAAAATGTCGGACTCAAACGCGACGTGGCTATGGCACAAAAGATCTTAGAGGCTCGTAATGACCGTATTCAAGACTTGGAGAATGCACTGCGTGAGTCGCAGAGTCGCCTTGGTCAAGAAAGCGAACTTTTTGAGTCTCAACTGACATATCTCCGTGACCGACTGATTGAAGTCAAGCGCTCCGGAAGCCCCCCTCTATCACTCCCTAACCAAGCTGGGGTTGCGAGTGATCCATTCTTATCTACAAGAATTATTAAAAGCAGCACTGCAGGACCCATTCCTACTACACCCTCTTATGGACCTAACAACCGCGTCATTCATTACCCAGATCTTTCTCCTACTAAGGTGCGTGATCGTAGCGGCAGTGGCAGCACTATTGGAGGCACGCGTGTAGTATCAGGTGGTGCACATACCAAAATTGTTAAACCTCTGCGTGGGGGTGGCGGTAATAGCAACGGTTCCGGATCTAATGGCAGCGGGACTGGAAGTTCCCCACAAACTCCTATCAAGCTCAAGGCAGACTCGATGGCGAAGAGCGTGACAGGTCTTTGGACTAAGCTTAATAACTCGATTGCAACTGGATCTAGTGGACTTGTAGCGGCAGCAAAGACATCGTTGGGTAGCCCAAAGAAAACTGGCGGTAGAGGTATTCTTGGTGGCGACCTGTCAAGTAACGGTGGCAGTAGCAATGGTAGTAACAGTGGAGACGAAGACGTGGAAGAAGTACACTTGGATCCTAAAGAAGCTAAGGAACGAGAACTCGAAGGTACATTACTGTCAGGTAGCACAGCATATCAGCCTGAAATGTCGGAGTAATTGTGTTTGTAAGTTATATGTGTAGGACTTTTTTTTTTGTATATGTTAAGGGTTGAATAAATTTGGAGTTCTTTTAAGAGGAAAGAAAGTGATTTGCTTATACTTCGATATATTGTTGATAAAAATGGTTTTACCTAAAAAGATATCTGTTTAGGTAATACAAGAGAGAGAATGTTTCGAAATATGGTAAGATTGGGAGAGAGAGAGTGACGATTTTTTTTTGTGGTACTGATGTGGTTGCCAGGTACAGAATAGACGTTTTTTTATGGCGTGGAACAAAAGGTTTTGTCCAAAACCCTGTATATTAAGAAAAAAAAAACCGATATATTTTTTTTTATTTCAGTTCAGATCCACAATAGTTCAAGGCGGTTTTAAATTATAAAAATCAAACAGATCTACGACCTATTACCAATTCATCTAAATAATATGAAGCTGTCATATTTCTTTAATCATCTTTCAAAAAAAAAATTTTTTTTTGGCTGTTAATCATTTTTGGAACCACTTATTAAAACGGAAAGTGATATATATATGGTAATTTCAATGAAAAAAAAAAGATTCATTCAAGATTCAACTAAGTGCCATCCCATAATTGTTGCCATCCTTCCTAAATTTATGTTTAACTTGATTTCGTAAGGATTTCCTAAGGTTCTGTTAATAAGTCACCTACGTAATGAAAGGCGCCCCACACTTTATAGACTGGTGGAGCAAATGTTTTCACTACAATTTTTTTATAAATAAAAAAAGTATTATTATTGTCCCCGCTAATTTACAAGCCATTTATGTAAGCCAGTGGATACATTGTCTTTTGTATAATTAGGAGGAAATAATAAGTAGTAGGAAAACATAATTTAAGAAAAAGGCTTAAGTATTTTAATATGTAAGTGGTTAATAAATTTAATTAAAGTAAATCGGTGTTTTATCGTTCCTTGGTAAATTATATATATTTATAATTGTAATACTTTGGAAATTAATTCTGAACCTTGAAATCCATAATTCAAGTATTGGTGGAACGGATGTGATTTTGGAACTTTTCAACACAAACTGACTATCAAATATTACCTTTATGTATGACTCCCATGAAAAATGAAATATACACGTTATAGTGGTTTAGTTTTCAAAAGATCTTTCCAAATTTATTCCACAATAAACATGGGCAAAAATTTCATAAAATTTCATAATCTATAGACAAAAGCTCCATAGACAATTAATCATCGATGAAAAAAAATAAAAAAAAATAAAACTCAATGGAAGGATCATCTTAAAGTCAATCTTAGTATCTTAAAACTTGTTCGTCAAGAAACCAACCTACCCCATATCATCTAAAACTTTGTGGCCTTTTAAACTCTTCATTATCCTTGTACCAAAAACCCTATGGTATCAAAATGATATTAAAAGAAGAGATACCAGAGATTTTTAATTTTTTCTCCGTTCACCTTTTAAAATACATATTATTGTTCAAGCTTTATTATGTGAAAGCCGCATCTCCAGCCTTAAGGCCAAGTATAGATCTTACATCAGTGGAAAATCTAATTGCAGCCAAAAAGGGAATCAGGGCAAGAAGCGAATTATCGCTAGGATCGTTTATCCACCCCTCAATACCAATGCCATTTGCCTTGTGTTGTAAATATGAAATTGGTGAGTTGTCAATAATCATCACATTCGAAAGATCGGGATCCACTGCACCCAGATCTTTGACATATCCCATATTGGTTTGAGTGCAGTGCTGTCTATAGTATCGCTGAACAAAGTACTTTCGGTCCTTTTCCAGCCAGTCAATCATTGGGTCGGCATATGCTTGAACCGACGCTGTAAATACCACTAAATTGTACCATTGGGATACCGTTTGCAAAAATTCATCGCAAAAGGGTCGTTTCAGTACAGTGTATAATGTTGCATAACTGTTAAGTTTTACCTCTACCATTGCTCCCTGTGAAAACCCTGGGGTTCGCGATAGGGTATGTATTAATGTTTCGTCAAGATCAAGTATGAGAGTTTTCTTTTTGAGACGTCGGTAGTGAATGGCGTTGGCATTAGAGGACATTTGTAGTGGAACAGAAGACGATGCAAGAGACGTAGCTGTTGGACGTCCTTTACTTAGCTCCTCTTGTTTTTCAGAGGGTTTGGGTCCAGAAAGAGAAAGTGAAAGTAGCTGCCATAATGATAGTGGCTTAAACGTTTGTGGGGGAAGGAGTGGTCGTGGAGGAGAATATATCCTAGGGACCTTGAATGCATAAGAAAGTGGAGATTTCCGCCGCTTGGGTGTAGAGTTGTATGTTTCTTGATCATGTCGCGTAGGTAAATCCAGTTCGGAGTTTGTTGGGGTATTGGTGCCCGTTCCGGAGTCACTCTTTATTGAGCGAGGTCTATTTCCAGTGCTTGAAGAACTTTTCCGAGATCGAGTTTTGGGCTTTTCTAAGGTTCCAGGGGTACTTGGCTTCGATCTAGATTTTGTCTTTTGTTTTGGAGTAGAAGGTATGCTGTTGGAGTCAGTGTCGTTGTTGGATGAAGCGTCGCCTTGTTGGGTTTTTGCCACAGCCGTGGGGGACGCAAATGCTGGGGAAGAAGGAATTGTTGTCGAAAAAAATGGTATCCAACCCAAGAAACTTGCAAGGGAACGTTTAAATGTTTGTTGGGAAGAAGTTGGAGAAGGACCATCGTATACTATGGTAGTAGTGGAGGAATCAGATGCCAATTTAGTCATTTCCAAGGTCTCAGTCTGTTTATTTGTTGTGTTTGAGGTCAGATGAAATAATATGGCGATGCGTATTAAAAAATTGTAAATGCTAAAGGGAATGAATAATAATATGCTAGTAATAAATGCGAGCACTCTATGAAAGAACAACTGTGATTTTTGGTGTTGCTCCTTGTTAAGGTTGCTATTGTCATTGTTGTTTAGTGTTTTTAGGCTTGTGCTATTTTTGTCTTCGGAAAGATTGCTCAATGAAAATCTAGGTTTTGATTCCAAGCTGTGCAGTGCTGGGCTAGAAAATGAACGTGGTTGCAAATGAAATTGACGCTGGTACTTTTTATTTTGAATTCCAAGTTCCAAAGATTCGTCTATAAGTTCTAGATGATTTTGTCTTTGCCGATATGTTAAAAGGCCATTGTTACTATCATTATCATCAATGTATTCATCGTTATCATCTCTCGCGCGAGCCTGTGATTTTCAATGTCAGCTAAAAATTAATTGATATAAAAAAATACAGTAACACACATACAAGAGAAACAACAGACCGAGATCTGATAGGAGTACTTGGAGGGGTGGTATGGTTGATAACACGATCGACTCTGTTGGAAATGAACTGAATGGAGTTCATTCTTGTATAAAAACACGTTGAAAAAAAAAAAAAAATAAATGAATTCAATAAAAATGTGAAATGTGAAATCTATTTCTAATGATGAATTTGAAATTGGATATCAAGAAAAAGAACCAAGAATATCAAACCATGGCCCATGGCTGGGTGATGAGATCGTCTATAAAATATTGGGTGGCTAAGGAGGCAATTTTTTGTTAAAAATTTATGTGGTGAGTAAAAGTTAAAAAAAAAAAAAAACCCTGTAGTTTCTGAGGTGTTGTTATTGTTATGGCTGTGGTTAACAAAAACTCTGCTGGAGACGGTTAAGCCGCTGGAATTGCTCCTTCCGGTTAGGTTACATCATATGAATATTCTATTCAGCCAACAGCAAAGCCTACTGATAAAGTTAGACAAGCATTTGAAACACCTCTTCATCCGGAATCTCAGTAGCTAAGATATCTCTGACTGAAGCCACACTCAGCTCTTCAAATGCTTCAGGCTTAACATGCTGCAAGCTCTTTTGTGTGGAGACTATAATTGTATCACAAACTTTTGATTTATCGTTCCCGTCAATACGGATTGCATGTGAAAGCTTGTCTTTTGAGACTTGCGCCGCACGAGATTCCATGCTGACTTTATTGGTTATGGCAACTGGTGCAATGACAAGCCCATCAATATCAACTGGTTTGTAACATGTGCTCTTGTCACCACCCCCACCAAAAATCTGTATAGTTTGCCACAGTCCTTCTCGGAGATCTTCATCATGGCCTAAACATTCGTAAAGGATTGGAAGATACTTTACTGTTTCTGCGATTTCCTGTCATTATGTCTTAGTTTGTCTTCATTTGAACGAAGAAAAAAAATATATTTCTCGTGATCCACAACTGGTCATATTTGGTGATGCAGTGCAAACTCAGTATATTGTGGCCTTACCTCTCTGTAAATCTTTCTTTTGAATGTCATAGGTAGCAAGTTTTGCAACTGGTTTATTACAAGACAAGCCAAAAAATAGTTGCAGGCTTCAGCATATTGATTTAAACTCATGTTTATGCATTTTGTTTGAAAATCTATTTGAATTCGAATAGATTTCATGTATCCATATGGCGTCTCTAAATATCGTTCAATGGCTCCACATACCGACGGCGTGACTTTGCAATTGTCTAAAAAAAGAGTCCAATAATTAGTGAAAATGGTAAGATCATCTGAAAGTTTTTTAAATGAAACTTTTTTTTTTTCTTATTAATCGTCTCCATGTCCAACAAAAAGATAGTCTTACAGTTTAAAACACATTTCTTTTTTAGTTCCTCTGGTCTATGACCTTCCTGAATAGGCTGGGCAACTATTTGAATTTGGCTTTCTTTCCATAGTTTCCCTTGTAATAAGAGCTCGTTTAGTTTAGTACCAATGATCCTAGGCAGTGGCCTTGCATTGCTACTAATTCCCAAAAATATCTAACAAGTTTACATAACCGCAGAAGGTTTTACACCATTAATAACTTTTTTTTCACGACTCTTACTCGACTCAAATAATTTTTCACATACCTTAAATCCACTTTCAGGCACACCTGTATAGTGCTTTAATGGATTATATGAGGGAAGTCCGTCAATGTTGATAGTATAGTTCACTGTAGCTGAAACATTATCATTGTAAAAAGTTGAAGTCACAGAATATTTTGGTTTTAGTTGGAACCTGTTCATAGTGCGTTTTTGTGACCAGTGATTCTGGTTTTAAAAATAAAAAAAAAAGCCAAAGATGAACACTGTGGTCATCCTAGAATATTTTAATTTTCCTATATATCTATTCACGATGAGATATTTGACAACACCGTTTAATCCCACTCCACATGAAAAATTTTCAAACTTTGGAAGAGCGGTTCCCCCTCTTAGTATCATGAAATCATTTTTCACTCATACTATGAAATTAGATTTCTTCGACATTGAACAACGAATATTAATAGTGAAAATATATAAATATATGTTTTCATTTTAATTTGCCCAGTTCGTTTCGACTTTTTTAAACTGCTTTTTTTCTTTTCTTTGTATTTTAGATTTATATTAAAAATTACTCCATCAGTACTTTAATATTAACTATCTTTTGTTCGCAAGTTTCATATAACCATAAAGTTGCTACTTCATTCTTATTAGAATAACACCTGGGCGTTCAATATTTTTTTTCGTTTTTTTTTGTTTTTAAATGTTTTTATTCATCAGAAATATCTCAACCAAGACAATTAACAACACGTTTTTGTTAAAAATGGTTTCAAAAGGCGAGAACATTTAGTCTCAAGTTCATTTATTAGTCTATAAAATATTCATTTCGTCTATTTTTTTTCCTTCTCCAATTATACATGCTGCATATGTACAGTTCTAAATTCATATGTCGCTTTTTAACTTTTTTATTATTATTTGGTCCAAATGCTTGAAACACTTTTTTTTCGCTTTCTTATATTGAATGTTAAATATTTACTACCGAGCTCAATGTCTTTTAGAAGTGCAATTTCATACTTCAATGGCTATTTTGGATACCAGAAAAGGCTTCCACTAACTTTGAAAGCATTTCATTTTGGCATAGCCAAAAATAACTAAATTGAATTAAATTAAATAGAGCCTTTCAGGCGTTAATTCAAAATACTTTCCACCATTTATCTAGTCCTATATTTAGACGATAAAATTGAAATTTTTATTTTCAACAATAGCACAAAATTTAGCTTTTGAAACAATTGCTTAATTAACTTGGAAATTAGAATTGGTATTATTTGAAGGTTGGTATTCCTAATACAAAAGCAATGCTACACAATCTAGCATTTTGAAATGTTCTAATTTAAATATCTTCTATTGATAAAAAATCGTTATTTTGTCTGTTAAAGATTTTTTTAAAAAAATAAATACTTGCAGGTATGGTGTGAGCATTGTCTTCCTCTTTTCTAAAGGTTCTTTTTACTCATTAATTTACCATCCTGATATATACTTTTAATGATGATCCTAGTGGCATTGCATCATTTCATTAAAGGTTTTTTACATATTTATATACAAACACATTTTTTCTAAATTTTGGGATCTTCATAAACAAACACACTTTTGCTTTTTCCCCAAATTTTCAATTTGGTAATTAAGTGATATATTTATCAAAACTTTTAAAAAATAAAGTACTTTAACTTGAAAAGGCAGACCTATTTCTTTTCTTTTTCATGTTTCTGATTAGCCGAAATCATATGACTGTAGTCAGTAGTAAGAAAATCATAGAAAAAATTAGAAAGAGCTTCTGCCAGAATCATTCAAAAAGCTATTAATAATTTTCAAAAAAAAGATTATTACTTTTTTTGAAAAAACGCCCAATTCTGTTACAATGGAAATTTTGGTCTCAAAATTTTTTAATTTCTATCCACATTGATAGTATTATTTTAAGGCTATTTATGGTCTAACCCAGCCAGGTCATTATTGTCTTAACATATCAGAATGCCCCAAGATTTTGTAAATCGTTTTTTTTGCTATTTATATCAAAGCTTCAATAGCAACTTTATTTACACAAGATCTCTTTGGCAAATTTAATTAAAAAAAATTGTCATAATGTGAACTTTTTTTTTAAATTGCGTTGTCCTATTCATTTCTCATATCAAAAATAAAAAAAAAAGTACCGCTTATTTAGAATATTTTTTTTTTGCTATTAAATCAAATAAATATTTAAAAAAACTAGAAATTTGAAATATCATAATTATCAATGGTTTATTTGGATTTGATACATATTGCATCATTATAGTTTTAAACCAAACTTGCATCGGCTGTTTCCTTTTTTTTCTTTTCAAAAAGGATTTCCTTAATTGATATAATTAATATTCCAACTAAAAAAAAATCAAAAATGAAAGTATTTTTTTATATTCAATTAAAGTTTATATTTGTGATCAACTGCGTGTTATTCTTTATCTATTCTTCACTAAGTAAGCTCTATTTTTGAATGTTTTGAACGGTTATCGAAGTCACAAAAATTGTGTTCACGTTAAAGTTAATATGCGTTAAAAGTATTCTAACCTTTAAATTTTATTTACAGGCTTTACTTCTTTGCATAAAGGTATTATTTTCATACACATATATATCTGAATTTGTTATTTCAAAAATAAATCCATGAAATTTGAAACTATTCTAAAAAATCCAAATAAATAATCCATTTTATGATTCCACTCTTGTTTAATACTATTTTCGTGTTCAAAATACACTGATTGTCATTATTTTTTATAATTATAATACTAGATTTTTAATATTAATGGATGTGAAAGGCCTACATTACATAGGGATTTAAAGATTTAATATATTCCAAAGAATTAAATTCGCAAAAAATTAGATAATTTTCAAACATAAAGTTGGTAGTACTCATTGCTTCAACTTTCAGGGCATCATAAATATATATTTTTATCCCTTGGCATCAGTGAGAAATAAATAAGACATGTATCCCTGGTGGATCCCTTGTATTGAAAATAAAAAGTTTAAAAAAAAAATCAAGTCAAAACTTTGTGCTCTAACCCATGTGCCTTAAAATAAAGAGAAAAAATATTTTTTTATTATTGCTAAATAAAGAAAAATATAATGGTCAACCAAAGGTTGAATCCTATTTGCACTGTTTTGTGGACTAAGCTGAACTAAATTTGAAGTTCCATAGCGGCATTCTTTTTAAGAAAAAATAAAACAGAATAAGAATCATAAGGTAAATTATATTGAAAGATATTTTTCTTTTATTTCATTTTTTTAAAAAAAACACCAGGAATTGAACTCAACAAACTACACTACTGAATTCTCTGTTTGAGCTTATTTTGTTATATGAATAGAAATTATTTCTTAGAAATTTATTTTTTGTACCTCTCAAAGTGTTTTCAAAATTCCGTCATAAAATGAACTATTTAATTTTGGCATTATATGCAAAGCCCTGAATTCTACTTTAGCATAAATCGGCTACTAACAAAAAATCTGGGAATAGTTATAGACGATAGTGTTACCTTAAGATTGTTTTAAGTTTTGTAAAGCGTAGATGAGCAAAATAATGATAATATATATACATTTAAATGAATATATATAATAACTAAATTTAGTTATTCTGAATATCTTTTTTTAATTTTTTTTAAATCTGACCTACTTCTAAGTATCTTTAAAAATACTGGTTTTTTATTCATATAAAATTTTTTTAGAAGATATCATCCAATCGTCTACATATCTTTATGTTTGCAAATTTAATGTCATACTCAATTCATAATCACGTAATACTATAATCCATACAAAAGTTGTCGTCACCAGTTTTTCTTTAAATTAAAATATGTGGATTATATAACTTAGAGTTTTTCTCATATTTTTTTCAAGAAGGAGTATTGAGCTTAATATAACAAGATATATAAAATACTATTTATAATAGTATCAATATTTTCATTCTAAATTAATTATTACCTACATGAGTTACAGAAATAAGTTATTGTATGTTTAAGAATAGCCCTTTATTTTATTTTAATTAATTATAATTATAATTGGTTAGCAACAGATTCCAATAAATGGTATATGGTAACTGAAAATACATAGAGAAAATAATTCAGGATGATCATTTATGCAAAATTAATTTTTTAATCCTTTTTAAGGGGAAAAGGGATATTCCATAATTACTGAACAATTTATAAGTTTCATTAACCCATATCTAGCATCTAAAATTTAACGGTATTATTAAAAAGGCTGGTTTGAAAAAGCCTGCCTTATGGCGTTTTATCTCCAAAAATATGTAATAAACTTGAATTTTTCTATGACGTCTTTCCTGACGCTTTTCAAAATCTTATTCCATGAGATATTTCATACAAACCGTGAAAATGGCTTAAACGCGTATATCTTAAACATACGTTAAACTGTGAGTACCTGCAGATATGTTTAAAGTTGTAAATTTCTAGAAAAAAAGAAACTTTAAACTTTATGTGACAAACACCATAAGAGAACCGTCACAAAAACAAAAAATCACTGGCAACATTCAAAACTTTAATTCAATTAAGATTTATTTTGACTATTAGTGCGTTTCTATTTTGCTAGTGACAAGACCCTCATACTGATGAAAAATTTTTTTATTCCACGTGCCTGACATGCTTGAGCGGCGAAATAAGATGTTATGCATCTTCTAATGAAAAATTTAAATCAGCTAGTTATGAATTTAGCATGATCATTGACATTTGATTAAAAAAAAGAACAAAAAGAAAAATATCCAAGTTAAAATATGTGATATTATATCATTAAAAAAAGAATGAAGGATTGTCTGCATGTATAGAACCATACCAGACTTGGGCGTTGAGTCTATCAAATAAAAGCCTTCAAACGGTTCATAAAAGAAAGTTAAAACTATAGTACCAAGTTATAAAAAAAGCTAGTTACTTGTCTAAGTTATTAATGGATAGTAAATTGTTTTTAGACTCTAATTTTAGATTTCGCCTTCTAATTTTTATTAAATCTTGTTATTTTATTTTATTTTATTTTTCATAAGAGATTTCTATCTATTAAACGTTTAAGACCTATTGAAAGTATATTGTATCAAAAACATATAAAACCCCCTAATTCCCTCTAATAGTTTTTGTTTTTTTTGAATATTTTTTCTTCAATCATCTTTTTAGCTTTCTTTCGCTTTGCATTCTATCTATTCAATCGTTTTCTAATAAAAAATAAGCCCACCTTTTTTTACTTTCGTTTACTTTTTTTAAGTGCTAAATACTTATAATCATTAATTTTTTCAATAATGCAAACTAAACGATACATCAGGAATCTAGCTCTTGCTATTCTTGGTTTTTCTGCGGTTAATGCTCAAAGTAACACTGGAAACTCATCTGACTCTAGCACTTACAGTGTTGATACTGCAGCTTATTATGGCGTTAACTTTGATGAGCTGCAAGGATATGTCACTTCTGGAAAGACTTTAACAGTCACAGTTACCTCTTGTCCTAACCATGCTTGTGAGCAGCCTGAGACAATTGTCACTGTCACTGAATGTCCAGTTCTTTTTCCTACAACACAATCTGATCAACCTTTTACAACTCTTATTCCTCAAACCATCTATCCTACCTCTCAAACATCTACAACTTCTACATCTCAAGTTCCCAGTTCTAGTCCTAGTACAAGCCCAAGCACGTCTGCAGAACCTGTTTCCCCTGTTACTGTCTACACAACTGTGAAGGAGCCCACTACTGTTATTGAAACTTCTACTCTTCTTAGTACTGTTATCTCCGTTTCGGAAGGCACCAATTTTACTATCACTGAGTCCCACAGTACGACAACCACGCAGATAGTCACGGAATCACACAGCACCACTCAAACTGTCATTGAAACTCAGCCGACAACTATTGTATCTGAGTCAACTGTTATTGACAAAGAAACTTTTGTTTCAACTGTGGAAAAAGAAGTTACTGTCTATTCTACTTACACTACTGAAAAAGCGGGCGTTAACTACACTTATACTGAGCTTGTTACTAACACTCAAACACTCCCGACTACTATTGTTCAGACACAAACTCAAGTTCAAACAGTGGAGCAGCCCACAACTATTGTACAAGAGTCTACTATTGTTCAAACTCAACTTCAAACTGTTCCAACAACTGTTTACAACGAAAAAACAATTGTTCAAACTCAGGTTAATACTGTTACTGATGTTGTTACTTACACTACCGAAAAGGCTGGTCAACCAGTTACTGTTGTTGAGACTCAGACTGCTCTTCAAACCGTTCCTACCACTCTTGTTCAAACTCAAACTCAAATTCAAACTCAGGTTCAAACTGTTCCTACTACCATTGTACAAGAATCTACTATTGTTCAAACTCAACTTCAAACTGTTCCAACAACTGTTTACAACGAAAAAACAGTTGTTCAAACTCAGGTTAATACTGTCACTGATGTTGTTACTTACACTACTGAAAAGGCTGGTCAACCAGTTACTGTTGTTGAGACTCAGACTGCTCTTCAAACCGTTCCTACTACTCTTGTTCAAACTCAAACCCAAGTTCAAACCCAGGTTTTCACTCAAGTTCAAACTGTCCCTACCACTATTGTTCAAGAAAGCACTATTCTTGTTCCCACCACTGTTTATAATGAAAAGACAATTGTCCAAACTCAAGTCAACACTGTCACTGATGTTGTTACTTACACTACTGAAAAGGCTGGTCAACCAGTTACTGTTGTTGAGACTCAGACTGCTCTTCAAACCGTTCCTACTACTCTTGTTCAGACTCAAACTCTTGTTCAGACCCAAACCCAAGTTCAGACTCAGATTCAAACTCAAGTTGTACCTACTACTGTTTACAATGAAAAGACCGTTGTCCAAACTGTTCAAAATACCGTTACTTCTGTTACTACATACACAACGCTCAGCCAAAGTCAGATTTGCACAGTTACTGAGACTCAAACTTCTGTGCAACATGTTCCTACTACTGTTGTTCAAACCCAAGTTTTGACCTTTTATAATACTGTTCCAACTACTGTTCCAACTACTGTTTACAACGAAAAGACAATTGTTCAAACTGTCCCCACTACTATTGTTCAAACCGTTCCCACTACTGTTGTTCAGACAGTTGAAAACACAGTTACTTCTGTAACTACATACACAACGCTTAGCCAGGGTCAGATTTGTACAGTCACTGAGACCCAGACTTCTGTTCAGCAGGTTCCTACAACCCTGGTTCAAACTCAGTATCAGACTCAAGTTCAAACTCAAATTCAAACTCAAGTTCAGACTCAAGTTCAAACTCAAGTTGTTCCCACTACTGTTGTTCAAACTGTTGTTCAAACTGTTGAGCAACCTGTTACTATTGTCAACACCGTCACTAGTGAGAAAGAAGGTAAAGTTGTCACTGTCCTTCAGACTCAGACTTCAATCCAACAAGTTCCCACCACAATTGTTCAGACTGCTGTTCAAACCCAAGTTCAAACCCAAGTCCAGACTCAGGTTCAAACTCAGGTTGTTCCCACTACTGTTGTTCAGACCCAGGTCTTGACCCAAGTTCAAACTGTTCAGCAGCCCGTTACATATACCACTGAAAAAGAAGGTAAAGTTGTTACCGTTGTTGAAACACAGACAGCTCTTCAAACTGTTCCTACTACTGTTGTTCAAACCCAAGTTCAAACTCAAGTTCAAACTCAAGTTGTTCCCACTACTGTTGTTCAAACTGTTGTTCAAACTGTTGAGCAACCTGTTACTATTGTCAACACCGTCACTAGTGAGAAAGAAGGTAAAGTTGTCACTGTCCTTCAGACTCAGACTTCAATCCAACAAGTTCCCACCACAATTGTTCAGACTGCTGTTCAAACCCAAGTTCAAACCCAAGTCCAGACTCAGGTTCAAACTCAGGTTGTTCCCACTACTGTTGTTCAGACCCAGGTCTTGACCCAAGTTCAAACTGTTCAGCAGCCCGTTACATATACCACTGAAAAAGAAGGTAAAGTTGTTACCGTTGTTGAAACACAGACAGCTCTTCAAACTGTTCCTACTACTGTTGTTCAAACCCAAGTCCAGACTCAAGTTCAGACACAAGTTCAGACACAAGTTCAAACTCAAGTTGTTCCTACAACTATTGTTCAGACTCAGGTCTTGACTCAAGTTCAAACTATTCAAACCCCTGTTTATGTCACTGCCACGTATACTACTGAAAAGGAAGGTCAGATTGTTACTGTCACTGATATTCAAACATCAATTCAAGAAGTCCCCACTACAGTGCTTCAAACTCAAGTAGTTACTCAAGTTAACACTCAGACTGTTGAACATCCAACCACTGTTATTCAACCCACTACTGTGATCGAAACTCAAGTAATCACTCAGCTTCAAACTGTAGTTCAAACTGTAGTTCAAACTGCTGTCCAAACTGTCACAGATTTTAGTACTTATACTACGGAGAAACAGGGTTCTGTTGTCACTGTTACAGATGCCTATACCTCGGTTCAGACTGTGCCCACCACTCTTATTCAAACGCAGTTGCAAACAGTCCCCACCACTATTGTTCAAACTCAGTACATTACTCAATTGCAAACAGTCCCAACTACTATCCTTCAAACAGTTGAGATTCCCACAACTATTAACAATGTTGAGACTATTGTTCAGACAGCTTTCCAAACAGTAACCGAGTTTAGCACTTACACCACAGAAAATCAGGGAGAAGTAGTTACCGTAAGTGAAGCTTATACTTCAGTTCAGACGGTTCCAACTACTATTGTTCAAACCCAGGTGCAAACACAGGTTGAGACTCAAGTACAGACTCAAGTTCAAACTCAAGTCCTAACTCAGGTTCAAACTGTTCCAACAACTGTTCTTCAGCCTACAACCATTATCCAGCCCACTACCATTGTTGAACCCACTACTATTGTTCAAACAGTAGAAAATACTGTTACTCAAGCAACAACATACACCACCGAAGAGGGTGGTGCTATTGTTACTGTTACTGAGCAAGTAACTAATGTCCAAACTGTTCCTTCCACAATTGTTCAAGATAATACAATTATTCAACAAGTCACTGTTACTCCTGCTCCAACAACGGTTACACAAACTCCCGTTACTCAAGCCCCTGTTGCTACACCATCTTCCCCTACTACCCCAACTACTATTTCGCCAGTCGAGACTTCTCCTGTGCCCGCCCCTGAACAATCTTGTTCTCATGTCACTATTTATGTCACACTTCCTCAAGCTACTGTCACGGTTACTGCTCAGCCTTCTGCTGCTCAGTCATCTACTGCTCAGCCTTCTAGTGTTCAACCGTCTTCCGCTGCTCAAGCACCAGTTAACCCAGTGACTTCGTCATCAGCTTCAAGCTCTGTGTCTGTGCCAGCAGTTGTTTCATCAACGAACTCAACTGTTCTCACGCCAAGTGTTGCTCCTGTTCCAGTAAACGGAGCTACTTCTATCAATATTAGCATCTTCACTGCACTTTTTGCATCAGTGTTCGTCCTTCTTTTTTAACTTAACTAGCATGACGATAATTTTTTAATTTCTTCTTTACGTTCCTTTAAAAAAAATCCCATTGTAATGATTTAATGTTTAGGATTTTAAATTTTAGATACAAAAATTAATAATTTTTATATGATTTTAATGATGATTTTTAAATAATTTTTATTGAATAAAGCTTTGGCTGTGCTTTTAAAGAGCTCCCAAAAAACTTTAATGAGCCTAGGAAATAATATTCAATTTAAGACAGGAAGTCCAAAACAAGATCAATCAAAATATGTGAACCAAAACAATCTTTGTTAATAATAATAATGTGTCAAATCTCAAAGTTATTTTTATTAAATTTTTTTTTTTTTTGGTTTGCAAAATGTTTCTATTTCGAATTATTAAAAAAACAAAAAAAAAATGAAACAAGAGAAAAAAAAATTATAGGGTGCATATTATCATCATTATCACCACTGCTCTTGTAAAATTTACTTATATATAAGTATATAAGTATATAAGTAAATAATAACAATTATTCTAAATAATAATATTATTAATTATTAAAATATATGTCATTATTAATACTTTAAGTAGCTAAGCTAGAATAATTATTCTACTTAATTTGTCCACTTTACTGATGTCAAGATGAACTTTATTGGTTTCATTTTGTTAAGATAGAACTTTAATGTGGGGGGTCAGTTCTTATTACAAATTAATTACTGCCGCGTTATCTTGTTACAAATATCACCATTAGTTCACAGGATGGAATTTCCCAAATCGTATTACTAATACTAATCGAATTGATTGTAACTCTGTTTTTTCTCTATTTTCTTCCTTTGTTTTTTTGAAAGTATTTTGATACCTAACGTTTTTCAATTTTCTAACCACAAAAGTTTGCTCAATGCTTCGGCTAAAGGCCATTTCACGCCAATTTATTTTAACTAATTTTACAAGTTCTACTTCAACGAAACAAACATTTGTTAAAGCTGCAAACATGTCTACCTCTGCAGTTGATACTACCGGGTTTAAATACAACCACACCATGATTCGCATTAAAGATCCTAAGATTAGCGTTCCTTTTTACGAAAAAAATTTTGGCATGAAGTTGTACGGAAAATATTCTTTTAAAGGATTTGGATTTGACATCTACTATCTTGGCATTGAAAGTGCAGTTCCCGCTGGAACTCCATGGTACAAGAGGGAAGGGCTTCTGGAGCTGACTCATAATTATGGAACTGAGAATGATGAATCTTATACCTTGAATAATGGCAACAAAGAACCTCATCGTGGCTTTGGTCATATTTGCTTCAGTGTTGATAACATTACTGTTGCTTGCACTCGTCTTGAAGATAATGGTGTCAAGTTTCAAAAGAAATTGACAGATGGTCGTCAAAAGGATATTGCTTTTGCTCTCGATCCTGATGGATACTGGATTGAATTAATTTCTAACAAAAGCATTGAACCTAAGGCAGAAACTACTGATATTACCAAATACAAGTACAATCATTCCATGATTAGAGTCAAAGATATTAAGGCTTCTCTTAAGTTTTACCAGGAAGTTCTTGGAATGAAACTTATTAGAACTTTGGAGTTTCCCGAAGCCAAATTCTCTTTGTACTTTTTAGGTTACTCTGACACTCCAAATGAGGAGGATCATTCTAATCGTGAAGCTCTTCTGGAATTGACTCATAACTGGGGTACCGAGAATGATCCTGATTTTAAGTACCACAATGGTAACGATGCCCCTCAGGGTTATGGCCATATTGGTCTTACTGTGCCTGATGTACCAAAGGCAATGGCAGAATTTGAGGCTGCTGGTGTCTCCATTAAAAAGAGGGTTACTGATGGCAAGATGAACTTTATTGGTTTCATTTTGGACCCAGACAACTACTGGATTGAAATTCTTCCCGATCAAGATCTCCCCGAAATTAAATGGGACTAATAGCTTTGGCATCATTATTATATATTTGAATAGAAACAATAATATTTGAAGTAGTTATTTTTCATCAGAAATAAATTTAAGGGAAATACTATTAACACAGTGTCGCTCATCTGTTGGTGTGGGAAAGCCTTCGCCTTTAAAGACATGGCCTAAATGGCCACCACAGTTGCCACAAACCATTTCTGTTCGATCCATGCCCATAGAGGTGTCTTTATTCAATTTAATAGCTCCCGGAATTGCCTCGAAAAATGCAGGCCACCCACATCCACTATCAAACTTGGTTTCAGATTTGTATAATGGGTTATCACAAGCAGCACAATTGTAAGTGCCTTCTTCTTTATGTTTATTGTATTCTCCAGTGCCAGGTCTTTCAGTTCCCTTTAATCGAAGAACATAAAATTGTTCTGGAGAAAGAGTTGCACGCCACTCAGCTTCAGTTTTTTTAACTTTGAAATCAGACATTTGTGAAGTATATGTAGTGAAGGATTGCTTTGAAACGCGAGTTAGACAATAGGGCGCAGAGTAAACGTATGAACTAATAGAGGATCTAACAACTCGTTTAAATACTACTCCTAACATACTAAAGTTTTATTTAAAAAATTTGGATTATTCTGTTTTTTGCCACTTAAAAAAAAGTATTGTAATTGATCAAGAGTTTGCTCTGCCACTAAATTTATAATGACAAAAAGATGGAGAAAGAATGTGAGACTTATTTTTTTTTTGGTTGCAATAGCCGTTGTAGGACAAAAGTGTTGAGCCGCAATAAAGTTCTTATCTTGGTAATTTTTTTATTTGAGAAAAAAAATTTTTTAACCTTACAATAGATTTTAAAGGATCTCTCATAAAGGTATCTTTTAAATTAACAAAAAAATGACAGATACTAAGAAAGACCCTGAAAAAAAGCCTGAATCCACAAACAAAGGCACTGATACCAAAGGAATCATAAAAGATAAGAAGAGCTCTGGAGATTCAAAGCCAGCCTCTAAAGGAATTTCAAAGGGCACGAAAAAGCCTTTTAAAAAAGGCAAGAAATTTTTGAAAAATAAAAAAAAGCAGCTAAAAAAAGAGCTTTCCCCTGATGATGGAGTAGGTGGGATCATCACGTTAGATGCTGATAGCTTAAGCTGGAATTCTGTTGATATTGATCGGCGTGTGAACGACTTTGAAGGTTTTTTTGGTTTAGAAGAGCTTGAGGGTGTATCCGTGGAGCGCCAGGACGATGGAAAAATCAAGTTTATTCAAAAAGAGAAGAAGAATCATCAACGTGATATTTCAAAGATTGATAAGGTTGAAAATAATAATGAAGATGTGATCAAATTAGAAGAAAATTGCGACGAGAAAGATATTTCCAAGGAAAACGATGTTCATATAACAGATCAACAAAAATCAAAGGGTGAAGCAAAAAATGACGTTAAATTGAAAAATGAAAATGATGATATTGAAACAGAAAAAGAAATAAACAAAAAATTTAAAGACGAAGAAATCAAGGGTGAAGATGAAGTTGATGATGTTTTTACAACACTAGAAGATGTTAAAGTTGACATTTCCAAACTTGAATGGGATTTCAAAGATGATGGTGCTACTAAACTATCTGAGTATGCTAACAAAGCTCTTGCAGCTCTTAATTTTAATAAGCCTACAGAAATTCAGATTCAAACCATTCCACTGATTCTCCAAAATCATGACGTTATTGGCAAAGCAGCAACCGGGTCTGGAAAGACGCTTGCTTATGGTTTACCTATTTTAGAAAAACATTTAGCACTTATTAAAGATCTACAAGGTAATAATGTCATTAAAGATTGGCCTACTGCAATTATTTTTAGCCCTACTCGCGAGCTAGCCATTCAAATTGTCAAACATATATCTGCCCTTGCAAAATATTATCCTTTAATTAAGGGAAGCTCAGGTGTTGTCCCTATTACTGGAGGTCTATCAATTCAAAAGCAACAGAGATTGGTACAGAACAAACCAGCTGTAATAGTCGCAACACCTGGTCGATTTTTGGAACTGTTGGAAAGCAATAATAAAATCATTGAATTCTTTTCTAAAGCTGAAGTCATGGTTCTTGACGAAGCTGACCGTATGCTTCAAGAAGGTCATTTTAAAGAGCTGGAACAAGCATTAGATTTACTTGGCCGTGGAAAAAAATCAAAACGTCAAACACTGGTATTTTCTGCAACTTTTCAACGCGACTATATGAACAAACTTGGATCTAAGAATAAAACTAACATCGGTTCAAGTGGTCGTTTGTCGTCTAATGAAGACGCTATAGTTTTTTTGAAAAAGAAGCTCAGATTCAAGGAGAAAAATCCGTCATTTGTGGACGCCAACCCTGCTGAAGCTGTCGCTAGCAAAGTTCATGAGGCAATTATTGAATGTGGTGCTATGGAAAAGGATCTTTACCTTTACTATTTTACACTCCTGTATCCGGGCCGTACAATTGTTTTTGTCAACAGTATTGATGCTGTCAAAAGATTACAGCCGCTATTAAGAGAGCTTGGAATCGCGTCAACTGGTCTTCATTCTAATATGGTACAAAAACAAAGACTGAGATCTTTAGAAAAATTTCGAGAAAATGAAAATTCTGTCCTTATTGCTACTGATGTTGCCGCTCGTGGTTTAGATATCCCCATGATTCAGCACGTTGTACACTATAACCTTCCTCGTACAGCCGATATGTACGTTCATAGATCAGGACGTACTGCCCGTGCCGGATCCGAGGGTGTTTCTGTTATCATCTGTTCCCCAGAAGAAGCTTCTGGACCACTGGTAAAACTCAAACGAGTGTTGTATCGTGATCAAGTTAGAAACAATAATCCTTTATCAGCTTTTGACGTGGATTACGATGTAATTAAACGCATTCGCCCCCGTGTTGTCATTGCAAAAAAAATTTCTGATTCTGTACAGGAATCTACTTACAAGGGTAAAGATACAAATTGGCTTCATGAAGCTGCTAATGATCTCGGTATTGATTTAGATGAGCTAGCAGACTCTTCTAAAAAGCAGAAGGGCTGGATGCCTTTTGAGAAGAAAGACCAAGAAAAGAAAATTCTGCGAAAAGGTGATTTACGCAACCTTCGCGAAGAGTTGGATGAACTTTTGGCTAAACCTGTTCTTAACCGATCCGGAAAATATTTGACTAATGGTTCTGTTAATCTTGCTCAAATGGTAGTTACCGGTCAATCACATAATGCAGTGATTGGCAAAGAAAAGTCTTCAGCTCTTGAAAGTTTGACAAACCCACGAAAAAAACAAAAAAAATAGTGTACCTTTACGATGAAAATAAGGATAGAAAAAAGGGCATATTTAAATCATTCATGTAAAAAATTTAGGTTAAAAAAAATAACAAAAAATTATAAAACAGTTGCTTTACATAATTTAAAAGTCGTCATCATAGTATTCATCATCACTGTCATCAGCAAGTTGCTCAAAGTTAACCTTGTATCTTAAGATGGCGCCAATACCACCAAATCCCTTAACGAACTGAGCACCTTCACTACTCTTGTCTGTAACAAACTCAAGGGCAGCACCAAAGTCTCTATACTTCTCAGCAAGCCACTCAAGAAGAGGTTGCTCTTCAACGATTTCAAGCTCAGCACCAGTGTTCTTGTCAAGAAGGTGGTCCTTATTAGCAGCATCACGAGGAGCGTGAACAATAATGGGAGTTTCACTCTCGGGATCCTTGAGAGTATAACGGATAATGTCCAGATTTTCGTAAACAATGACAGTTTCGCAGGCACCAAGATCCAGTGCCTTGAGGGTATCGTCAACACCGTAGCAGAATTTACCACTGTCCTGGGAAATCTCATTAAAGTATTGTGTGATAAGCTTCTTTTCTTGAATGAACTTGACGTTAGCCAGAGTTTCAGCTGAAAGCTCAATAGCTTGATTGAAACCATTTTCACCGCCGTAAGAAACATCTACAACCTTGATGATCTTAGCCTGAAGACGGTTGTCAAACATATCAGAAGTTGAAAGTTCAGTTTTAAAATCAGCAGAACCGGCAAGAATTAAACCATTGACATTGACTTTGTCATTGGTGATGAAATTTTGAACAGCAACTTCAGCAACCTTGCGAACGTAATTATGACGCTTTTCATCACGAAGACGAGCAAAACGAAGCGCAGACTGACCACCACGACCGTGCTTCTTAGGGAGATCAACAGTGAATTTGTGCAAAACTTCTCTAGTATTACCTGAAAGAGTACCGAAAAGAGCACCGTTACCATCCATAACAATGAAACCAAATTTAGAATCACTTTCAAGTAACTCTGACAGAGCTTCTGTGTGGAATTTGTTATCGCAAAGATAGAGAGATGTGTTGATTGGTTTAAAGGGCTCAAAATCAATGTTGACTTTTCTTTCCTTGCCTTCGGCAGTTAAAATTTCACCACAGTAAATGACCAAGCCATTAGGGGGGACTCTGTTGTACAGCTTCAATTTTTGTTGTGTAGATGTGATAGCAGACAAAACTGAAAGTCTGTTAACTCGAGACTTGATGTTGGAGGCAGTACCATATTCATCAGCCAACATCTTGTTGATAAGAGGAATCTGACCCTTAGGAGCTATAATTTCAAGTTAGAAATATGTTTGAAATTAAAAAAAAATTCCACGTACGAATAATAAGGGAGATCATGGAAGTTCCGTTACCACGGGCAAGTTCCAAGCTTTATATTAAATTTGTTAGAAATGATATCCTTTTCAGAAAAGAAATAATTAATTAAATAAAATCACCAAAAATGATTTTGTTTAATCATATAGAGAACTAACCTCTTAATGAGCCTAAAAAATAAGCATGTTAGTATTTGATATTTTTACAATAATAAAGTCTTTAGCTATAAAATCTCGGTCTATTTTCAATAATCTTAGGTATTTTTAAAAAAAAAAATTTAATGTAAATTCCTTTGGTGAAATTTTTCTGTTTTTCGAGCTAGTACAAAATATGGGAAAGAAATGAGCAGAAACTGGTTGGTTGAAAGTATCGCTTTAATTTTCAATTAATGTATAAAACAAGTCGTGAGTAAGGTAATCAGTGTCGATTCAGGTATACTTCAAATCAAAAAATTTTAATGAAAAATAGCAAGTTCCAAATGTTCTAAAGGCGAAAAACAAGTTGATGGTGCATACTTTTTGATCTTCCACATTTCGATGTTCTTTTCGGCATCGGTTTCTGGAACAGCTGGAGCCATCTTGAAAATTTATCACTAATTTCAATTAATAGATGATACTAATACTGCGGCTGGGTAGGTGGCGAATATTCAAAAGGCCAGCTAAAATGATGTGATGGTAAAATGTAAAAGGGAAAGAAAAGAAAAAAAATTTTAAGGTGCACACAAAGTCCTGATCAACTCCTAAAATCCCCCGTGTCACTATGACTATGCGAATCCAGCGCTATCACTGAAAAATTTCAAAAAGAAAAAGGAAAAAAAAATTCTAACTTTGTTACAAAAGTTGAATTAATCTGTAATACAATGTAATATTAAACCGTTGCATTGACAACCGCAATAATACGAAGTTTAAATCACATGATAAATTACATTACAATGTTTAAAATTTGTTGTAATAAATGCTTTATTAGCCTCTTTTTTAATTTTTAAAACACCGCACCAAAAAGTCCAAAAAAAAAAATTAAGCACATCAGCTAAGCCCTTTCAACCACGCTGGCCGTGACCATAACCTCCACAAACACAGCCTTTTTTGCAAGACTTCTCCCCCCTCCCCAACCCATATCACAGGATTATTCCCCAGTTTCTTAACGCCATAATCTATAATCCTACATAATGGATAGCGACAGCGATAGCGACAGACCCGTTGAGGTCAAACAGAAGTCCCGAAAGCCTCCTAACACCGCGTTCCGACAGCAGCGTCTTAAAGCCTGGCAGCCTATCCTCACTCCTAAGACAGTTCTGCCACTGTTTTTTTGTGTCACAATAATATTTGCTCCTCTGGGAGGCGTCATGTTATGGGCTAGTAACCAAATACAGGAGCTTAGGATTGACTATTCGTATTGTGAGACTGAAGCAACAGACACGCTTTCAGAGATCCCAAGTAAATATTATAACTACCACTTTGACAACAATGCTCAACCTAGCAACAAGCCCCAGTGGCGTATCGTCGACCAGGCAGATAACTATACCGTTAATACATTTGGCATCAATATTCCTGTCAGCAAGGTTTGCCAGTTGCAATTCGATATTCCTACTAACATGGGTCCCCCAGTTTATATGTTTTATCGTTTGACCTCTTTTTATCAAAACCATAGACGCTACGTTCAGTCCTATAATGAAGATCAAATCAATGGAAAGGCCGTGACTAACAGCTCTCTTAAAAGCAAAGACGACTGCAAGCCTCTAACGTTAAATCCAGACGGTATTGCTTACTACCCATGCGGCCTTATTGCCAATTCTTTCTTTAACGATACATTTTCTTCTCTTGTCCTTCTTAACCCCTCTGCAGGCCAATCTGAAGACTACTTTGATATGACTGAAAACGGTATTGCTTGGGCTACTGATAGAAATCGTTTTAAAAAGACTCAATACAATGCCAGTTCTGTTGTTCCACCTCCAAATTGGGCTAATATGTTCCCCAACGGATACACAGAAGATAACATGCCAGATATTGAAAACTGGGAATCGCTTCAAAATTGGATGCGCACAGCCGGCCTTCCTACTTTTTCTAAGCTTGCACGCAGAAATGACGATACCGTTTTGCTTCCCGGAACTTATCAAGTGGATATCGGCACTAATTTTCCCGTGACTAAATACCGAGGCTCTAAGTCTCTTGTGCTTACTACCCGAAGTGTTCTTGGTGGACGCAACCCATTTTTAGGTATTGCATACCTTGTCATTGCCGGTATTACTTTTGCACTTGGTATGATCTTCTTGGTTAAGCATTTGATTAAACCTAGAAAGCTTGGTGACCATTCCTATTTGACTTGGAATAATGAGCAGTCTGCCACTGGTACTTCTTCGGGTGTCGGAAGAGATGCGGATGGCCTGCGCAACCGTTAATGGAATTAATGATTGAAGAAGTTTGAAAAAAAAAAAAAAAAAGTTACATTTAAAATTATACAACCACTTGCATTCTAATTTGTAAAGTCAGCTATGGAATGAAAAGTTTAAGTATAACATTCGGAGATTTTTTCATAGGAAATTCATAAAGATTTTTTTTTTAAAATAAGCGTCTAAAAGTAAACATTGTAAAAAGGGACATTCAAACTTACTTTAATTAATGGGCTGTGCCACGTGATGTGAAATTGTAGAGAATCAAATCGTCCTCTCCGCCTTAAATCGTTTTCTTCATCTTGTACAGCGTGTTCGACAAGCATATCCTTGCACGACAAAACCATTTGCTTCAGTTGGTTCTGTTTAATCTAAATACAAACAATTTTTTCTATGCTTTTTTTAGAATAGAGTGTCATCATTCTATATTTTTTCACTTTTCATTTTCATTTTATATCGTTTTATTCTACTTTGCTAGTAAATACCTCGTTTTTTTTTGCGCATTTTTTTCTCATTGCTTAAAGTTTTAAATACAATCACCTTTTTGGCTTTATTTGCTATTGATAAATATCCTGTATTTAACGATGTTTTCAGGTACAGTACGATATGGTAGCATGAGTAATGGCTCTAAAGCATTTAATAATACCCCTGTTAATGGAAATGGTCCTAGTGGCGCTTTAAGCAGCTCTGGGAAACCCGGCACCAATGGAACGTCATCTTCTGTGTCTTCAATAACTCTTGTAGATATTGATGAAGATGATGTGCGTGTTTTAGAAGCAACTCTTTCTAAGGTTGGCTCGCTGGCGGACCAAATTACTTCATCGCTACATAAGCTTGGTCTCAGTGCTTCAGCAGCCGAGCGTGCTATCAAACCAATTGCAGGAAAAGCCCAAATGCTTAATATTTATGAACAAAGTAAGTTTTCTATTTGTATATTTGATATTTACTAACTTCTATGTAGATTTGATGTCTAGTTTGGAAGTGGTTGATGGAATCAAAGACTACGCAAAGCTTACCGAAGAGTGTGGTGTCCTTATAAATGCAGGGTATGCTTTATTACTTTTTTCAAAGATTTAATCTAACAGCCAGAAGACCTGAAAAAGTTGGCATTCAAGAATATTCAAACGCTATAACACGATTAGATAGTGCTCTAGAAGAGCTTAAATCATCACGGTTAAACACATTTTTTAAAGTCATTGACAAGGCAGTAAGTATGCTTGATTTTTCAAAACATATATATTAATAACTTGTTAAAATCAATAGGAAACACTTCGACGAAAGGGAATTACCTCAGTTAAGGAAAACTTTCGACATGAACTGGCTCAATTTTTTAATCCTATAAATGCATCAGATTACATGGATAGCCAGCAACTTTTTCCTATTCTTCCTAAGAAAACAGTCACTAAATTAAAGCAAATGTATGCGTTTTTCGAAATCCATCATTGCGATGGTATTGATGAAATTTATTATGAAATTTCATCACGTTATATTCTTGCATCTCTGGCACCAATTGCATCGAAAATTCCTAAAGGTGGTAGCACAGCATCACAGGATTTGACAAACGGGGCCGGTCAAAATGGAACTGGCGCTATCACAATGTACATGGACGCGTTAGGCCGCTTTTTTGTTGCTGAAGTGACAAATGCTCAACAACTTTTCGATCATGATGATAATATGACGGCCAAATACTTTGACGAAATTTCAAATTTGTCGATATCAGAATTATTTACAATCACAAACCAACTTATATCGGACTACTTGACCAAGAGACCGTTAGCTAAAGAGGCTCCAATTGCGTTTGAGCTTCTCGAAGCAATCACGAAGTTGCTTGGAATTTTTAGTCAGTTTAGTCAGCGGCCTGTCCCTGCACGTTTAACACAAGCACTTCATACATCACAGACAGCAGTTCAAAATGTTTTTGCTGACATGATTAAATATATTGAAACAAGAGTTGAGACAGCTCAAACTAATGTTATTATGGAGAACGGTGTGTCGGATGCTACAGTGGATGTGATGAAAAGGCTTAGTCGATTGTCACAGTATCGATCGACGGCACTAGTTGGTATTAGCTCTATGGCTCCTGGTTCCTGGTTAAGCACACCAAAACCCAAGTGGGCGTCCTTGATACCCTCTACCAATAGTGGCAATCATCTTGTACAAGAACGAGCAGCTGGAAACTCCGTAGAACTTCTTGCAGTGTATTTTGGTGATTGTATTGATGCGTTGATGCTCTCTTTAGAAATCAAGGCCAAGATATTACAAAAAAAGACTATGCAAGTTGGGTTCTTTGTTTTAAGTAACTTGGAAGTTGTTGAACACTATGTTACGTCATCAGATATTTACAAGATTTTAGGCAACACTGGTGCTGAGAGACTGGAAAAACTACGAAAACGCGAAGTGGATATGTTTTTGGATGGGTGGAAGAGTGTTGCCTCATTGTTGATGGATAGTACATCAATTTCAGGCAAGGGAACATTGAGCGGCAAGGATCGTGAACTTATTAAGGAAAAGTTCAGAACTTTCAATACAGAGTTTGAAAACCTGATCAAGACTCACAAGGCATACAATATTACCAATCAGTCACTGCGAGCACAATTGGCTAAAGAAGTACGGTTTATATCACCCTTATATCACAGATTTTACGATAAACATTCTGGCGGTGACTTTTCAAAGCATGTGGATAAATATATCAAATTTAACAAGCAAGAATTTGACCGCATGCTAGAGTCTCTTGAGTAATTATATAAATAAAAAAAATTAGTTAATACGTTCCCTGGGATTCTATATACTGCTCAGCAGCGGCTTTTATCGCGAGATTTGGAATGAGATCCTGCTCGGTTAGGTGTTCGCGGGAAAAGGGATCTGTTTTGGATGAGCGCAAGTGTTCAAGTATCCAACTGCGCTCGTATGACTGACCGGATTTAGTGATAACTGGATCAACAAAAAGGTTGAAAGAGATAGGGTCTAAAAGGTACTCTGGAACTGGTTTAGGATTCAGTGGAGCACCAGTTTCTGAAGAAGAAACGTTTGCTGCATGATCAAATGTTGCTTTAAGTTCTTTAATTTTGCGCTGTGTATCGCTGTCAAGAAAAGAGATTTCATCTTTGTATTCCTCAGGGGAAAGAGAACCATCGTCGCGCTGCTTAGCAAATTCGGCCGCACTGGCAGCTTTCTTTTCCTCTAAGAGATCGATAAGTTCTGCAAGGAGCGGTTGAGCATCGCGTAGTCTTTGGCGTTCGTCTTGTTCCCATTTCATTTTGCGAAGTTGCAAAATGGCTTCAGAAATGTGAGGCGAAGACTTTGAATGTTGTGCCAATGATAGCTCGTAAGCACGTGCAAGATTAACATCGGCTTGATTAAGACGTCCCATCTTTGTAAGGGCAAGTCCTAGCTTGAAGAACGTTAGAATAAATCAATTAGGGATTAAGCTGACTATTAGATGCTTACATAGTAGTGGCCCTTTACTATATGAAAAGTTAGAAATACTAATAAATATGAATAAATTTCAAAACTCACAAGAACTTTTGTCTAATTCAATAGCGTGTTGGGCATCGTTTTTGGTTTCTTCGTACTTATTAAGTCGATAGTAACACAGCGACCGCTAAAGTTGATTAGATTAATTTTTGCTAATTAGGTTTGTTTAAAAGTGGTCCCCAACATACATTAGTGTAGTAAACAGGATTTGACGAATCTTTGATGATTCTGAAGACAGTTAACCAATATGTAGATATTTCTGAAAATAATGGACTTACGCATTCGTATATTCCTAAAGTGAGGTGTTATTATTAGTTGAGTATGTAAAACGGTGAAATGTTTAACTTACAGTAATGGCATCTTGGTAATCGCCGTTGGAAAAAAAAGTGTTTCCTTTCTGAAAAAAATAATTAGAAAAAAAACCATCACATTTCTATAAAAAAAAAAGATTACCTACTTGTTTGTGTTCTTCAGCAGTATTTATTGCCATTTTCTAAAGGTACTGTATTCTATGGAAGATCTATGCTTAGTACTTGAGTGGTGATCTTTACGTTTTTGTTTTGGAGGGTGATGATTTCAACCTACTCCGCCTTTTTACAAGAAAACCTTCCAGGAACTTCCATTACGTAATTTCAAGATATATTGCATCTGATACTCCCACCATTATTATTGTAAACAAACTTCAAATCGACATACTGTCACCACCATGAATCAACACCAGCAGAAAGATTACCAACAACAAAGAACAAGCAGTAATACGGCAGCACTTGCTGCTCATGTTGCAGAAAAAAAGCGTGAGCTTGCAGGTTTCCAGGAGCTCGTATTTTTAAGTGACAACTTGGTGCAACAACTATCTGAATATGCAGAAAATGCAGACTCTTTAGCAAGCGGAACGGAAGCTGTAGCCGCTGTTTTAAAGAACTGGTCTAATGTTATTCGTGCAGTGACTCTGGCTAACTGTAAGTGAACTTTTTGAAGAACTTTTATCATTTTGCCGTTTTTAACTGTGAGCTGAACAAAAAAAACTAGCCAAAATCACTAATTTGACTCAAGAAGACTACGATGACGTAGCTAAACCTCCACTTCCTGAGATTCTTGTTCGAAAACGTCTTGATTGAAACAATAATAATAACAACAACAACAACAACAAAAAAAAAAAAAATGGAGAAGAATAAATAAAAAGATTAATTTTGTATTCTTTGATGGCCAAAAAGCATTGAGATGATTATAACTGTTCTCATATTTTCTGTTGTTCTTTCCAGAACATATACTTGAATTATCCTGCTTCTTCTCGAACCTTCGATATTTCCACGTGACCTTAAAGAATCTGCCAGACTGTGCGAGTACTTTCTGGGGTACACGAGAATGGACCAAAGTTCACACCATTTCCCATTTTAAGAGGCCTATATAAATAAACAGGCCAGACCTTGCTGGCAACTTTTTTTTTCTTGTTTCTTATATATTTATACATCTCAATTAATACAATAGAAAACAACTCAATTCATATTTACATTTACTTTACACACTACACATCACACAATGGTTAAAGATAAGAAGTTATACGACTTGCTGGGCGTTGCTCCCGACGCTTCAGAAAATGAGCTCAAAAAGGCTTACCGCAAAATGGCCTTAAAGTTCCATCCCGACAAACCAACCGGTGACACAGAAAAATTCAAGGAAATTTCAGAAGCCTATGATATTTTGTCTAACCCTGATAAACGTCAAATTTACGATAGTTATGGTTTAGAGGCTGCTCGCCATGGCGGGCCTATGCCTGAGCCTGATGCCCAAGGTGGTGCTGGTGGTGCTGGTGGCATGCCAGGTGGCTTCCCGGGTGGTTTTTCTTCTGGTGGCACACCGTTTTCTTTTTCGTCGGGCGGGCCCGGCGGTGCTCGCTCATTCCATTTCTCAAGCAGCGGTGGTCCAGGAGGCAACCCATTCCATGCCTTCTCCTCTAATGATGCTTTTAACATATTTTCACAATTCGCACAGTCTGAGGACCTGGGCTCAGATGATGACGACATTTTCAACGCTCCACGCGGAGGCGGTGGTATGCCCTTTGGATTTGGTGGATTTAGCGGTGGAAGCCAACGAGGCAGACAGCAATTTCAATCTGCAGGGGTTCCCGGGGCTGGTGGCCACCCCAAGCGTGAAAAGTCATCTGTAACTGTCAAGCTGCCACTGACACTTGAAAACCTTTATACTGGCATTACCAAAAAGATGAAGATTCACCGACGAAATGCTCAAGGCCAAAGTGAGGAAAAGATTTTAAGCATCACAGTTAAGCCCGGTTGGAAGGCTGGCACCAAAATCACATATGCCAATGAAGGTGATTACATTCCCACAGATGGAACTTATCAAGACATGGTTTTTGTGGTTGAGGAAAAGCCTCATCCAAGGTTCAAGCGTGTTAACAATGACCTTGAAATGGAGATTCGACTGTCATTTAAAGAGGCCATGACTGGTTTCTCTAGAATTGTTGAGACTCTTGACGGCAAAAAGATCAAAGTTGAGAATAAAAGCCCTATTCAACCCGGTCATGTTATTAAGTATCCTGGTGCTGGTATGCCTATCAGCAAGAGTTCTGCCGGTGAGAAGGGCAACCTGCTCATTACAATCAAGGTTGATTTCCCTACTAAACTGACCGATGCCCAACGTAAGGCCATTGAAGACAACTTTTAAAGATGCTATAAAAATTTAAAAAAAAAAAAAAAAAAAAAAATAATAATAATAATAATAATAATAATAATAATAATAATAATAATAATGATAATGATAATGATAATGATAATAAAGATAGAGTTTTGTATAAACATGTGAGAGATCTTTACATCACGATTGCTCTTTTGTAGATTTCATCCATAAGGTTTTTGAGAACCAACGGAATTGTGAAAAGCAACTGTACAGTTAAAGGCCACATATGGTTTTTAAAATCTTAAAAACGAAAACATAAATTTTTACAAGAATATATCAAAGCCAGTTTCCATTCAATTGACTAATAATTAGTATTAAGCCTTTGATATCACCTTGTAAAGCGGGAATTTTAATTCTACAAACAAAGAGGTTAGAGTTTGTTACAGAGTTTGTTACAAATGGATTGTTTCTAGAGCCCTTGTAACATTAACCAAAAAGAATGGGGATGTCCTAAGTAGACTTGAAAATTTTAATAATACTAAGAAAGATAAGTCGGGAACTTTTAACTCAAATGTCAATATATTTATATTGATTTATATCTATTTATATTTGTATTTATAAACGTCATATTTTTAATATATATATTTGCTAGTTTGATCTAAACTTAACAAAACTCTTAATAATGAGTCTAATGAGTCTAATGAGCAAAACATGAATAATTTCCCTTCTGCCTACTACAACCATTTCAATCTAATAAAAATATTCTAAAGAAAAAGTAAGAAACTTGCAATTTCAAATAGCTGTAAGGAAAAGTTCAAGAGTTTTTTTTTCTTCTAATCTTTATTATATTATTTATTTTTTTTTTTAATTGTGACCATATCAATCTTTTCTGTAGCTGGAACAAATTTTGTTTATATGTTTGAGAGTGCCAACAAACCTAAATATAAAAGAGTTAACAAAACAAAATAGTTAAATAAATCATTTAAAACAATCATATAGTCTATATCTTAAAATTTTTCAAGCTTTTTTTAAATGAATTATCATTAAAATTTGAGTCCATGCTCAACCGTTGTCGTAGCGACATCCTGTTGTAATAATGAGATACCAGTCTGAAAACCTAGTTGGAACATCAAAGGCAAAGATAGTACTTAATGACTCTGAGAATGCACATTATAATTTAAAAAAAAAAATATCATATACTTTAATTATAAGATAATAGTTTGGCATTGTTTAGGGGAAAAAAAAATTGAATACTATTCAACAAATAATTTTATTTGCCGGTACTGGCGCTAACCCTTTTTGAAAAGACGATGAAATTCATAGTTAGATTCGCTAGTTAATCTTCTTCCAATTGAGCAATTATTCAAACATGAATATATAAATAATGATAAAAGGCTTAGCTTTAACGATTCTTCTTCAATATCCTGGTAGATTTAATCATTATATAAATTATAACAAACCTAATTATGAAAAATAACCAGTTTATCCTAGTTAAATGAAGCTTTAAAAAATAATATGAGCATATCCATTTTTATTAATTTTTTTTTTTTTTTGCTTTCTTATTTCCTTTTTCCTTTTTCCTTTTTCCTTTGACATTAATTTCAAAGATGGATTTTAGTTTAAATTTTACACACACCTTATTCATGGAATAAGCTATTTAAAAGATGATCTATTGAAAGGCTGAATTGATAATCGCAAAATCATCCTACTTTTCCTCATTTCAAATTCCACATAGAGTTTTGTTTCTGGAATAAATTTTTCAGTTTAGTTTAACTATTTCCAGTCTTTCATAGTGAGATGGTTTAACCTTTATCTTTTTTGTAAAATCGTGAATAAAGCTCATAATTGGATGTTTCCCCTTCTCGTATTGGACAAAAAAAAAAGGCAAATATAGTGAAATCATATAACGCACATCTCAATATCACTTAATCACCTTATTCTTCAAACTTTTTTTTTTAATGTATTTGAATTTAAGCTTTCACATTAACTGTGACCATCATCAAAATGCGTATTCCCAAAACAGATGCATATCATGTATTTTTGCTGCGAGGATCCTGTGAAGCACCTTTGCGCATCCGCGCCTCGCTTTTTTTTTTTTTTTTTTGTATTTTTGCGCAAGGCACAACCTCCCCGATGCGCAAAAATACAAGCGCCCGATGCGCGCCGATGGCTCCGTGCATAGAGCTCTTGCAGATATCTCAAGATTCCCATAGGGTATGGGCTTTGCTAAAGCGCCTTTCGGGAGCGCGCATTCATGCCGGCGAGCAAGGGGTGGAGATGTATGGCCAAGTGTGGCCAAGTGTGGCCAAGTGTGGGAAAGAAGAGGCTGAGAATCCAAACAACAAGCTGGCGATGCGATTACTGAGTGGGACTTTAAGCAAGGGCTAATTATTTGGCTGGAAGGGAAGAATCAGCACGATTCGGGCAATCGAAAGTCTTTCCTATTTATAAGAATGATAGAAAGAAGATTGTTGAAAATTATTACAAGAGGAAATAACTAAATATCACTCTAGCTTCAGGCCATCATCTATAAAAGTTTCAGTATGTAGGATTCTTTTTCTTTTTTTTTTTTTTTTTTTGTTTGAAAAACATATAATTAGCTTTTGTTCTAAACTGGGTTTTCACATAATCATAGCCAAAGTGTACGTTTCCTCCAAGGCTCTGGAGCAAATATTATTTATGTATGCCGTTCATTAATTCTTGCATGCACAAGTGTGCAAAAGCGTATGACCGTGATGGTTAGGTAGCAGAAGAATATCTAAGTGGAGATATTTTTAGTGTGCTTTTGGTGTAGTGGTGCTTTAATTCGACATGGGTTTTTTTCCATCTGCCTTTTTTTTTTTTTTTTTTATATTCAAATTTTTATTAAGGTTGATATATCAGTGATAGATGTGTAAACTCGTGCGGCTCAAACGCATAACTAGATCTTTTTTTTTTTTTTTTTTTTTTTTTTTTTTCAAATCAAGATCTTGTCTTTGATTGATGCTCAAGATTTTGATCAAAAAAATTTCAAGACCTTATATATATATAAGGACCTTTTAGACCATGAAAAAAAAAAAAGAATTTGAATAGTTTAGTACTTTTTATTTTGAAAAAAAAAAAAAAACTATTATTATTCCTATTGTTTGAAAAAAAAAATGACTTATACCACTTTATACAACCGTCTAGGTATTCAACCTAACGCGTCTCAAGCTCAAATTCTCGAGGCATATCGCAATCTGGTCAAACACATGCATCCAGACAAGTTACCACCTCCTCGTACAGTAGCCGGAATTAAAGCTGCTGTTTCTTTTAAAAAAATATACATTGCCTATGAAGTTTTGTCAAGTTCATCTGCACGTGCCGCCTATGACCGAGGAGGTATGACAGAAGTATGTCGCATTGAAGGTGCGACATGGTGGCTGGCTCACTGTGAAACAATTGCAAGGCAACTTCCACCTATTAATGCTGATAATGATGAATCTGAATATGAGTATGAGTATGAATATGAATATGACGACGACAAAGATGAAGAATTGGAAGATTTTTTTGAGCCTGAACCCCGCCACTGTACCTGTCTTATGGAATCTGTTCCTGCGCGCAACACTACTCTAAAATTTGGACCAATATCATCGTTGGTTACTTATACTTGCGAAGTGTGTCGGCAAATTGCTGCAGAAAAGCATCGTCTGCGCTCATGCCGCCATAAACCACGTCGTGTTGATCAATGGGTAGAAAAGACTTTGGAGTACTTGGATGATGTACAGTACTATGAAGAGTGTGATCCTTTACCGCCTTTACCTGAAAATGAAAATACGGCTTTATTGAATAACGTACAAAGACCTCGACATGGAAATGATGATCTTCCTATGTATGAGAGTATTTGTCAAAATTTGGAAAATGAACAAAAATTAAGACCTCGCAGGGGTAATAAACTTTTAAGGCGACAATGGTGCTACTTTTTTTTCCGTAGGAACAAAACCTGCAGAAATGTTAATAGATAAAAAAAAACCACTTGGAAAAAACAATTTATAAATAACCAATAATTTCAAGTTTTGTTTTCGTTTATAATTAATACATAATATTTAATCCTTCTTAGATTTCTTCTTCTTGGGCTTCTCCTCGTCTTCCTCCTCACCCTTTCTCTTCTTTTCCTTCTTTTCCTTCTTCTCTTTCTTCTCTTTCTTTTCTTTCTTTTCCTTCTTTTCTTTCTTTTCCTTCTTTTCCTCATCATCCTCCTTCTTCTCTTCCTTCTTTTCCTCCTTGGGTTCCTTAACCTCCTTAATCTCCTTGATCAAAGGAGTAGCAGCGGGGGCAGAAACAGCAGGGGCAGAGACAGGAGCACTCTCGTCAGCAGGAGCGGTATGGTCAACATACTCCTTCTTCCACGAGTCGGGTGTGTTCTCATTAGGACGGCCAAACTTATCAAGCTTGCCCTCAGTCTTGAGCTGCTTTTTCCGTTGAGCAACAGGACCAAGACCCCAACGTCTGGGGTATGTGTCACGCTCCATAATGCAACGCTTGATCTTGGCAACAACACCATGGTCGCAAGTAGAAAGATCAACAGTAGACATTTGGGCAATACCAATGGCAATAGCCTCACCCTTGGTGGTAATCAAAACAACCTCATCATCCATCTCAATGCCAGCTTCATAGCGGAGCAGACCGGGAATCATAAGTTTAGCACCATAGCACACAGAGTTGACTGCAGAGTCCTTGACAACAATACGCTTGTAGCCCAACAAAAGAGTCTCAAGAGGCTTAATGCATCTTCTAAGATAGGATTCATCCTTGGTATTGTCATAAAGCCACTGAGCATCTAAGATATCGTGAAGAGTAACCATATCGTCAGACTCAGAAAGAGCACCCGATCTGACACGGCGCAGTTCCTGCATGTGGCCACCAACACCAAGAAGCATACCCAGATGAACACACAGAGTTCTCATATAAGTACCAGCCTCGCACGAGGCCCAAAAGACACCAAGATGGCGGTCGTTATCAAACTCAAAAAGTTTGGAGTCGTAAATGGTACGCACACGAAGCTGACGCTTAACGGCAGAAATAAGAGGGGGACGCTGGAAAAGAGCACCAGTAAGCTGCTCAAGGGCACGGCCCATATCCTTCTCATCCTTAAGAGCTTCGTGAAGTCGGACGATACAAACGTACTCCTTACCAGCACCCTGCTGGGACTTGACGAGACGCGTAGCACGGTCAATACAGACAATCAGGCAGCCCGTGACCTTAGGATCCAAAGTACCGGAGTGACCAGTCTTCTCGACACGCAAAATACGTTTTATCCAGGCAACAACCTCGTGACTACTGGGGTTAGAGGGCTTGTCGAGGTTGATGATGCCGGAGGCAATATATGACTTGAGATCTCGCTTCAGAGGTGAGCAGCCGACTGGAATGGGAGTGTAGTGGCCGCTTCTCACCAGAAGCTTATCATAGTTCTTGAGCAGCAGAGGCCAATTACTGGTATCTGGAGCCGCCTTGCTGTTTTCAGGCTTAATGACAAAGTCTTCGACTTCGGCGTCTTTCATTTCCACGTCTTTACCCATGGTTGGAAAAAAAACTTGTGTATATGGTGGTTTGTGTGGTGTGTGTAAAAAAAGGGAGAAAAAAAAAGAGAGACGAAGACGAAAATTTTCTTTGAAAAAAAATTTTTTTTTTCACACATCCACACGACAAACCCCTAACCCTGGAATACATACGCTTATTTTATTTTATTTAAATTTTTATTTTATTTTTTTTTATTTATTTTTTTTTTCTGATAACAAAAACAAAAAGAATTTACAAATCCTAATAAACATTGGCTGCCAGTCCCAACTGAGTCGAAATCTTGTCTACCAAAGCCCTTTTCATGAACTGTTCACGCGAAAGAATTCTTGTGTGTCTAAGAAACGATTCTAGAGAAATTCGACCTTTATCTAATGCTTTACTTAACACGTAGAGTGTATCGTCAATCGCATAGGACTCCGAGACCAAATCATAAAGTTGATTGTAAACAACGGTTTCTGCACATACAACCTCATCAATCTTGGGCTCTTCGCGCGACTTTGCATCTTCTATAACGGCTTTTGCTTGTGAAATCTTTTGCGTTAAAATAGCTTCATTTTCTTGAGATGCAGCGGTAATACGGTCCAAATCAGTGAGTTCATTATTGACAGCGCGCTCCATCCATAACAAGGTTTCCCGAGTTTGCAGCAAGCGAATATCATTATGTGCAACCATAGGCTGTAGTTCCTTTTCTACAATCTCAGTCAATGCAGCATGGACATCATTGGCAGCTCGAATTTTTTGAGGATTGGGCGGAAGTTTTGGCGGAGTTGCAGCCCCTACAATATTTGAGCCTGATGGGGCTGTTCCAGAAACACTGGGGGTGGCTGTATCAGTCATATCCATGATATCAAGCTGCTGTTTAGCCCATGCTGGCCGTTGTCCCACAGAAGAGTTGACATCACGGGTAACAGAATACGGCAAGATACCTTGAGGAACGGTGGTATGACTTGGAAGTGTTATTGGTATTGTTTGGTTTGTAGTAGTACCTGTAGGTAATGGGGTATTGGAAAGTGCTGGTGACTGTCTGGTTCCCGAAAATTGTTGTGGAAGCGGCGGGATTGGAGGACCATTACCGGTATGAGTAGGTGAAAGAGGTGTATTGATAGAACTTGAACCACTATGCTGGGGATTTAAAGGCGATGATTGACCAGAGAAGTGTGATAACCGGGTGGGTGTTTCGGGATGCGGAGGCAGTGGAGGTGGAGCATGAAGATTTCCTCGCGTGACAGATGATTGTCTTGCCAAGGGAGAAGCCGTAGCATGCGGATGATTTTGTTGGAGCTGCGGCTGTTGTTGGGCAGGTTGTAGTTGGGGTTGAGGTTGAGGTTGAGGTTGAGGTTGAGCTTGCGGTAGCGATTGCGATTGTGGTTGCAGTTGCGGTTGTGGTTGCTGTTGCTGTTGCAGTTGCGGTTGTGGTTGCTGTTGATGCTGTTGTTGAGATGGTGGTGGTGGCTGGTAATTGGGCGGTTTAGCATAAACTGGTGGCTCCTTGCCAAATGCAATACCTAAAAGCCGAACAAGTTCCAAAATTGAAGAGTTCTATATATTTTTGTTAGCAATCGACAGTTGAAAATGAAAGCCTGCTATGCACATACTTGAACGCTTTCGTGCCAATGAGAAAGATATGGGTGATAACATCGGCCATTTGTATCAACGTAATTTCCGGGGTGAATGAGCATATCCTGAGTTGGTCTGACAAAAGCAAACGGTGGGCTATATGGGTATGCTTTAGGAATCCAGATCTCCACAGGGATTCTATAAGTGGAGTTCCCGATAACTGCAGACACTGTTCCATGAAGACACAAAAGCAGCTCAGGTCGGCCGTACTCGTCGGCTACATCAGTTAGACAAAATAAAAAGAAACAAAAAATAGCAAACAAGTTTAAGCAAAACCTACTATAAACGTTTGTGCGAGGTCTCAGTAAAGGATACGTTAGCACAGTACTAATCGTATCTGTTGCAGTTCTATGAGGGTCTCGATATTCCTTTGAAAAAAGAAGCTGTTAGGCCTTGTATGTAGACATTAAAGTGTGCATGTACCTACTGGAGCAAGAACGGTGTTAAGCCACGAGACAAGTTCTGGAGGCGCTTGCAAATGAGCTTGTTGAGATGCCTGCTGATGGCCATGAGGATGAGCTAGCGGAATGTTCGCGGGAGCACCGCCATGAGGGAGCATTTCGATGGTAAGTGGTGGTAAGTTGTGTTCTTTTTTTTTTTTTTTTTTTTTTTTTTTCGTCAAAAAGCTGTTGATTGCACACTTGAAAAAGAGATTGCGACAAAAGCATGCAAAAAAAAACAAAAAACAAAAAAAAGGATGCATACACAAATATAAATTACGTAAATAATTACTTAATTTGATTGATATGAATTCAAACATACGTGTGATAATAAATCCCGTGACCACAACACTATTTCTTATTTCTTATTTCTTATTTCTTATTTCTTATTTCTTATTTCTTATTTCTTATTTCTTATTTCTTATTTCTTATTTCTTATTTCTTATTTCTTATTTCTTATTTCTTATTTCTTATTTCTTATTTCTTATTTCTTATTTCTTATTTCTTATTTCTTATTTCTTATTTCTTACAACTTGGAGATTTAATCTCAATATTTAAGCCGCTGAAGATACTTCTCATGGAACTCATGGACATCCTCAGCCATCTTACCGCTAGCAGGCCGCTCTTGGGCCTCTTCCTGGAGCCCATCAGCAGTACCTTGGACGTCGACCTTTTTCTGCTTTTGGTTAAGTTTCCACTTGCCTTCGGTGCGGGTAACCTCAATGATAAGGCCAAAAATCATATTTTTGAGAATGTTTAGGTACCCCTCAGGAGCCTCATCAACATCCCAGGGCTTAGGTCGGCTTTCCTCGTAGGTTGAAGCCTGCTGCTTCAAAATTCCGTGAAGAGTTGCATTGTCCTCCTTGAAATTCACAAGTTTGGGTTTGCCGTAAACATGCACTGCAGAGTACAACCAAGTAGGCGCAACCTTGTGTGACTCTGCCTTTGTGGGGTACCAAGATGGGGTGCAGTACCGGTTGTATCCTTGAAACACTATCAAAATCTCATCACCGCTATCTGCTGCGGCCTGCAGGTCTTTGGCCGCGGGGTTTTCCTTGTGGAAATGACCAATTAAAAAAAAAGTATCAGGCTTTTCAGGATCTTCGCGAATAACAAAGGGGAAATGATTGGCATTGAGGCCGTTGGGTCCGCCAGCTGTCACAACGGTGCCAAGCGGGAAATCACGAATCAGTTGCTTCTGGGTTTCGAGATCGGGTTCGACATATTCTTTGGGAAGAAACATAAGGAATGAGTAAATGTAAATTTAAATGTGAATATATATTGATTGAGAAGAAAATAAATGACTTTTTAGATAACTTTAGAGGGGATATTATAGTGTATTTATACTATCTTACCCAATAGACGGCATTCATTACAAAGCCAAATTTAACAATGCAGCCCCGGGTCGAGCTTCCCATAAACTATCCTCTAAGTTATCGCGGTTCCCTAAAAAGAGAAAAATAGCAAATACCATCTCGCCCGTGTTTTTTTTTTTTTTTTTTTTAAAAAAAAATATGGATGACTTAGTCAACGGTAGTTACCCGTGTTTGCATCAAATAATAATAAAAAAAAAACAAATTAGATATTTGCTCTTAAATTTTAGATGTCTCTATTCTATAAGCCCGTTTTCATATACCCGTGTTGTTCATCATGAATTATCTATCCTATTTCAGTAAATTGGAAAGGTCTCCATTATCATCTTCGTGACTAATAGCGCTTCCCGTAATCATAGTCTCTCCACTTGTTTCTTCTTCTCCTTCATTTTCATGTTTCTCTGTGCTCTTTTTCCGCTTGGCAGGCTCGCGCGACACGGATCTCACTGACGAAGTGGACATTCGAGACGGCTCCAGGTCAGTTAATTCGTACTCATTATACTGCTCTAGCAGTGCAGTCTCGGCCGGGTTTGTTGCATGATGCTGAGGATGTGACGAAGCTGGAGGAATAAATGACTCTTCGTCTACGGCTCGGGGTCTTGAACCACCAGTATCTAAACCAACGTTTGAAAAAAAGGTATTGCGAAGCTCGCGCCATTGACTCGACCATGTTCCCAATGACACCATCAGTATAATTGACGTAAACTGCAACCCCCACCAAAGTCCGGAAGTTGGAAAGCTACCTTCCACAATCCAGCAAACCACCAAGTTGATTCCATGAAGAGTCAGTGTAAAGTCCAATGCCAGCTTTGATCGGCCCACAACAACTGTCAAAGCTATCACAGAAAAAATAGTATCCAGTAGCCAAAGCATGACGAGTGTCCACCCTACTGTAGTGTCATGTCGCACTGGTGACCATGAAAACACCAGCTTTAATGAAAAAGGCGGTCTTCCTGCCACCATGCATGTGAATAAAATCAGTAACAGTCCAATGCCATAGTAAATCAATTGCAGTGTGACTATTTGCCAAAAAATGTGTCGGGGTGCCAAGTAAGAATCTGATGAGTAATAATAGGAAGAAAGCGACCTGGAAGTAGCTGCTGTACTTGACTCTTCTCTACCATGCGAATTACTTTCTGGTTTTATCATATGAGCAAGACCGGAAAGTTGGCTTAGCAGTCTCATTATGGGTTCTTAAAATTGTTACTTTTTGAAAGCGTTTAGCATTTGCAGTCCAAAGGGACGATATTCAGAAAAAAAAAAGAGGGTCGCGTAGCATTTACAGCCTTACCATCACGTGTTTGAAAAATAATTGTAGACTGAAATATACACATAATGTTGCGTAGTTAATAGCATAGAAGATTTTTTTTTTTCTTTTGGGTGAAATTTTTTTTTTCTCCATTTTGATCCGACATAGACAAAACTAGCATACACATACACATTATAATGGCCCCAGCAAAGAAGGGAAACAAGGCTGCTCCTAAGGGTGCATCCAAAAATGCTTCTAAGGGTACTACTAAAACTTCTTCTAAGAATGAGTCTAAAGTTGTACCTAAGAATGAATCCAAGACTGATCCTAAAACTACATCCAAGGACGCGTCTAAGAAAGAACCAAAAGCTGCTCTCAAGGCTACCCCCAAGGCTGAACTCAAAGCTGAACCTAAGAATACATCTAAAAATGAGCCAAAAATCAAAACCAAAAAGGCTTTTGATGATGACTTTGTAATGACTATTTCCGATGATGAGGAAGTTATTGTTGCCGAAGAAAGTAGCGATGAAGAGGGCAAGAAGGAAATTCCTGATGCTGACAAGGCACCCAAGAAAAAAAATAAGAAGAACAGCAAGAAGAACGCTACCAAAGAAGAAGAGGCCGGTCCTGAAGGTTTGTCACTGGATCCTGAATTTGTATTTGATGCCGGTGATGGATCTACAGCTATTGATGATGAGTTTGGCGGTTGGGATTTTGAAGTCAAGGACAAGAAGAAGACCTTTTCTAAAGATGTAGACTTGGACGAGATTATTCGACGCAAAGGTGGTCTAGATAATGCCAGTGATAGTGAAGACGAAAAAGCTGACGATGAAGACGATGATGATCTTGCTTTGGATGGGTTTGGTATGGGTGCCCAGGACGACGAAGAAGAAAATGAGGAAGAAGAAGATGGAGATGAGGAGTCTGATGAAGAAGAAGCCGAGATTCCCAAAAACCAAGAAGACACACCACAGGAAATTGCAAAGTTTTATGCTCCCCAAACTGAATCTGTGCGTGCAACATCCACTGTGCATAAGACTTTCCAAGAGCTTTCACTTTCTCGACCTGTATTGCGTGGTATTGCTGCACTCAAGTTCTCCGAGCCAACCCCCATTCAAAATGCTGTCATTCCCATTGCCCTGCTTGGTAAAGACATTGTTGCTGGTGCTGTGACCGGTTCCGGTAAAACTGCTGCCTACTTGATTCCCATCCTTGAGCGTCTTGCGTACCTCCCCAAGAAGGTAGCCATGACTCGTGTTGTTGTGCTGACACCAACGCGTGAATTGGCAGTGCAAGTTTCTGACGTTGCGACTAAGTTGTCGCAGTTCCTTGGATCGATTCGTGTTGGACAAGCTGTGGGTGGTTTGAACTTGAAGCAGCAGGAACAAGTTCTTAAGTCACGTCCCGATATTGTGGTTGCGACACCTGGTCGTTTCATCGATCATGTGCGCAACTCACCATCATTCCAAGTTGATGCTGTTGAAATTCTCGTTATCGATGAGGCCGATCGTATGCTTGAGGCAGGTTTCCAAGCAGAGCTTACAGAACTGTTGAGTCTGTTACCACAAAAGCGCCAAACATTGTTGTTTTCTGCTACAATGAACAACTCCATTAAAGACCTGATTCAGCTGTCACTCAATAAGCCTGTGCGCATTATGATCAATCCACCCAAGCAGGCGGCCGGTGGTCTTATCCAGGAGTTTATCCGTACTCGTAACGACAAGCTTGAGTATAAGCCCGCAGTGCTGCTGTGGCTTCTCAAAAAGATTCTTGACTGCCAGAGTATCAAGCAGCGTATTATAGTGTTTGTTGCACGCAAAGAAGCGGCCCACAAGTTACGCATTATTCTGGGTCTACAAGGTGTTCACGTTGGTGAACTCCACGGTGCGCTGACACAAGAGCAACGATTACAATCCGTGACACGATTCAAGAACTTGGAAGTTCCTATTCTGTTATGTACGGATTTGGCATCTCGTGGTTTGGATATTCCCAAAATTGAAGTTGTCATCAACTACGATATGCCGTCGACATATGAGGTGTACCTGCACAGAGTCGGTCGTACGGCTCGTGCTGGTCGCCAGGGTCGCAGTATTTCGCTTGTTGGAGAAAGTAGCTCCGACCGCAGCATTGCACGCGAGGCTATTAAGAGCAGTATGGGCAATGACGACAAGCAGCCCAAAAAGAAGAAGAACAAGTTTGTGACGCGTACCATTGATTGGGAATACGTGCAGCCAGTGTACGAGTCGATGGAGAACAAGGAAGAAACATTGACTGAGATTTTGGAAGAGGAAAAGACGGAGAAGATGATGGCACAGGCCCAGCGAGAACTGACCAAGTCACAGAATCTGTTGAAGCATGAGGCAGAAATCAAGAGCCGGCCTAAGCGCACGTGGTTTGAAACGCAAGCCGACAAGATGAAGAGCAAGTATGGAACTGGGCCAGAGGATCAGCAAGCCAAAAAGGCTGATGATGCAAAGAAGCTTGTGCGTGATCACCCTGTGTTGGGTGCACAACTCCCTAAAAAACAAAAGCGTGCTGATACAGTGGGTGATGGCGAGGGTGGCCGTGCATATAAGAAAACCAAAGTGGAACGCGATGAATCAAAGAAGCGGGGAGGACCTAAAAAGAACAAAAATCAAAGCAAGCAAAAGGCCAAAATTGCTAGAGCTAAAAAGTATCGCAAGTAATATGTGTAATCGATTTTCAATATAAACAAGAATAAAATAATTTTTTTTTTTTTTCAATTTTGTTTTACAAAAATTTACAAAAAGGCTAAGAATAAAAATAGTTATCGGACGGAACAATGCTATCAAAATCATCTTCAGCTGAGTTATGACGAGAGGCATAGTCGTAATCAGTTGGAGTAACTTGAAGCATTTGAAGACGAAGTTTAGTTTCAGCAAACATGTCAATATATTTTTTAGTCTCCTTAGATTGGTAGGGCTTGTTTTTAAGCATGAGCAGACCATCACCCCAAGCAGCAGCCTTTTCAGGAGTATCGGTATAAAAAGTCAGGGTTGTTCCATCACGAGGGCCTGAAAAAATAAGCGAAATGCGTGAATAATTTGTTCGGGAGAAAAGCGACACACGCAGCGGGTTCTTGCGGGTCTGCGAGGCATGAGCACCGGGGGAAAGCGATGTGACTACAACTTTGGAAATGGACTGGAGATCAATGGCACGTGAAAGCGCATCGACTGAAGGGTACTCTGGGAGCTGCGATGGGTACTCTGAGTAATGAAGAGTGTTCAAACTCGGCGAGAGAGCCACAAAGTAGCGGCGTGATGTAGGTGCGGCCACATTGGTGACAGTAGTGCTAAGCGGTGCACTAATGTTGCTATGA